GATACATCGCCTGCTTTCGGGTACTGGCTCCTCAGTGAACCAAACGGAACCAGTCCCACCTTACCTTGCGTTTCCCTCGACCATCAGTATGGGCTTCCATCAGTCTAGGCCTCGAATAGCCCACACCCGACGCGTCCCACGACTTCCAGTCCGTTCCCACTTTCCCCAGTTGGCCCATTGAATACATCACGCTGCCAAAGGCCAGCAAAACACAATGAGGCATTTTAACATATCAAGGAGCTGTCGTCATGTCGAAAGGCCCAGCCAACGGCCTGCGCGACTTATTACATAGTAGCTGGGGGCCGTCCATCATTTAACATTATGGATCGGCACCCACCCGTGGCTGTCGCAGCTTCCAAGCTTGTTAAAGCGTGAGCAATGCCGCCGTCTTGGCACTATATGGTAAACTCTCAACTACCACGTCTAAGCTGCCACCTGCAAAGCCATTGGACCCTCAACCTAAAAGAAAAGAAGAAGAAAACCCTTACAGGGCTATGCGTATCACTCGCACCAAAGAAGGTGTTGCCTGGGGCACATCGATGATTCCTGGCAGTCACAGAGACGCGTCCAGCTGAGCGAGCCCTGCGTCGATCATCCTCGGCCATCCCTCAGCCCTCCCGCTTCATCACCGTCTCTGCCCGTCCCCCCGTCTCCCTCGTCGTCTCTACTCGACCACCGTTGTTCATCGCAACTCTTCTACTATGGCACAGCCACCCTACTGTTGGCTCAGTCTCGTCCGGATCCCGCGCTGATTTGGCCCCTACCTTCGGTTGAAACAGAAACCAATAAGTGGGAAACATACAGCAATCGTACGTATCTCGGCACATCTCGTCCTCGAGAGTATCAAGTTGATCCGAGACCAAGATTGGAAGAAGGGAAGAAAGTGATGATTAAACGGCTACCAAACGTCCCCCCCGCCCGTGGGCTGGGTTTCTGCTTTGTGCCGACCCATCCGGATGGGACGCTTAGGAAACTTCTAAGTATGTGCTTCGCGAACCAACCTCATCCTCGCCAAGGCCGGCCCTTTCCTTGATGTTTGGCCCAGTCGACCCGTTGCAAACATACTTCCGCCTCAGCAGCCGCGCTACCGAGAGAAGGCAACCACCAAGGACATGGAAGATGGATCCAGAGTCCAGTCTACCGGTTGTGACATTTGATAACATTTTAAAAGCGACACCAAGAAAGGTCACTATCATATGATTCCGACGAGCGCCCTCCATCGATTACCTACCTCGGGCCGTCTTGTATTGTGAACGCTATTCTGAATCGTTAACCCTCCACCCCCGCGTATATTTCACCATCTACCTGGCGCTTGCTTCGTCCCCAAAGCTCAATGCACGACCTCTTCAACGTATGCCCCCACCTGTGCGTTGAGTGCAAGACGCAACCTTATCTGTCTCATGTTTACCTACGGACGATGAGAGGAAGCCCAAGCCGCCAGGTGTTGTTCATCTCAAACCGCCCACACCGTGCTCGCTCGCTTTCCCAAGTTCCCTACGATGCCTTGATACTAAGAAGCTCATCACATGAACCACCCGAGCCGCTCGTCAAACCCCCAGTCGCAGCTCTTCCCCTACAGGAAAGAAAGAGAATCACATCCCCCCCCCCCCCCCCCCCCCCCCAAAAAAAAAAAGGCTCGAGACCCCCGTGGACAAACATCCACAGCACCGCAACGCACGCGCGTCGAAACCAAACGCAGTAGAACTGGCTCGCCGCATCTTCCGGAACAAGCATAGAACATCACGCATCTTTCGTATCCCAATTGCCCATCACCGCCCATCCTCTCTCACAGATTCCCATCCCCGGGCAGATAGACTTCGACGCTAGTGCCTCTCCGATCTGACGCCCGCCCCTTCGCGTCATACTTACACTAGACCCCAAGATCCGAACTGTGGTTCGCTCGGCCGAGTCTCTGGTTCCCCTCTTCACTTTGCCCCCTTTTCCCTTGACTTTAAGCCCACCCAACTGCCGCACATGAGCACTTCTCCCGAATGGCCCTCCCGTCGCGGAGCCCAATAACTTCCCGACACCAGGGTGTCCGTGGCCGGTGGTGTACGACATCCATTCCAAGTGGGGGAGGGGACTCGATATCAAACACCTCTGCATCTCCGCAAAGCCCTGTCCTGCTTACCGGCACTTGCCATCCCGAGTTTTCCTCGTTTGAGTAAACCTTGGGCACCATGGTTTGCTTTCTTGCTCTCCTTCTCGAGGTGCAGATCGGCAGCGTCTTGTTCGGGATCGTCTGTACTCTTATTCAGGAAACCTTGGCAGGATCCTGCAAAGGAATCGGAGAAGGGGGGGAGGAAGGGCCTTGCGCAAAAGTGGACTGTCAAGGCCATTTCCGCATTGCTCTCTGGAGCTACGCGCCCTTCGTCCGAGCTTCCGGAACTTCCCAAGACTGACTTCACTTCGCGTCCAGTTTCCCATGATGCCCATCTCCGTCGCACCCCCGGCCCTGCCGTTTGAACCTCGCTGCCGCCCTCTGCCGCCTCGGCGGTTCCACGGAGCCGGGATGCGAGTGCGAGCGAACGCTCGCTACATGTCAATGGGCATCTATTCGCCCGCCGAGAACTCCCGACACGTGCGTGAGTCCCCAGTGAACCTGTTGTGCTGACCGGGGCGAGGGGGAACACGGGTACGAGGAAGCGGGAGAGGGGCCAACGGCAAGAGCCTCTTCGGGGTGATTGTGTAGCAGCAAACCTCGGCGATCCTAGGACCGCCGTCTGCTATTTCCACCGGGTCGATGAACGTGTGACTGGAAAGGTCGGGAAGAGCTCGCTGCAAACCATGTGGTCGACGTCGAGCCACTTGCCTTGCACGTTTCGTTCTCTCGCCCCTAGTAAGGGTTTACCCACGGTCCAACGATGCTTTGGGGCGATGCCATCGAGAGATGACGGGGGTCCTAGAAAGCACCAAGGCAGGCGAGCGAGCGCTTGCAGCCAGCCGCGGCGCCACAGAAACATGGAGATGCTGTTTCTGAATCCTTGATTACAATACAGTAGTGTACACTTATATCCGCCCCTAGCCACAGACGGCATGCTCTCAAAGCCAATAACCTCACTCTCCATCCTTTCCTGTCCTGTATCCTTGGTCCAAAAATGCAAACCGCACACAGTAGGACAGCAGGGCTGTTCATTTCCAGAACCAAGGCCACATCAGTTACCTCCCCTTATCCAACAACTCATACTCAACACAACGTCCTTGACCAGGAGCTCTTATTGGCCAGTAGCATCCAACAAAGACTTTCCGCCTAGACGGTAGCTGGCATAATGGCATAATCGAGGTTGTATTATGCAATTTGATCGGTTCAACAGCAGCGTAGGCTAAGCGGCGCATTACCTTTTGTTGTCTGCTCGTTCGCAGTGGCCGCCGTGTCCGACAGGGTGGGAGAACCCACATCGTGTCGCTCTTTATTCGAGCCTCATTGTAACTTCAGTTGGGCCGATTTGCCCAGTCTCATGTTAATTGGTCCAACGATGCTTCTACTGAGAGTTTTAACATGATTCTCAACGCTTTCGGTGGATTCATCAGGGTTGTGCTGTCGTTCAACGAGCCGATGGCCTATGACAAATGTGTTAGCCGTGCTTGTGTCATCAGATCCGCCGGCGAGATCAATGATATGCTTGAGCATGACTGACCGTGATGCGATATCGCTTGGTTGAGAGAAAACCATTTGATTGTGGCGCTTGCCTATTCCTGTCTTGGGCTCAGACCGTTCGTCCCGTACGCGTTTCTTCTCTGGCTCTTCTCCCTGGATTGACTTTGGGCTGAGGAAGGAAGAGACTCTTCTTTTGTGGTTACGGTCACGCCAATCATCGGGAGATCGGAAATCCTCGATGAGCTGTCTCTCAGACAGCAGCGGGTTGCTTCCCGGCCGAACCTGTACTCTGCCTTTGCGAACAGGTGCTCGGGAGCCGCCGGGCTGCTGATCAGGGCTTCGTGAATCTCCAGCCTGACGGCGAGAAGACACCTCGTCTTCAGACAGCGGCCAGTAATGGTCAATCGGAGCTTTGTTCATTCTTTGGGGGTCATCCGAAGGCCAGACTTGAATAGGATCACCGTGGTCAATGTTGGCACCTAAACATGTGTCAGTCCACTCCATGAGTATGGTTTCCAGAGAGAACCATCAAGGCCGAATGACTTAGAGAGATGTGTGCGGCGGATCGAAAAGCTCATCGAAGAGACTTACCACAAGAATGATGTGCAGCAGATGCTGCTGCGACGTCATGACTGGAACCATCCACTGTCTGGGGGTCCGGGAGTGTGCGACTCCGGCGCCTGCCCATCCTCAATCCAGTCCCAGCACTCTTCCCAGTGGGAGACGAAGAGGTTGTCTCTGCCGCAGCCGCATATTTTGCGTTTGCAAATTGTGCGACAGGGTATTCCGGCTCGTACAGAGGGCCAGGCAAAGTCTTGATGGGTATCAGTCCCAAGGTGCTGGGGTCCACCCTACGTTGATTCAGCACCTTTGGCTTCTGTCCAGGCGTTACACGCGAACCCGCGGTGGTCTGAAAGGACGCATTTGATGGCGGTGTGACCGGAACCACGACGTTGGCTCTCATCCGTGATGTTGCGTTTGGCGGGGTTTTGCGTACGCCATTCTCCTTGCTGATGCCCAAATTTCCCACCGTACTATGGTTCTCGGAAGTCGGAGGGCGCAAAGACTCATCTGACACAAGTCTTTGGGCTGGCTCCAGCTTGGGTGTTGTCGTCAAAGGGATGTCCTTTTTCAAAGCGTTCTAGGCTTTGGAAGCGTGGGCATCCTGACGGGAATTTTGAGAACCTGGCAAGGAGGCTTCCTTCGAAACCGCTACAACGCGAATTGAAGGCTTGGATGCTCTGATCGCCATGTTTGAGATCAAGTTGAAGCTTTTGGCATCACCAGATATATTCGTAGTTGCCAACGCCTTATCCTGTGCACTACCCCGGGCAGCGCCTGACGTCTGGCGCGGTTTGCCACCGTGTGCCTTGGGAGTTTCTTCTGCTTGGGACTTGATTAACTAACGCTTCATCGAGCGGCGATATTGTGAGAGTATACCTTGAGACGTTGCAACGTGTTCACGTTCAACCAGGATTGGAGAGGTTTGCGATGGCCGACTGTTCAAAACGCCCGCGTTATCCCTACTTGCCGCCAGCCTCACGTTATCTGCTTGCTTCGATTTTGACTTCTTCAGATGTTTGCCACCGGCTCTTGCCTCTAGTACCATCTTGTTCCCCTGGGGAGAACCGTCAAAGTCATCATCTTCGAGAATGAAACCTGAAACCTGGGTTCTTGTCAAAGCCTTTTCAATGACTTTATCTTCGCGAAAGATAGAGTCGCCCTCGTTAGATAGCTCTGTCTCAGGAAAGAAACCAGTTTTGTAGGTGCGACTCTCCAACTTGGCTGCGACTCTGAGGTTCCCGATATGGTTGTCGCCTGGCGATGACGGGATCCTTAAAGGCGATGAGGGAGCTGGGAAGGGCGCAGCTGGGTGGTTCAGAAGAGAGTTGCCACGGACAGGGTCGCCTTGCTCGACGAACAGACCCCCGTAGTTGCCTTGAGACTGAGAGTTGGTGTTGCTGCTGGCTCTAGCTTTCAAGTCAGGCATGCCACGGGCGCCTCTGAGCCGAGGACTCGAAGTCATGGGCTGGGGCCCTGGCATATACTCGGTCGACACAGAAGATCCTGCGCCTCCAAGAGATTTCCAAGGAGCAGTCACATAAGACTTCGGAATGGGGATTCTGCGCCGATTGTGGTCGATCGGCGAGGGGAATAGCGAAGGGGACCGTGCCGGACTGTAAGAAGCCATGTCTGAGTCTCTGGCTGAAGTGAAATTGGACATTTGCTGATAAGTTGCGGAAGCAAGAGGGGGTCCTTCGGCGGCTGCCCAAGAAGCCGTCGGTTGCGAGTTGTCGAAAGTACTATACAGGGACTTGTTGTCGGCGCCGTACACGTCGATACTTAGGCTCTGGCGAGGAGAAATTTGTCGAGGGGTCAGCTTGGAAGGACGAAGGGGTGGCAGCGATGTGATGACTGGCTCCTGGCTGCGCCGGGAAGCCTCTTGAGATGGCTGATACTGATCCGAAGACAGACGAGACGGCACAGAGCCGTAGCAGAAATGGTTGTCTGTCATGGTGAGCAGCCGCCAAGCGAACCGAATGCTGCGTGTTCGTCGCCTGACTCGCGAAGTTTTGAAGTGCTTGCGAACCAGGAGTCGATGATCGAGTATACCAAAGGTCGCGACGTCACACAAAGCAGCAGCCAAACTTGAGGCCGGAAAGTAGGACCAGAATGACCAAAAAGACAACACTCCAGAAAATAAATACGAGACAGGCCTTGAAGAATAACTCCCCAAAGCCTGAGCAAGTAAGAATGGATAGAGCAATCAATGTGTTGTGTGGAGGAGAATGAAAGAGGGTGGTGGTGCTCCGAAGGGAGGTTTACCGTGAGAGTGAACGGGCAAGGAAGGTAAGCCAAAGGATTGAGAAAGCGACAGCCAAAGCCAAAGCAAAAGGCGCAGGAGGTCCGACGAGGCGAGAAATTTGGATCAAACCGTTGTGGCCCAGGTCGATTCTAGTACCTATTGGTCACGCCAAAGTCCATAGGGAAGGAGCGATTTACTCAAAGACAGAAGGAACAATGGGCTAGGAAGGAGAGACTCACCTCGTTCAAGGACGAAGGAGAAGAGCGGCAGCCAAAACGCGGAGAAGACCGGAAGCCGAAGGAGAGAGAAGTAGATACGATGCACTTCTAGCTGAAAAGATAACGAAATCATCCTTTACGGTGGGAGAGAGCCGCGGAGGAGCAGCTCAAGGCCGTTGCTTTTCATCTAGGTCACGATACAGCACTGTACTGGCCTCAATTCTTGCAGATCTGTGCCGGCTTTCATCTGCCTAGGTCCTCAAGTAGGTATCACAACAACGCAGGCCGGTGTGATGCATGAGATCCAATAAAGGGTATGTCCATTACTCTAAGCTGCCTTAGTTGTCGTCTATATTTCTCAGCTCTGCAGAGCCTAATACTACTAGTTATGTTGGTAGGGTGCCGTGGCACATGAATTCGTTCGCTATTCCGATCATTACTCCCAAAAACGCCAAGGCCATGCAGGCTCTCCCCAAACAAGGATAATAGACACTCGACATTGATATCACAGGTATCATGCAAATAGGTCAATGCCGGCGGAATTGAATACAGGGCACCAAACTCCCTCTTCCCACGGGAGACATTGCTTTATCGTTTAGCCTGCGCCTCGTCGTTTGTCTGACACAAAGGTCTGACCAGTCGTGAAATGTTTCCGCGTTGCAGCCTCCAATTCAAGGGCTGGTCTTTTACCGCAGGCGCATCTTGGCATCTTGGACACCGCGAGCCATGACATCCTCGAGCTTCCAACGGGGGGGCTTGTAGACACCCTCCAAGCCGTTAGCCTTGCGCCACTCCTTCTCGGTTTCAGGAGTGACACCTTCAGGAAGAGGCTCTTGGCCGCCAGCAATACCAGTGGAGAATCTAATCTGGAGCTTGTCGGCGACTTCGTGAACGGCCGTGAGAAGCCTGTCGAGATCATCCTTGTTGTGGGCGGAGGAGACGCAGAATCGGACACGCGAGCTGATGAGAGGCGTTGCGGGGTAGCCGACAATGACGACAGAGATCTTGCGCTTGAGCATTTCGTGGCTGAAGGCGGGCATCTTGCCAGGGTTGTAGAGCATGACGGGAATGATGGGAGAGTCATCGTGGCCGTAGACGATGAGGCCCAGGCGCTTGAGACCGAGACGAAGGTAGCGGGAGTTGAAGGCAATACGCTCCAGGCGCTCCGCACCCTGGCCGGGGCAGAGCTCGCCCGTGATCAGACGGAGGGAGGCCAGAATCTGCATGAGGACGGAAGGCGCAGGCGACTCGCCCAAAATGGTCGCGGCGTTGGAGCTACGCAACTTGTCGATGATGCTCTTGTCGGCAGCGACGTATCCACCGTTGGCGCCAAAAGACTTGGTAAGGGTGCCCATGAGGATATCAACACGGCTGGGGTCGATGCCGAAGTAGTCACAGACTCCACGACCACGGGGACCCACGGCGCCGATGCTGTGGGCCTCATCGATGAAGAGGTAGAACTTGTACTTGTCCTTGAGAGCCATGATACCAGGCAGATCGCACATGGTTCCCTCCATAGAGTACAAGCCCTCAACAGCGACCAGGATCTTCTTCCACGGGCGGTGAGTGCGAGGCTGACCCTGGGAGATGGCCTCACGAAGCTTGCGCTCGAGGTCGACAACGTCGTTGTGCTTGAAGGAAGAAATGACGGCACCAGAAAGACGAGCACCGACTCTGATGGAAGCGTGGTTCAATTCGTCGGAGAGAATGAGGCAGCCCTTGGACACAAGAGCGGGGAAGGAGCTGGCGTTCGTGACGAAACCCATAGAGAAGACCATGGATGCAGGCTTTCCAACGAAGGCGGCGATTTCCTTCTCAACCTCGAGGGCCAAGTCCGAGGTGCCGACATCAGCACGGGGACTGCAGGTGCTGAGGGAGTATCTCTTGACGCATTCCTCCACAGCATCGGCGCAAGGGCCTTCGGATTGGGCAAAACCAAGGTAGTTGTAGGAGCTCATGTTCAAGGTCTCGGTGTGGGTGCCAGTGTAGTTGTAGGTGCGATTGTAGTCTCTAGACTCGCGATCCATGAGGGTAATGTAGCGGCCGGGAACGCCGGTGATGGGACGCGCGAAGCAGTCGTCAATGCGCATTTTCAGACGGCGGACGTAAAAGTTGTCAAAGTCCTCGTTCAGAGGAGCGTATCCATTCTGGGGCTTGAGGGCCTGGTAGTGCTTCTTGTCGCCGAAGCGCTTGCCAAAGAAGTCGCGAGCATGGCCGAAGAGAATGAGGATCAGGTAGCTGATGTAGGTAGTGAGGACGTAGTAGTAGGGCGGCTCATCGATGATGGGCGGGTCGAGCGGCATGCCATCGTTGGACTTGCTCACGTATCGGTGGCTTGGGTGGAGGAGGGGGCCAAACTGAGCATCGAAGCGTCTCTTCTTCTCCGTCTCCACCACAGAGGGGGGCGAAAAGAGAGTCGTGGGAGGTTCGTTGGTGTCCGGCTCGCCAGCGGTGGCGGTCGAGAGGGAGATTGTAGGAAGCGAGATGGTCGAGGGAGTGATTTGGGTCGAAGAAATGTTTTGCTGCTGCATGGCCAATAGGGCTTGCTGGGCAGTCTGGTGGTCCTTGTCTTTGGCACCCTTGGGGGAGGTGAAGAAGTTGGCGAGGCGATTGCCGGAACGAGAAGGTCTTCTTTCTTTCTCGTTGAGCGGCATGGCGGAAGGGTGAGAGGTCGAGAAAGGATTCGCAATTCTACGGGGCATTGCTGAGATGCGCTGCGGCAGACTGCGGGCGACTCGGCGATTGAACTGGATGGGAAAAGGGGTGTCGAGGTCTGAAGGGAGACCAGGCGAGCGTCAAATCGAGGGATTTAACGGAGACGATGCAATTCTTTGTGAGACGAAGCCGGGGGTGGAGGGTGCGCGCTGTAGAGAAAGATAAAACGGTCGGGTCAGCAAACAATGCACGTCTGACGGGTCGCCCGGATGTGATGGAAGAAGTAGAGAAGGGTTGGAGGTTTGAGAAATAGGGAAATTGTCGGTCAGAGTGTCAGTGGCGCATGCGCGGGCGCCGAGCCAGAGCAGGCGGCCACTAAAAAAAAACGACCCGCCAGGACTACCGATAGCCAAGGCTCTCATCCGACCTCTTTGAGAGGTTTGATGGAAGGACAAGCGAGACAAGAGAGGAAGCGCTAAAAGCACGCTTGAAGAAGCGACCGAGGCTATCGAAGTGCCGGAGCCACGAATTGGGCTGGTTCGGCGATGGGTAACGATGATGAATAACGGTCAAGACTTACCGGGAAGAGCGGTAATCAGCTGCTCAGAGGATGGCTGAAAGTCGGAGGTTGGAGAGATTCCAGCAGGCGTAAGAACAGAACGGTCGGATTGTTTTGGAGAGAAAGCCAGCACGTGTTTTGTCTCTGGCGACTTTGTTGCTTCGCAATTGGCTTCGTTGCGAAATGGTAGAAAGAATGGGCGAGGATGTCGACTCAGAGATGGCGGCTTGGGCGTGGCTCAGCGCGATGAGCGTGGAGCGTGTTATGAGTTGTGTTGCTGAGTGTTTATTGCCTAGGGCTGCAGCAGATCTAAGGTCGGGATGGGAAACAGCGATGCAGAGGGACCCGAGAAAGAGAGAGAAAACGAGACAGTGAGAGACGAGGAGGAGGACAGCTCGCACAAAACTTGTAACAGCTGCAAGGGGCGCAAAGAGATAGCCGCGAGAGTGAGGGAGGGAGGGAGGAAGGACGGAAGGAAGAAAAGGTAGATTGTCGATGCCCGGTCGTTGTGCGATGGATGGGATTGGACCGTGATTTTAGGTAAATTGGATGCGGGTGGGCGTGGTGAGGTGACTTTTTTTCTTCCCTCGGGAGCCTTGGAAGCTGAAAGTACCCTTGCAGCGAAAGTGGGTGACAAGGTACCGCAAGTGTAGAGCTCAGGAGAGTCTTGTTTCTGTGGTGCCTGAGCTTTTTCGACAGATGCAGGGTCTGTGATTGGTCCGCCGTCTCGCAGTTCGGAAGGTCGCGTGGCGAGGCGACAGGAGCAATGCCAGGACGGGAGGAGGACAAGCGAGCGAGCAGGCGAAGAACCGTAGCGACAAGCTAAGATTGAAGCAGCTGTATCTGCGACTTGGTCCTACGTCACTCGGGTGGTTGTCGTTGGTTCTTTGTCTGCTTCAGCGCGGAGGGGAAACAAGCCAACAAGGAAGGACCCCAAGTGAGAGGAGAGAGATCGAGATACACGCGCACACGCACCCGAAAGTATGTGTCCGTGTAAGTCGGCCGAGGGAGGGAGAGGGAGAGATAGGCTGAGAGGGGGGATGGCCTTTGCCTCTGCGTATCTCAATCTTTGGTTTTGGGCAAGACTGTCGATTCCGTAGGAGGAGGAAGGGCTGATGGCGGGAAAGAGAGGAGAGAACGAGGAGGGGGAGCCGTTGAGCACAATAATAATAAAGGGCGAGGGACAAGTCGGGAATTAAGACGATGGCCCCGACGAACAAGCAGGAAAAAGGAAAAAAAAAAACCCCCCCATCATATTAATGCTGGGCGATCCACGATGAGGAGCAAAATTACCGCGCTGACGGCCTCTCTCTACATACTATGGTATCCTCTCGCGATGGTCTGGGTACACGTCGCCCCACCCGATTCTGGTATGCCGCGTCGTACCTTTTTCCTTGCGTGTGGGTTAATGGGGCCTCTGGCTGCAGTGGAAGTGACTTTCCTCTCTCTCCGTTAGCGCGTATCATTCAATTTCGAGGATCGACTTCGACACAACCTCTTCCTCTGCAACCCATGCCCTCCCGAAAGGTCCGGGTTGCACGCTGTTCGTCTTTGCACGGCTGCACGGACAGGCCCTGTAACTCGTTCACTCCTCCCCTTTTCTCTTTTGCCAATGTCTTACTCTCTCGAGCTTCCATTGGTCTGCCTCTCTTTTCTCCCCTAGGTAGACTCACAATGGTCTTCCACGCACAATACAACGACAACACATAGCACTTGTTGACCCCTTGCCCAACCGTCAGTAGGCACCCTCATAGCAGAGTTGCAAGCCTCACTTGACGGAGCACAAGCACTCACCCCTAATAGTCTAATACTTGGTTCTCGCCCGATGCTCAGGGCCCTCGGTGGGGCCTTCTTCAAGCGACTCCATCTACATCAACCCTTGTCTTCGCGCCCATCAAACAGCGTAGCGAACGAACGCCATTCGATCACCTTACCTTACTTTGCCTTGTCCTGACCAGACCGTGCTGCACCTTGATCCACTCTAACCCAGTAGACGTGATTTCGGCTGTTGGGCAAATCCCGCCTGGCCCCGGCGCCTTACTGCTCTCGGTGCCCGTCCATTCATCCGTTAGCAAGTTCCATCATGCCCATTGTCACGCGTGGGAAAAGGGGGAGGGGGGCGAATCGAAGCTTAACAGGCTGCCCGGACGACACGGCCGAGACGGACACACCGGATCCTGTGGCTGACTGATAATCGGACATTTCTGTCGCTGCACTTGCCGTTGGCCGCCGCAATCGGCCACTCGCACTCGGATGCAATGGCAGTGACAATGTCACAACGGCCATGGCACTGGCTCCAGGCATTGTCAGCGGTGCACCTACGCCTGCGAGAATGCAACCCTCGGCGTCCTGCCCTAATGCAGGCTCTGCAGACACCCAGGGCCTCTCTCCTCGTCCAAGATGTGGTGTGCATGACGGGAAGAGCTGAGCTAAGGAGCCTCCAGCAAGTGCCGTCGTTACCGCTCCCGTGAACCACCTCGTCGTTCGACGGCCCGCTCTTGGTCCGAGTTGACGATGTTCTCTGGCAGCAGCCTTGTCCATGGCCTCCCCCCAGCTGGGCCGCCCAACCAACCAGCCTTGCTTGGCCAGCAAAGCACAAGATCATGGAACCTCCCTGCTCGCCTGCCCGTCGACAGCCCTCTCCTCATATCTAGGCCGTCTGATGGCCGCGTGGAAGGGCTGCAAATGACGTTATCGCCAAAACAACCACGTTCGATGTGTCTCTTCGGCAATGCGGCCAACACAATGCAGCTTGTCAACTGCTTGTTGGCCCATCTCTGCCCAACTCAATGCTGTTGGCCATGGCCACCGGGGCGAGTGCCAGGAGCATAATGAAGCATCGACTGCCCTGCTAGCCGGCCTCACCGACGATACAGGAGCAGAGTTGATCCCGGCAAGTCAAGGCACACTCAAATGAGCGTTTCCCACGCGCGAGCCCCATCGACCGCGAAGCTGCGTGCACGGCGCGCACACAACTTTGACGATGGGGGCAAGACGTTGGGGGTAAGACGTTGCGAAGACGAGAAAGCAATAACACGCTCGGATGATCAGCTGATGAAATGTCGAACGAACCGGGACGCAGAGACTGTCTCGACACTGGCATGTCATGATGTCGAATCTTGACAGTTGGATGTTGTACCGGGCATGGCTACACGGGGTCGAGTCGACAAGTCGGCGCAGCTTCTTTGTTCTGTGTTTCTTCCTTTGGACTCTTTCATCTCGTTGGGGCATCTACTCGACCGAGGCGTTGTTTGGCTCCGTTTAGTTGGCAATCTCGATCCCCCCCCGATGGCCGAATCGCGTGTTGCGGCCCCGCCAGATCATGTTACTTGGAAGCCTCGGCGCAGCCAATGACAAAAGGGGTGGGTTTGTGGGAGAGTGAGTGTGAGCTGTCAGTACAGCGTGTTGAATGAGGACCCGTCGGCGTTGCAGGCGTCTCCCCAGCACAGCGTCCCATTCTGAGACGTTTTCCAGGTCGCTCGGACGCCGTTATCGATAGGGAACGGTTGCACTGGCACTACCTCCATCGAGTCCAGCGAGATGGATCGGAGGGCGCATTGGCGCACCAGCCACAGCGCGGAATGGGCGAGTCTCCAGCTTCCAATGCCATGAACGCCTCGCTCAAGCATCTCAAGGCTTGAAGGTCTTAGGTAAGGTGTGCCTTGCATGGTCTCACATGCCTTGTCGAGCTGGAATGTGGGGAGCACCTGCTGCGGTGCGCAGGGCCAAGGTGCACTAGGTAGGTGGTGAACAAGCGCGCCTTTTGCTGAAGGTCCTCGTGCCCGGAAGCAGGTACGGGTTTCCAGCGTCGCCCAGTGTTAAGGACGAGAGCACAGCTCAACACGGTCCTCGTCCACAACAGAGCGTCCATAGCTCTGTTGTCTGAGACTGCTGAGAGGTTCGTCAAAGTCTCTGTTTGGCCAGAACGGAGAACACCGGGATGGTTAGGGCAAACGACCGAGCTCCGGTTCGAAACGGAACCATAGTCAAGTGCACCCTGATGAGAGCCGCGGCCGTCTTCCCAGCTCCCTGAGGCACTGACTGGGCTTGCTTACACTGAGTGCACTGAGGGTAGCGCGACAGTGCAGTTCACCGATTCCTCCCCCACCCCCGGACTCCGGCTCTTTGGGTAGGTAGGTAGGTAGGTAGGTACCTACAGCTTGCTCTTCCCTTGTTTTTTTTCTCTTCCTCTTCGGCATCTACCATCGGAATCGACCTCTCGGATTGCGACGGCCCAACTTCTACCCCCTCCACTCCGGCCGGAATCTCAACTCTGGCATTGCACTCAACAATTTCGAAAAACAACATTGTCTCCGCCCTCATCTCCTCGCAGCCGTGATATCAACTGCTCAGGCTTCGTCCGGAGCGCCAATTGCCGCTCCCTTTCTCTCCCCATCTCGCTCATACACCGTCTCATCCACCCCCCAAACCATCCAATTCGCCCAGCATGACTGTCACCAGCGTCACGCGCAACGAGCTCTGGCGGCACCCGGACCCCACCTCGACTCCAATGTGGGCGTTCCTTCTCCGCGTGAATTCCAAGTACGGCCTCGAATTGGCAGACTACCCCGGCCTGTACAAGTGGTCCATCGAGAACGTGGCAGAGTTCTGGGAGGAGGTCTGGCATTTTGTGGGCATCACGGCCTCAAGGCCCTTCGACAAGGTACGCTGGCCAATGCCATTCGTCACATCCCAAACTCAACCCAAACCTCATCCTGTCTGGCTTCACTCTGCTTGGCGCGCCTTGACTGCCTGTCTTATGGCAGAGGGCAAGGAAGAAAAGGACTTTGTGTGACATCAGTGTGAGAGAACGACCCAAACTCTCGGCAAGTGCCAGAGACGACCCCAACATGACGAAGGGGCCGATTCGCCGATGCCACCCTCACCAGTGTCTTGAACCCTCGTCAAACCCTCGGTCAAGAACCTTGATATTGGCGTTCAGTGAGGCGGATGGCTATGTGGCCATGGCAGACAGCTTTGCATGAATGGCGTTTCCGAGAGTCGAGTCATGCCATGAGCCGTCCATTGGCTCATGGGAATGCCGTTGCCCATCTACCCCGAACAGCGGCGCCCGTGCCGCCCTCGATGAGTTTCCATTCCACCCCGCAGACCAGTAGCTGATCCGACCCGATTGCCCCTAGGTCTTGCCGCTCAATGCGCCCATGTACCCGCGTCCAGACTTCTTCGAGGGTGCCCGTCTCAACTTTGCCGAGAACCTGCTCTTCCCCGCCAACGTCACCGTCGACCCCACAGCCGTAGCGACCATCACCACCACCGAACTCGGCCCCTCCGTCTCCACAACCTGGGCCGAGCTCCGTGATGCTGTCCGCCGCTGCTCTGCCGGTCTCCGAGCCCGCGGTGTCCGGCCCGACGACATCGTTGCTGGCTTCGTATCTAACCATGTACAGGCTATCATCGCCGCTCTCGCTGCTGCTTCCGTTGGAGCCATCTGGACCGGCATCAGCCCCGACAACGGTGTGAGCGCCGTGCTTGACCGCCTGGCCCAGATCGGACCCAAGGTCCTCTTTGCCGACAACGGTACCGTGTACAACGGCAAGGAGTGGAGCAGCACCGACAAGACGGAGGAGATTGTCAGGGCTCTGATGCGGAACGGGCTCGAGCTAGTTGTTGTCATCAACAATGTTGGCTGTGATCTTGCCATTGACGGCCTGACGGCCACGGGCGTTGTCGCAGAGGAATACGAGTCCTTTCTGCAAAGGTATGAGGCTCTCCCTCCCTCCCTCCCCCCCCCCCCCCCCCCCTCTCTCTCTCTCTTTCTTTTACGGTCTCTCCTTGTCCTACCTGCTGACCGAGAACTAGCGCCCCTGACGAGCCTCTCAAGTTCGAGCAGCTTCCCCCCTCTCATCCCCTCTACATTCTCTACTCCAGCGGCACGACGGGCCTGCCCAAAGCAATTGTGCACACAGCCCTGGGCACTCTCATCCAGCATAAGAAGGAACACGCCCTGCACGGCTCCCTCACCTCGTCCTCGCGCATGCTTTACTACACGACCACCTCATGGATGATGTGGCACTGGTCCGTCTCCGCCCTTGCCGTCGGCGCTACTCTCGTCCTCTACTCCGGCTCCCCCTTCAAGCCCCACGGCCACCTATCGCTCCCGCGGCTCCTCTCTGACCTCCGCGTAACCCACTTCGGCACTTCCGCTGCTTACCTCACCGCCCTCGAAGCAAACGCCGTGTACCCCGTCAACGAGCCCGGCATCGACCTCTCACCCCTCGAGGCGATCTACTCAACCGCCAGCCCCCTGCCGCCCTCCACCTTCTCCTTTGTCTACAAGGCCTTCCCGTCCAAGGTCAACCTCGCCTCGATCACCGGCGGAACCGACATCATCTCCCTCTTTGGCGCCCCCTGCCCTCTGCTCCCCGTCCGCGTCGGCGAAATCCAATGCGCGGGCCTCGGCATGGCCATCCGCGCCGTGGACTCCCTCTCGGGTGAATCCCTCCCCGACCCATCCCACCCAGGCGACCTCATCTGCACGGCCCCCTTTCCCTGCCAGCCCCTGACCTTCTTCGGTACCGGAGGTGACGCGAAGTACCAGGCGGCCTACTTTGAACGCTTCTCCGACGTCTGCGGTGTCAAGGGCGCCGTCTGGCACCACGGCGACTTCGTGAAAATCCCGAACCCGGCGACGGGATCGCTTGTGATGCTTGGCCGCTCCGACGGTGTCCTCAAGCCCGCGGGCGTGCGTTTTGGCAGCGCAGAGATCTACAACATCCTCACGCGCTTCTTCGCTGCCGAGGTCGAGGACGCCGTCTGCGTCGGTCGGAGACGCGCCACCGACGCCGACGAGACGGTGTGTCTCTTCGTCGTGCCCGCCGCGGGACACCAGTTCGATGACGAGCTGCGGGCCAAGATCAAGAGCGTTATCCGGAGAGAGCTGAGTCCGAGACACGTTCCTGGTGTTGTCGAGGAGTGTGGTGGCGGCATCCCGAAGACGGGCAACGGGAAGAAGTAAGTTTCACGACATTTGTGTTGTCTCTTTGGAAATTCTTGATGCAGGGAACTACTATTCAGGACGAAGGAAAAACTGACACAACTGATACAGGATCGAGGTGGCGGTCAAGCAGATCCTCTCCGGCATGGACGTCAAGACGAACGCGAGCGTCGCCAACCCCGAGGCCTTGGAGTGGTTCCGCGCGTGGGCCACGACGCATTAATTCTCTTGTTTTCTGATCCTACGATTGTTTTGTGCGATAGACGCTTCACCTCGCCGCTTGACGCTGCTGCTACCAGACCTCAGCGGGTCAGGCTGGGTTACGCATGGGAAACGGAGGGATGCGATGGGGAAAGACGGCGAGACTTGATTTACATTGCATGATCGAACTCCGCTAGCTGTTAATGTCAAAGTCGGAGGCGGATTCGGTCCCGGTAATGGTTTTGGTTTTGATTTTGGGGATCTTGGTGGTGGTGGTGGTGGTGGTGGTGGTGGTGGTTTCTTGCATGCGACCCCCAACACCAATGAGCATGATTGGAAGTCGGAAGCTGCCAACGTTTGGTCCCAGTGTCCCGGGACCTGGGCCGGATCGACATGCGCGCATCGGAGCAAATACCAAGTCAATGACCATGAGGGTCTAATCTGCGTGGGGGTTCGCCGGGAGGGGTGTGTGTGTGAGCACGTATGTATGATGGAGACCCCCACGCCTCACCCGCGTGCCCAACCCACCTCGCACCCAACCCAGCCAACGACCGCCCGGAGCAGCAACCCTTTTCCTAGTCACCTCATGCGCGCGCCCTCGGAACGGACCGGTTGGCCTGGAGCTTGCAGACCCGATGGGCTGGGCCTGATATAGTGGTGGATGTAGTGGACGTGGAGGAGGAGGAAGAGATGGAGACGGAGACGGGGGTGGTGAGGGAAGGCGAAGGGAGGGCGTGGATTTAGAACCGCGTGCTCTCCATTCAACTACATACATCCTCCTCTCCTGCGCAGGCGTGGACCTGCGCGCGGCTTACGGCCTGGATCTGCATTTCCATTCCCGGTGTTGCGGACGGGATCTCCAGGGCCGGGGGGATGGGGTTAATCTTAGATGTCATCACTGGTTGGAATTTTGCGGGCTACACAAAAACCGAAAACGAGAATTCAGACACGAGTTTCACGATCTTGAGTTGTTGCCGCCTAGTGAGACAAAGACACTTGAGGGAAACGACTCCGTCGCGAGTCGCAAGAGACAGAGATTGTAGTTGACTTTTTGCCTAGCAACATGACCACGCATCTCATCACACGCTCGCAGGTCGAAAGAGGCACGAATCTGAAGTGATAAAAAGTCATATTGAATAAAGGCCGTAATCGTCGCAGGATCAGGCTCATGCCATGTAGTAATAACCATACCCAATAACTCCTATTATGCAATCGTCCACACCGCAGTCGGGGGACGTTTCATGTAACCCTTTTGTTTCTTTTTGTCTTGCTCGTCCCATGCTGTCCGCTTTCTTTCTTTTTGTTCTTTCGCACCTCCCATGCGTGTATAACCCAGAAGGAAAGACATTATCCGAGTATCCAAAGCCCAGTCATGCAAAACAAAAACACAATCAGACCGAGCACCGGTCAGGCAGCAGCCAAAAACGGCCACCGCTTAGTTAACGCTCGCCATACGCTTGGCCATGCTGGGAGAATAACAGTTAGTCAAATGGCCCATGTATGGGGGTGAGGAGGGGGTAACTTACAAATCATAGAAAGCAAACTGGCTAGGCTGGCTGCCAAACTGGTAGACAAACCTCGAGGCGAGGTAGCTGCCGAAAATGGCGCGCAGGTACGAGTCGGGAACACGCTGAATAATGGTGTCGAGACCAATCTCCTCCAAGAGAAGGTTGGGAAGGGCGTCCTGGAGAACCGAGCGACGAATTCTCTCGTCCTTCCAGAGGTCGGAGTGTTGGAGCTCCTCGTCCAGGGTGGTAATGGCGTTGGAGAGGTTGTCGGAGAGAACGCTGCGGGGGAGTCCGGTCTGCTCGTGTTCGCGCCAGATGGCCTCGAACTCGAGACGAGCGTTCTCTTGGATCTTGGCCTGGACGGACTTGACGTAGTTCTGGTAAAATTGAGGAGCCTGACCCTCGGAATCGTGGCACATGTGCTTGACAAAGTTCTCGTCATCGAACGAGAGCGAGGCAAGGACCTCGAGAGACGAAGACGTCACACCACCCTTGTTGGCGCTGGCGTCCTTGTACAGGATGCAGCCGGCGGCCTCCAGGCGGAGCTTGGCATCCTGGGTAATGAAGAGGTTGGCTCCCTCGACCAGATAGGGAATGGTCGACTTGCCGTCCTTGATGATCTTGTTAACCGAAATCAGGTCAATCGACTCGGGGCGACCACCACAGGGAACGAAACAGTCGGTCAGGCCAGTGTCGCGCAAGTGGTACGTGTTGCGGAACGACGTGCCGTTGGATATAAACTCGCCGGTGGGCAGGGTGATGTTGTTGTCATCGACCAGAACACGGTAACCATCCTTGGACAACTTGGACATGTCAAAGTTGACAATCATGGATCGCGACTTGGCAAGACGGAGGAGCTCCTCCTTGTCGATACCGTTGGGGTCAACGAGGACACCGGATCCGTCAACAATGGAAGTGTACTTCTCATTGCTGAGCAGGATCTCGTTGCTGCCCAGGTCACCGTCAGGACCACCAGTCTGCATCTTCTTGACAGTGGAGGGGTCAAGGTTGAGCTTCCTGTAGATGCCCTTGACGTACTCGCGGACAGACAAAGTGGTCATGCCGTAAGTGTCGTGGGGAATGCCACCCAGCTTGGGTGACTTGCCAGTGAAGAATGACTTCCACCAGGGTGCACCACGGGCGCGAGCGTGCTCGGTAGCCCAGTCGACAAGGTCAGCAGTGTTCTCGTCGGGTCCCATGAAGATGATTTCCTCCTTGCCGTACAGGTCCACAAGCGGGTTCTTGATGCCGGGAGTCTGGGCGGGGAGGAGGAGGTCGAGAATACTGTCGATGTACTTCTCAAAGGCCTCCTTGGCGCGGTCCTGCATCTTCGGGTCAAGAAGAATGACACCCTTGGAGCCACCTTCGGGAATGTCCTTGTTCTTGCGCTGCTGAGTGCTGGCAAGACCGTAGTTCTCGTCAAAGAGGTTGCGGGCGTTGATGCCGTACGCCTCCTTGCTGCGGGACTTGACGATACGAATACCACCGCGAGCAATGTCCTTGAAACGCAGGTGGAAACCGCGCGACTCGGCACCAATGACGAGGAACATGCCGTAGAGGCGCTTGGGGTACTCGATCTCGGGCAAGAACGAGGGGTCCAGGCGGAAACTCAGGGCAACCTTGGTGGGGGTAAAGTAGTTGGTCTTCAGGATGGCGTTGTTAAAGACGCGGAAGGCGGTCATGACCATCTCCTCGTGCTCGTTAGACACGTCGCGAGTGATGCGCTCCTTGAGCTTGGCATCAGACAGGACCTCGATGGCAGGGGTGGGGGCGATGAAGTGGCGGTCGAAGTCGGGTCCGACGGCGAGGTGCACCGAGGCGAAGGATGCGTACAAGGCGCGAACCAGGCCGGGGTACGACTGGATGATCTCGAGAATGTAGTCAGGGGTGAAGGTCTCCGTCCTCAGACGCCGCTTCAACTTGGACAAAAGTGCCGTGTGGGCCTGGTTCTTGGGGTCCAGGATCTCTGAGAGAGAGACATACTCGGAACCGAGACGGTTCAGGAAGTGCTGGATGAAGACCCAGACGCAGTGACCGTAGACGGTCTCCTGGAGGCTGAGCTCGCCGGAGGTGAAGAGCGAGTGCAGCTTGTTCTGGGGCAGACAGTACAGGAGCGAGATCTCCTTGGTGATCTGGTGGATTGACTGGTCCAACGAAGGGAAGTTGCCCTCGATGTTCATGGCGGGGCGAAGGTAGATACTCATGACCGTGATGCCATTGGCGAATTGCTCCACGTACTTCCTGGAGCTGGTGACGCCGTAGTAATGGTACAGGTCACTGAGAGCCGAGAACAAGCCGCGAGCAGTGCGCGAGCGGAAGGCGATGACCAAGCGCTTCTCGGGAGAGCCCTCGATGTCAAAGACCTCGATAACAGGGCCAGTTCTACTGACCGCGAGCTCGATGATCTCCTGGTAGATCTGCTTGGTGTTGCTAGTGGCCTTCTGGAGGAAACCGTTGTCGGCAATAACCTCCAAGCGGGTCTCATTGGGGTCCGTTGTCTCCGGGCTTTGCTTGAAGAGGCACTGGTAAACAAAGTAGCAGCGCAGTGTCGCCTTTGAGGTGGGCGATGCGCCCAGAACACCGGGAGAGCGGAAGGTCTCGACGCGGAACTTGGACTTGCCCGTGTGATCGAGATACTTGGCCTCGAGGCGCTGTTCGTAGCGGGGACCGGCAACAGAGGTTCGGCCGGGCTCGCTCGTGTCAATGTAGATGGCGTGGTCATGGGCCTCCATGTCGAGGCGGATCTCCTCACGCTTGTCCTCGCGGGCGAAGGCAGCCACCTTGGCAGCGTACAGGGAGGTGATCTGGCTGGCGATGACCTCGGGGACTTCGATCTTGAAGTAGACATCGTCAATGCCGAGCTCGTTGTAGAACCATGCGACTTGTTCCTCAATGAGGGCATCGGGGATCCAGCCGTTGTTCTTGATGAGCTCCTTGACTGGATTGCGCGTGTTAGTGGCGTCCAAGTGCCCGATTGCTTGCCAAACTCACCCTGCTCCATCTGTTCCTGCTTGCCAACGAACGTCGGCGCAATGTAGCCGACTGTTGCTGACCTCAGGACCCTGTGCCCGTTGCCAATGGAACGGGCAGCCAGGGGGACGCTGAAATGTGTAGGCTGGGGAGAGGGGCCGCGGCTGCTCTCTGCTGAGTCGGCCTGAACCTGACCCAGCATCTTGTTACGAGGGGGGGCGGCGGTCGCCATGATGTCGGAGATTTCTTCGAGAGGGTCTGGCTCGGAAGAATATCTATCCATGGGAAGGTCAGTATTGATGGACAGGGCCAACATTGCGGCGGGCGATATGTCCACGGGGGAGCAAAAGGGGCTAATGAGGAGTGACGGTGCGAGTACGATGATGAAGAGCAGAGGGGGAAGCTGGGCGTCCGGGGCGGGCGACCCGAAGGTCTAAGTAGGCGGCCCGACACGACGAAGCATCGCAGCAACGAGGAGAGTTACATGATGTTTGTGAGTCAGACTCAGACTGCTGCAGCAGAGCTTTGTTCGAGCGCCCGTTGGGAGAACCGGGATCGGTAATGCCTCGTAGGGATCTAGAGCAGGCTTGCTTCTCTAGACCGTGGGTTGGGAATGGGGGAAGGCCGGGAATGGCAGAAACAATGCTTGGGAAGCGCAGGCGTGTCGCGCGCGCAAGGTAGGTAGCGAGAGAGCAACGTGTTTGCGCTGAAGCTTCACCGCTGGACGCTCGTGCAATGGGCGGACTGATAAGAGAGGGGCAGGGGCATGCGATGCGAGGTGAAGGGGAGGGAAATAGAATTGGGGGGACATGGACTCGGACGGGCGTACCTTGCGTTCTCGGCAAACTAGTGCAATGCTGATCCGGTTCAGATACACAGGATCAGGTGCAAGGCGAGGGCAGAGCTAACAATGGGCTCGGATACCTGCTCCTTGCGGATTCGTTGGTAGGAAAGGGGTGGGAGAGAAAAGATAGAGGAAGAGAGACACGACGTCTAGTTCCGGGGGAGGAGTGCAGATATCGTCGAGGGGGAGGGCGTGGTGTTTTGTTGAGCGCGCGAGCGAGCGATGTGCACCCGATCTGGCTGATGTCAAAGTCTCGGAGAGGCGATCCGGCGGGGCAATTTTGTGCTCGGCCAGGCTTTCGAGTTGATGGGTGCACGACAAAGAGCCGAGTGTCTCGCGGTAGCCAATGGCAGCAGAGACAGCTTTTGATGGTAGACAAAGACGGGATGAAAGAAGGAGTTGATGGGGGGGAGCGAGGTCGAGGGAAGTAGCTCCAAGCCCAGAAAGTGTTCGATATATACGTGATTTTCTTCTCTCCGTGTTCACGAGGGAAAGATACAGCGGGCAGAGCGAGAGGGGAGTTTCCCTGTAAACTGTGACTGGTGGTCAGCAGGATTGCCCGTATTAGTATTGTGGAAGCTGCCGTAGGCGCGACCTTGTTCAGCTTTCTCAGGTACGGGAAACCAAGTACCTTTTTTTTTTCTGCCTCTGCAAAAAAAAGTTGCGACTACTTGCTCAAGCGGGTGGGCGATTAGAATGCGTCAATTGACGTAAGGTGGATGATGGGGATCCCGGGCAACACAGCCATCCGACCGGCTTTGGTCAATTCGCTGATGCTGGTACCTTTTTTCCCCTCCTCGACAGGGGAGAATCTTGCTTCTGTTCAGGCCCCAGGGGGCGAGAGAATCAAGGGGACCGGGTTTGGAGGGGATACAGATGGAAATGGAATCCGGTGGTCACTGGACTGCGTGACTGGGCGGCTGGAATGGCGGGTGTGGAGGGGCCTGGAATCTCTCTCGCTGGATTCGAGAAGAAAAAAAGAGGACACTGGGTTCTAGATCCTGGCTCAGGCACGGGTACCAGAGATTCAGTTGCGGTGACGGTGACGCTGGTTTGCGTGATGTGGCGACACCGAGGGGCAGGTTTTGGAGAGATAAGGACCCTGAACTAACTCGGGCTGCTGTGTCGCTGTGCTCAGCTGAAAATAGCAGCAGGGCGGACGGGCAAGGTCGTAGTGTAAGGCGGTAGCCACAGGGCTGTGAAAGGAGGCCGGAGAGCGATGGATGCCGGGCCAGTCTACTGTTGGCTGGGGCTTGTGGCTGACGCGAGAGAGAAAAGAGGCGAGTACGGGCGTCGTTGCTGAGGTGGGAGCCGACCAACACGAGGGATTGGATGGTGAGGACGGTATTGGTGCTTGTTTGGTGGCTCAGAGGAACGGGCGATAAGGGGTTCTTGGGCCAGTAGGAACGAAGCCGGAGCAAGAGGGATGATGATGATGATGCTGCTGCTGCTGCTGCTGGAGGCTGCTGGTGAAAGGCAGTTTCGACCTGATGCCGAGCTGCAGTTTGGAGGGGGAGGCAGAGAGAAGAGAGGAGGGATGAGGATGAGGATGAGGATGGAATACCAAAGTCGATCAGGGGCCGGAGAGACTCACGATCCAACAGGCCCGACTCTAACCTTTATACTCGGGGTACTGGACGACTTGACGACCGTCTTGTTCATGCTCTGCTCTGCGCTGCTCTGCACGTAGAATGCCGATTACGATTCTCCTTCCCACTCTTTTTTCTGCTCATGTATGTACACACACCCCCAGCCAGGCAGGTGACTCGCAACAAGTGAGGAGATACTGGACGAAAAACGCATACTTCAGGCACGTTGACATGCATCCTTGCAAAACCACTGTACCGTTTGGAATCCAGGTATTGTCTTCTGTGAGGTTCCTACAAGTGCTGGATCACGATGATGACTTCACCCACAGCGCAAATGGCGAACTATTACCAAATAGAAACCGGTCTAAGCCGTTTCGGGTAGGCAGCAGACGGCAATTTGCGTCGCTGATTGGATCACCAGCTTCAAAAGGGCAGATACGTACCGGAGTACCTCTTCCATCTTGCAGTGGCGCCGGCGTTGGTGTTGGTCACTCACTGGCCCACGACTATCCCGGGGGGGGCCTGGGGTAAACGGTACATTGTCAGGTACGATGGAGCCCCGCGCCCATGGCAGGCGGTCTTTTGGTTGACAGGCTGGAGCACAAGCTGAGGCAAGTGAGGCCTGGGAGCTGCCACATGGGGCACATCACATGCGCCAATGGAGGGGCACCAAGAAACCACCAAGACGCGCAAAACCTCCACTGGGAGAGACCACGATGCCCTCTCGCCGGTACGTACCCGGTACTTTGTCTCTAGAGGTACAAATTCGAGTACAATGTACTTGTTGTTATACGTATCTCCTGCCATGTCACGGCTATTCGAGGCTCTCCTCTCCACACTCTTGTATCTTTGCATTTTTATTCCCTTGCATTTTTTTCTCGGTCTGTTTCTTGCTGTATCGTATCTGGTCACAGAGTGTCGGAGGGGCTACCCGACCTTTTTTTTTTTTTTTTCCCTTTTTTTTCCTTCCAAATTAGAAAAAAAATTCTCCTCTCATGGTAGGCGCTGCCAGGCTGGAAGCCCAGGCCGCCGCCCCTCTGCCTCGGCCGGCCCGGTTGGGTTGAAGATCTCAGATGTCAGAGACAGATTCGGTCGTCCACCGACAACTTGCTTCACCCCCAAGCCAAAGCCGATTGCGATGGCCTTTCGGCAAGACATAGCATCTTAGCCACCGTCGTCCGGTCGCTTGCAGCAACGCAGAGGACACTTTGCCTGTTGAATCGGCTGTGCAATGTGTCAAATTGGGCAATGGCACGACTGGGGCCGCAAGTCAAGAGCCCGGGCCGCCGGTCTCTCCGCGCGGCCTTGGATCTCGTGAGCAATACACTTGGTTACTCAGTCCAATGTGTTCCCTGTGCGGACCGGGTTTATCCACCAACCCTTCGTAATCGACGATGTCCCTCTATGCCTCTCCCCTCTCCGTCTCTTGCCAGACGCCCCGACAACTCGGCACTGGTAGCCGCCGTCTTGCTTCTTGACGCAGATCCAGACGAAACAACAGGCATAGTACAGAGTACAGACAATACCTCTCCTTTCATGTTTGTTCCTCGGCGCAAATAAACAACGCAGTCGCAAACGCAACCCAACGCACAGGGCCTTTGGCACGGCAGGACTATGTCACAATGGGACAGTGTCGGTGACGGAGGAGGGCCGGTACCTGGATACCCGTTCTCCAGTGCCTAGGAACCTGCGGGTTTGCGACTCTTACAAGCGTTTGGCGGCGCGCGTAACGGATCCGGTCGAGGTCTCGAGTACCTTGTGCTCCGTGTCCGCCTTTTGTTTTTATTTTTATACCGCTTGTTCGTGTTGCAGCTCAAAACGCCCGCTTCTCAAGCGCCGGCCCAGCCAGCGGACCCCCCTACGACCCCCGATAAGAGAAGGTTTTGTCTCCATTATAAGTGACTCCGAGGCGTGTGGAATTGTTGCAATTTCGAGTATCAAAAAGACGCAATATCTCTTCGCTGGCAAGTACACGAAACTTGCACGTCGTTTGTCTTAGCCGACTTGCGAGTCAAGGCAGAAAAAGACGACAAGCTTCCCTGCAGGAAACCCAGAGCCCAATGCAAACTACGGATACCAGCAACGAGCCATGTTCGTCCTGATGTTGTTTTCATTACCATACACTCCCCGGTTTCCCCTCCAAGGACAACAGCACGCCTCCGTTACGAGAGGGTAATGAAAACGACCCGAGACCCCTTCTCCCACAATTACCCCAGGTTTCTGCCCACAGCTTGGTCCAGCCTTCTTCTGTAAGCCTGCACTAGTCCTTCTCCAAGGGACGCCCCAACAACAGGACGGCATGTGTATCCACGATGCAGCACCAGAAAAAGAATGTGAGAGATCACGAGACGGCACATGTTGGGGATGGCCCTTGCCTAGGTCAGGTCTCTCTCCGCCTCCCCGAGTGGCCCGGGAGCGCGGCGGCTGACTCCACAGCCGCCCCAAAGCCAGACAGTCCGTTCCCCAGCAAGCCGGGCCCGAAATCATCGAGTTTCCATTACCCCCAGATTACTTGATCGTGCAGCAGCGCACAGTTGCGACCCCGAAGGCGAGGGGGCCACGGGACAGACCGACTTGGCCACATTGGGGAATTCTGGATGACGGGAAACCTAGTTTTTGCCCAACTTCGGCCGGGGGCTAAGCGTGCCTCAGCTCGTTTGCAACCCGGTCTTTTCCAAAAAGAATGTAGTGTACGTCGCACAATTGATATCCTCTCACTTTGAGTCTCCTTTCCGTCGAGCTCCAGTCTACATAAAAAAAAGCTGGGCAGGCCAGGGCCCCGACCGTCGAGGTACCCGCGATCCCGCATCGCCATTACGAAATGGAAACGGCCATTGTAAAACACTGCCGGTGTCTGACACCCCCCTCCCTCCCTTACCTTCCGTCACGCGGTCCGGCGTGGTCTTTTGTTTCGTCCAAGAGCCGTTGCAAAAGTAACCAAAGTAATCCTGCCGCCTCCGCCGCCTCCGCCGCCGCCGTCGCCGCCGTCACCTGCGAGCTTGCGCCAGCTTGCGTGCTAGTCAGCAACGGTGGATGTTATGGGGTAAGAGGTTCGTTCGAAGCTGGTTAGAGTGTTTGGAATGGATATCCAACTCGGCTGCTTATGACTTAGAAAGTCGGACACCTAAGGCATTGTCGCTTGTCCACAATCCAGACACTACGTGTTTCTCTAGATTCCTTGCCTGCGCAATCCACACATTGCCCGAACGGGACAGAGACGAGGGGTCGGGCGAGATGCTAACCAACCACGGCCCCCTTGGGGTTCCAAGAGACAATATGTGTCACGATGCCTTCGTCCCGTCCTCACCGTCCCTGATTGACCTCGCGGAAGCCGGGTTCTAGAACTATCGCCTCGAGGTGTGGACACGCACATACACATTACCGCCTCTTGTCTAAATCTACCCCTCTCGAATGGGGGAACGTGTTCGGGGGAATGGTGACTGTGTCTCTGGACTGGATCGTGACCCAAATAAACCCCTGCACCGCCACAAGGGGAAGAAAAAACTCGGATCGTCACTTGTCCTCCTCACCTTCGCACTTCTCCCGAGGCCCCCCATGTCCCCAACGTCCCCAGGTCCCCTTTCCATGCCCCGGAAAGCTTGGGCCTGAGGGCAGCCAAAAGACACAGGTCACGATGCCTCGTTTTAATTTCCTCCTTTCAGGGTTCATGGCAATTACACCATTCCAGCCCGAGGTCACGATGGGAGACACGGTTTTAGGTCTGAGAAACTCGTGACACATCAAATCAAAACTCTCCTCCAAAGGAGACTTCACGATGCCTGCATGTGCCCATCTCTCTCGCCCCTTGCTTACGCCAGAGGCTCGGTTGCGAAGTTGCAGAAGCGCTTGCGAAAATTGCGGCATCCGTCGCGAATGCCACAAACGCAATGCCGGCCGCTGCACTTGCAGCGCATGCAGGCCGGCCAGCCGATCGGTCAGGCTTGGATATTGCTTGTGTCTGGGTCGGGGGTTCACAAACAAGAGAGGCCTCCTCGAATGTGCATATCGACGGGCGCTTCTCTGCCGCATCAGTTCCGATCCGGAAAGGCACCGCGATCCGGTGCCTATTTCCAATGGTGCTTCTGAAGGGATTTCACTCCAACCAACGCTGTGAAACGGGATTTGCCCGCTCCAAGCAGAGAAATCGCTCGCCCGAGTCTAGTAGCCCAAAGAGCCATCCCCGCGGTTTACGCCAGTTGGACAACAAACCCAAGGAGGCCCTCGCGACTGACAACAATCAGCTCCGTCCATCGATTCGAGCCCACTCAGGAACCGTACTGTGTCGTGAATTGTTCCCTCCTCGATCGACGGTCCCTGGATCCACAAGGGAAAACTTTGTGACATGCCCCAGGAAAACATTGAGTAAGCGGCAGCCAAGCAGAGCCTCCTGTGGCCCTACGAAAAAACTGTGGTGATCACGTCGGATTCTCCACCCGAGACTGTCCCAACGTCAGTCTGACTTTTCTTTGGCCAAGCAGCTCTTCCCAGCCCTGGCCTGCCGGCCGATTACCACGGTTCGTTGTCATATTCCGAGCTTGGGACCGTGAATGGCACAATGCAGAAGAAACCTGCTGAGCTTTTGTCTTTCTTCTCCCTATTGCGTCTTTGGTCGGGATCACACATTGGGGCAGCCCACCGATAGATGGCCATTGGCGACATGAACGGCGTCAACTCGTCAGGTCTCTGGTCCTTGGCTAGACTTGAGAGAGCAGAATCTTACCCACCCTCCCGGAGAGAGACGCATGAAGCTAGGAACACATGTGCGAAGATCATCCGGGCCCGGAGACGCTTTCCAAGCTGCCGGCCGCAACGGTCGCTTGGCTCGTCTCCCCTCGATATGAGTGAGCACTTGTTCAACTCTGCCGCCATTGCTGGGGAACACAAAATGTCAACTCCTCTGAGCAGATGATCCACCTAAGCCGAGGGTGACGCTGGCTCAATCCGAAACGATCACGTCGGGTTCAGGTGCTTCAGGATCTGCAAGTCTTGCAATTCCTGCAAGTCAGCCCTCACAGCCGCCGTCGTAAGATCCCGTGCCGTGCCCCGGAAGGACACACGACGAAGGCATCGGAGGAAGGGTGGGAGCTGGTTAGACTTTTCTCCAAACCCCAGAGTCATCTCTTGCCGGATCAGCCGCACTGTGATCGCCCGAACATGGCGGGAGCGGTCTTGCTGCTGCTCCGTCCGTCCAACGCCGTCACACCCGGTCCCTCCATATTAACCTCCGTCCATCTGTTTCTACGTTCCTCCTCTCTGGAGGAGGTGCCCCATCTGCGTGGAGTGTACATGTCAACCCACCCAGCAGGGACCGACGTATTAGTCCAGCCTCCAGGCCACGAACCTTGTGGGATGGAGGCAAGACGAGCGAGCCCACCCCCGCCATGTTTACGGCGTAGGTACGCGGCGTACCTGGCCGGCCTTGCCAGGACCTGTCCTGTCCTGTCCGTCGTCAACAACGGCATCCACCCCCGTGCCCCAGACTCGCGGGCGTCACCCCGTGCATCTTTGCAAGGCGAGCCAAGAGACGAGTCAGCAATACCCCGCATGTGGCCAGCTTATGGGGTAATGAGGGGGTAATACCGGGGTTTTGAGGGGGTAATGAAAACTCCCATATTTCGTAATTCGAGGCTTTTTGGCTCGAGCACATTATTTGCTTTAATGCTTCAGAGGGAAGGAAAAAGTTTTCATCGTCGTCACGATGCAGACTTTGAGGTTTGACAACAGCGAGAATGGGAGGTACATACCGAAGTACACTGTACTTTGGACTATGTACATGAATGTTGGCAGAGAAAAGTGTATCGAGCTGGATCTATCATCTCACCCCATCCTCCATCTCCCATACCTACCTCGAAGACATCCCAGATCCACCTTGTCAAGTTGTTGGAGAAAAAGAGGATCCCCTGCTCCCTCTCTCCAATTCCATGGTGGGAACAGCTGGTGCCTCCTGGGCCTCTCAGTGGTCAGCAATCCTCCCCTCACCACGCTCGTACTGGCTGACTGGCAGTGACGCTCTTGCTTCACAATGCTGCCAGCTGCTTCAACGTGCCCCGCCAGCCCGGGGACCGTCTGAACCCCTCATTGGGCTATGCGGACCACCACGCGGGAAATATTGTGCGGGTATGGTGCATCATGACTTCACTCCTTCAGTTCGAACTGTTGAACAGCGAAACCAACGTTAGAGTTACATGTCGTAATGTGTTTTCCGAGGCCCGTTTAGTCCAAGGATCTTGATACAAACCAAAGGACCATCGGTCCCGTTTTTTCAAACTTCGAAATACCTGCAGGAGTCACAAACTTCATTACGATTTCCCCACCATCCCCGTCTCACCGTGAGCTCGAGTCCCCCTCCCAACCTCCAGCCAAGGTCAGAAGCTGCGGTAGCTCTCGCCTTAGTCAAAGGTCACCCACAATAGCCTGCCCCAAAGATGGAACCTTCGAGTAGAGCACACGCCGAGGCCCTGGACCAGAGAGACGCGCTGAGGCACACGCGGGACGAATTCGTCATCCCGACCAAGCAAGAGATCACCAGCAAGACCCTCGCCAAGAAAGGTCAGCAATTGGAGGCTGCCTCACTCCCCTGTTGCATCAGACGACACTTATCACTCCCCTCCCATCATATAACATTCCTCTTTTATACCCCTAGTTTCAAAGGCTGACATGCTTGGGGACCAAAAGATGACGGCTCTGCCGCTCCCAGCGCTGGCCAGCAGAAGTGCACCTACCTCTGCGGGAACTCGCTCGGTCTGCAGCCCAAGCGCACCGCCGTGAGGATTCAGCAGTATCTGTCCACCTGGGCTACGCAGGGCGTCCAGGGCCACTTCAAACCTCTCGAGGACTCCCCGTTGCCGACATGGCTCAACGTCGACGCGAAGGCGGCTAAGATGATGGCCCCCATCGTCGGCGCCGACGAGTCTGAGGTGGCCGTCATGCAGACCCTGACGGCGAACCTCCATCTCCTCATGGCGGCGTTCTACAAGCCCCAGAAGGAAGGCAGGCATAAGATCATCCTGGAGAGCAAGGCCTTTCCGAGCGACCACGTGAGTCCTTCCCTCCGCAAGATGAAAGGATGAGTGAGATTGACACCCGTTCAGTTCGTCGTGGAGACTCAAATCAGACACCACGGCCTCTCACCTTCAGAGTCAATGGTCTGCATCGAAGCCCCCTCAGCATCGACGGAGCCAACCCTCACAACCCAACACATCCTCTCCACCATCGAGCACCACGCCTCGGACACCGCTCTCCTCCTCCTCCCGGGGATTCAGTACTACACAGGTCAGCTCCTCGACATCCCGACCATCACCGCTTTCGCGCACAAGCACTCCATCCTCGTCATCTGGGATCTCGCCCACGCCGTCGGCAACGTGCCCTTGAAGCTGCACGAGTGGGACGTCGACGCCGCGGCGTGGTGCACGTACAAGTACCTCAACGGCGGGCCGGGCTGCATCGGCGGCTCGTTCGTCAAGTCGAAACACACCGCCGTGACGACTTCGGTCGAAGATCCGGACTCCGAAAAGGGGTACGTGAACCGGCTCGGCGGGTGGTGGGGCAACGACAAGTCGTCCCGCTTCGTCATGGCCACAAAATTCCACCCGGCGCCCGGCGCCGCCGGGTTCCAGCTGAGCAACCCGAGCGTGCTAGACATTACATCTCTGTGCGCATCGCTCGAGGTGTTTGAGCTCGCCGGCGGCGTTGGCGCGCTGAGAGAGAAGTCGTTGAGGCTGACGGGGTACCTGGAGGAGCTGCTCGGGGCGATGCCGGACAAGGAGAGGGCGCTGTTCCGCGTCCTTACGCCGAGGCGGCCGGAGGAACGTGGCGCACAGTTGAGCTTGTTGCTGGCGGACGGGCTGCTTGACGGTGTGATGGACTTCTTCGACGAGGTTGGTGTGGTTATCGATGAGAGGAAGCCGAATGTCATCCGGGTCGCGCCGGCGCCGCTGTATAACACATTTGCGGACTGCTTTGACTTTGTGGAGCAGTTTGGCAAGGCTTTGCAGAGAACAAGCAAGAGCACGTAGACTTGGATCCAAATAGAACAAAAATTACAAGCATGAGGAGTATTCCTCTGCTACGGCTGGTACGTTCTAAGCAAAGGTGAGAGAGCAGGTGCCGAGGACTCTGTAAGGCGCGCTTCCCTTACTGAGATGCGCACTTACCTGAACGAAGATGGTATGCGTACACTCTTTCTGGTTACTCCAGAACTTATTGGACTCTGTCTGTGTATTTCTTGTGGAAGTTATCGCGTACGAGTCGGACGAGGGAGATGGAGTTTGCCAGGAAGGCCCCGTGTCTACACGCCAGTTTGCGTTTCGCCTGACGTGCCTTGATCATGGAAGGTCTTCGTGCGTATAATGGGGGCACGGGTAAGAGAGGTGATGCTGGACGGGCAGGAGACTTGCGAGGCCCGCGAGGATCTCGTTTCTAGGAACATCAGCTTTTTATGGACTGTTACTCATGGTCTCCATTCCCTCGACCAACTTGCCAACACCATCGGAAGGTGGCATACCCTACTCGTTTACTTCCACCGTTCGGCATCTTCCACAAATTAACCCCATTGCAGGGTGTATGAGTGGCCTGGTAGGTTTGCAGAGCGTACACATGATAAGGGCAGCAGTCAGAATGCTCCAGTATGCGATTAAATGCTTACTTCGGTGACTGGACTATGCGATCTGTTTCACGTCACTCAGCCTACCGCCTGGTCAAGTTGTGAAAGTCAAGCAATCATGTCACCCATCGTTTCCTAACATAGTTTGACCTCCAAGTTTGAGTGGTGAGATAAGAGAGACTAGGGATACGGTTATTAAAATGAAGCTTTGTCAAGTGTCAACCATGGTAAATGGTATCTCCGTCCAATACCTCAATGCGGAAGTAGTATTGCATGTAAACAAAATCGGTGGAAGATGGTAGTTCTTGTATCGATATCGACTGAACTTACTGTTATAAGAAGACACTGAAGTCAATTCAACAAGACAAGGGAAGATCCTAGCAGAAAATCAGAATGGCAAAAAGTGAAGGCAAGTGTTTTATACGTCTTGGCAAGCGATATACAGATCTCATAGGTCTTGATTGACGACGGGCCTGATTTATATGATAGTCTGGAGACACGGCATTCGCAGTATCTACAGCTCCTGCAGTTCTGGGCTATGGAAGACCCCATTGGCAGAAGTGCCTCAGTCATGATTTTCGCATATAAACCCATTCAACATGACATATGTCTGGGGTGGTGGAATACGCCATGACATATAGTAATCTCCAATGCATGTAGGCTTTCTTGCGTTCTCATTATGTATCACGCATTCCTTCAGCTACACCAGCCTCTCATCAGGAGACACTGCAACATTATCTTTCTCCATAGATGTCAATTCTTGAAGACCGTGTAGCTCTCTTTTACACCCCAATGAACAAGTGGCTACCATCTGGTTCATTCATCACGACAAGCAAGTTGGTATAGATGGGACTGGCGGAAGGGACAACGACCGAAGCAGCCTATCACTTTCCCCGCTCAGGAGAGGAGCTATACCGGCGGGCTCTACTGGTAGACGCTCTTCTGTTCCGTCTGCTGTCAACGACTTTCCACCAGCAACTCGCCTCCGCCTTGCATTGGACCCGGGAGCACATCAATACCTAAGCCACTACGTTGCCCACTGAAACAACAACCCGACTCCAGCTGCTCTTATCTCTGGTCTCAGTCAGTTGGTCTGATGTTCGGGAGTCCCTTGCCTCAGCAGCTGGGCAGACTATCGTCGACCACGTACTCTTACGATGCCAAGGCTATGCTCTGATCTCTGCTGATGTGAGTGTGACAACCCGGATGCAGGGACTGACGTCCCGCGACATCTCCAGGGAGACGCAGGGCGTGTGGCGGAGCCGTCGTCTTCACTAAAAGCTTGCCAAGAAGAGGGATATAGATATGCTCAGACGATCTGCAATGATATCGCGTAGGCGTGAGCCCTAGGGTTGTTCAGACGCCATGGCAGTTTCGAATGTGGATGCGTTCAACAGTTCGGATGAAGAGCTCATCCTCACGGCTTGACGGGCTCTCGATCCCACGATTAGATAACACGAGTATCGTGGTAAAATCACCTCTGCGTGCTCTCTGTTCACCGCCAACAGCCGTGTCTCTGGGTGCCGAGACATAATGCAGGGAGAGACAGCCTGTCATTTTTGCCCCTGAGGATAGCATATCAGTCGGCCGCAAAACATGGCTCGGTGAGACACTGACATGCAGAGGTCGACCGACACTCGCAATTAGTCAGGCACTCCCGCATCCAGGGAGAATTGGACCGCAAACCTGTCTTCACCTGGGACGGCATGTTTTGCGTCTCCAGCGTGGCAGATGATGCCGGGCTGTGCATATTCTATGAATCATGGAAGCGCACGACAAGCACCGAGAAGCTGGGAGTGGCCATTGTCAGATCAACATTTGACCGAGTATCAGACGGCCGGCGGTGGCTCGCAATGCTGGCTGAACTCTAGAATAGCAGATTGGGCCGTTCGGTAGGAGAGCATGAGCACAGACGAGCAGATGTAAGCGAGGTGCGTCGTGCTAGCAGCCCTGGAGCCTCGGTCCCGAAGGGACGGGTTTCAAAACGAGGCTCTTTTCTGGCCTCCATTCTACGCTGGCCCTGCCTTGGGCAATGCAATTGACTTTCGCCTGCGGCCGTGGCCCGCGATTGGGCTCTGGCTCGTGCTCAGCAAGCTTCCGGGGATGCACAATCGCACGGGTTGCCGGCGCGGACATGTCCCCATGTTATCCTTACGGCGAATGTTGAATCGGGCCATCCAGCCGTAGTCGGCGGGATGATGGCCGCGAGAACAACAATGGGAAAGCTGTTTGAGGATTGTTTGCAGACAGTGCACGACCGGGAGGGATGTTGCCTATGGAATGGCCTCACGAAAGCAGCTGGCATGCTGCGATGATTGTCTAGAATTCCGCACTCGGTCTTCGGGTCACTCGGCGTGGGCCGAAGCCCTGCACTCAAGGGTCTAACAGAGCTGAACAAGCCACGGGGAAAGCGCCGCCGTCCATGCCACAGGTCGAAGGTTGGGGACTGAGGTCGACGGCGCCGTTCGCGAATAGGGGACTGAGTTGGAAGAGCGTTTGAGGCGAGGCGCGACGAAACGGGCCAACCGCTCTGACACACTGTGGATGCTGGTGGCGGGCGGCCACGGCTTGGGTGGTTGACCGAACGCAGTGAAGCTTGTGAAATGCATCACACGCACCGACGAGATTCTCGACGCAAGAAGACTGGTGGTTTGTGGGTAGCGTCCGGACGCTCTTTTGCTCCCAATGTCGATTGCCGGAGACGGACAGAAGGTTGACGAACTTGGTTGACGCCGGGAACGCCGTTCGATCTGGGAGCGCGTGACTGTACGCTGCTTGTTCGCAATCGAGCAGAGCTATCCATGTCAAAGATCCATGGAGGCCGGCCGGTTGTTTTAATCCCCGGGGCCAGTGAGGTCAACGCAATGGGAAGGCAATGACGAAGCCGCGTTGTTTATGTTTATTTTCCGTCATGCATCGGGGTGCTTGTCTACCTGAATCCGGACGATATTTCAGTGGACTATGCGGAAGTGGAAATGGGAGTTCGGAAGTTGCGATGAATGTGGATCAGCTCGATATTGTGCAAGTGGCCGAACATAGCAAGATACGTGTCGATCGCGACTCTTGGGCGACATTATAGGTGCTGGTGGGAAGTAGTGCACTATGACTGTTCTGGACCACGACGGACGGTCAATCTGTACGCCAGCCAATGCGAAGGGCCGCTTCCTCAGTGGCCAACGACACGGGCCCCGAGAGCTTAATTGTGTCCAGGGCGGGACCTCCCCTAACAGCAGGAAGTAGTTTTCCGCTCAAGGAGTATGACAAAGGTACCTGGTCTCTGATAAAGGGCGACGGATTGCCATGTGTTGTTGGTGAACGGACCACGACGCAAGTTCAAGGAGAACGAGGGAAAGGGGGGAACGGTAGCTGCAGTAGCAGCTTCAGGGCAGTGATACGGACGCATAAAAGAAAAGGGAGAAGAAAAACCTACAGAGTAGTTTGTAACGGAGTTGGGGAGAAACGGAGGTGGCTCCTGAGTTTTCAGTTCTCGCATCGAGCGGGAGGTGATGGAACTTCATCTGACCAGGAAAGATGGAATCTTGGAAAATGACTGGCCCCAGTGACAGTGCCCTTGTCGATTCCCAGTTGTTTCAAGTCCACCAACCCCCTGGCCAAACATCGTGCAGGGTGGGCATACCTGGAGCATTCGAGGACCAAGAACCAGATTGACTGACGGACGGTCCGTTGCCCAATTTATTTGCCTAACCCTTTTTTGCAGATACCCAGAGAGGCTTCTCAGCTTGTTCGAGGGCGAGACATGGGACCAGGGGGGGGGGGGGGGGGGGGGATTGGGCTGACATACCGTTCCCCTGGGAAAGTGACACAACCACCAAGAGTGATCGGCTGCGCGTATTGTGTGCCTGACATTGGGAGCGCACAACAGCTGCAGCTAAGAAAACGAAGGAAGCAGGCAGCACAATATCATCTGGACTATTCCGTACCTCCAGAGCACACGGCACGCGGGATCCCCATCTCTCAAGTGCCTTCCTCCTGCACAGTCTCCCGCATCAGATTGAATCTTGAGCTGCTTTAGCGGCGGCAGCACAGCAAAGGGGTTCCGACCAACCAACGAGCGTCCTCGGAGCTTCTCTGCTCGACCTGGGTCTCGCTCACCTTCTCTCGCCTTCCCCTATTATCCTGCTGCTCCGTCATATTCGCCCGCGCACGCACGCACACCACACCACACCACACCACACCACACCATACACCAATACACACAGCACACACACACACAAACATACTATACACGCACACACACATACTCTGGCTAGACCCTCCCTCCTGCGACCGACCTCCACGTTGTTCTCTTTTCCACTCACCCCAATTTCTCTTTTTCTTTCTGGGCCTTCCCGATCCAACTCGTGGGCAGTTCTCGACCACCCCTAATTGCTTGCAAACAAACAAAAAATTGTGACGGGCCCAACATCATCACTTCACCATTGGCAACGATCGCCAATCGGCCCTTGTCGCTCCTTTTTTATCATTACTGTTATTCTCTCCTTCATCCTTACTTTCTCGCTGACGAGTCGCCTTCGCTCGTCTCATTCGTCTCCTTCACCAACTACGCCGTTCCCTGTTCTATTCATAGCCCCGGCTCCTTGCCAGCCCAGCCAAGCACAGCAAGCCATCCAAACCAACCACCCCCTCCTTCAACGACACCAAGCTTCGCTTTCCTGGACTGTCCCGACAACGCCCAGACCCGACACACGACCACCAACCCGCCGCCCCTGGCTTATGCACCAGCGGCTTTTCAGCTCTGGCAATAGACCTTGGAAGCTTTGAGCTGCTACTCTTCGCTGTCCAGTCGGCCAAGATCCATCTCGTCTACCGCCAGGCCTGCTCCAGCCAAATCCCATCGTGGCTAGTTCCGCCGTGACGCCGCACCCTGGCAGCTCCGACGACAATCTCGCGCGCGCCGCTAGAAACCCAACCCGTTGTCCTTGCTCAGCCGACGAAACAGCGGAGTCGCAATTTCACCCCCCGTCCAACGCCAACTGCCTCCCTCTGCGCTCTTCTCCAGACCAGGCCACGCTTTGCTCGTACCAATCCTCTTGGCAGTCGCCTAACGCCCCAGCTTTTTGTCACCCTCGCTCCATGACCTTGTGCCGTCCATACGTCGTCTACCGACCAGGGTCTCATTTTACCATCTGACGGCCACCCAAAGGGGCTGGCGGCCAAACGCGACGGAAAATAATCCACGCCGAACTGTGGACGACGGGACGTTTTGCACTGCACACGAACGATCAGTTTCGGTGCTTGACATCAATACCACGCAATACGACCCTCACGACTCGAGAGTCCCGTCACATATTCACAATTCCCTCGACGTCTTGGCTGGCTTGTGCTGGCCTACGATCTTAGTTCGACATGACGAGACCTCACATTATCCGCGCCGGTAGGTTTATGCGACCCAAAACACCCGCGCTGACATCCATTCCTCCTGGCGCATCGCACTATGCCTCACCCCAAACATAACCTCCCCCCTTTCCCCATTGGCCCTGGCTTTTTTGTGTCTGAGCTTTAGTCTGAACCGGTCTTGGTTTAACGGCTGGCACCGCAGCCGATCAATCTTACAGAATTCTTTCCTTCCCCTTAGCCAGGAGAACCCCCCTCCAGAAGAAAAAAAAAAAACCCCAAACTGTTCGCCATCTTTGGTCGACATGTCACGCTGACCTATTGCCTCTTTTGTCGCATTTCCAGACACGATCGACCTTCAAGATCCCGACGCACCGTCAGCGAAAGACCACACTTCAAGAACGACCGGCTCCTTTGGCCCGCATCAGGCAGAGACTCTTCGAGAGGTCGCGCAAGAATCTGCCGAGGACCAATCGCACAACCCAAGGCAGTCTTGGACGAGCCCAGGCCACGACGACATCTCAGACTCGGACGACCTTGCGGGAGAGGTTTCCAGGAAGCTCACCACCGCCGCGATGGACGACGCAAGCAAAAAGCAACAGCACCAGGATGCGCTGGCCGTCGCGCAGAACGGAGGTGCGACGAACTCGGACGACGGAAACATGGACGACACGGACGATGACCTGGACGATGACGACATGATGGACAAGATCTCGAGTTCGCCTTCGATTGAAGATGGTGGGTACACTTCGAATATCCCTCCGCAACAATGGCCGCGGCGAGTCGATTCTCTACCAGTCATGAGAGACCGCGGCTCCCCCATTTCCCCTACTTTCAGCGAGGCAAGGTCCTCATCTCCTTACCCTGAGCCCCTTCAATACCCACATGCATTTCCCTCCTGGCAGCATAGCAAGGCATCTGCCGTTTCAGCAAATCGTCATCATCTTCGTGGTGAGTATACCGGATAGGGTCGACATACAAACGACGACGAACGATACGACGAGCAATGCACCAACGAGTACTACACCAGCAATCAATACGGCATCCGGCATACTGGTGAACCCTACAACGAAGTAGAGTATCGGCACGAATTCTACGATCACTACAACGACTGGATTTGGCATGGCGGAAATGTCAGGAGTCATGAAGTAAAGTTCAGTATGGAGAGTGTGGCACAACATGGACCGATTGTTGTGCGCCCGCTTCGGCTCCGCAGATCTGAGGTACCCGGCCACGAAGACTTTGCGCAGCGACGTGCCGAGATGGAGAAGGCAGAAAGAGATGAGGCAGTTGGCGGGCTCGACGACAACGGCATCCTCCTTACGGTCCCTTACGTACCCTCAATCCACGATGAAGATGATGACGATGACGATGACGATGACGATTCTCTTCCTGATGATTCTAGATACATTGTCTGTGGCTGGGGCTATGAGTGCTTACACGAAGCAGAGGATATCGATTTCGAGTTCGTTTACGCGTTACATACCTTCGTCGCGACCGTCGAAGGCCAAGCAAATGCCACCAAAGGCGACACGATGGTGTTGCTGGACGACAGCAACAGCTACTGGTGGCTGGTGCGTGTTGTGAAAGACAGCAGCATCGGTGAGATCCCCTGTTTACCTCTGGCGAAGGCAGTATCTAACGTGACTTAGGCTACCTGCCAGCTGAGCACATTGAGACGCCAACCGAGAGGTTGGCGCGCTTGAACAAGCACAGGAACATTGACGTAGTCGCTCCCTCCATGGAAGAGATGAACCTTTCTGACTTAGATCAGCTTTCTGCCACAATGCTTGGGGACCAAGCTGGAGAGAAGTCCAAGAGCACGTTCAAGGCTGCCCTGAGGAAGAAGAAGAAGACGGTCGCATTCGCCGCTCCGACTTTTGTCGACTATTCGGACTACGACTATTCTTCGGACGAGGAGGATGTGGACGAGCTCCTCTCTCAACAAAAGGGCGCTCAGCAGCAGCAACAACAACAGCAGCAGCAACAGTCAGCCGCACAGCAATCGACAGAGGAGAACATGGACGACGATACGGCCAAGGTGGAGCCTTTGAAACCCCGGGCGACGAAGGAGGTCAAGGTTGTGGAACCAGCAAAGGCGGAAGAGGCACCAGAAGACGACTCGAAGCGAGACAGCGGCGAAATCTTTGAGAAGCCTGAAGGCCCCAGTCGGTCGAGGAACGGCACCGTCAGGAACACCGACTCTTTCTTTAAGGACGAAACCGTCGAGACCAAGAAGATCACGCTTACGCCTAACTTGCTTCGTGACGACAGCGGCTCGCGACCTTCGACGACGGAAAGTGTTCAGGTCAAGCAAAGACCGAGCCTGGACAAGATTGACAAGGAGCTGCAGCCGGACAAGAAGGAGGATAAGAAGAAGAAGGACAAGAAGGAGAAGGAGAAAAAGACGAGCACGATTCGGAGTTTCTTCTCGCGTAAGGACAAGAAGAAGTCTACCGATGACGATGACGAGTCTTTCGGCAAGAGATCGATGGACATTGTTACGGAATCCCAAGATCGCGAGGAGGAGGAACTCAAGGAGCCATTGTCACCGCGAGGAGACGGTCCGCAACGGAACCCCAGCAACAAGCTCCAGAAGCAGCAGCCAAGGGTGGAACCGTCGCCTTCGAGGAAGTCCGGGGCTTCTACGCCACAGAAGTCTGCCACCCGAGAACTGTCCGAATTCATTTCGTCCGAAGGACGGCCTAACAACGTCTCAAACGTCCCGCCTGCCTCTATGCGTATCGTCGAGGACGACTCGTCGGACCCAGATGTCGCAGCCCAACAGCAACGCATCAAGTCTCCCGAGACGACTCGGTCGCCACCGCAAGAAAAGTCGTCGCTGTCCAAGATCATTCCCTCACGGAATGGTAGCAGCGACAAGCCACAGAAGGTCACCAAGGCTAAGTCTCGAGTGGAGCTCGATGACTTCGACTCTTCTTCGGGAGAAGAGGTGGAGCCCGCTCCCGCCGAGCCGCCGGTGCAGCAACAAGCCGCGCAGATTACAAAGGAAGAGAAGGCGGCCCGACCCTTGCCTGGAGCGTTCCCCGACAGCTACATGAGCACCCAGAGCGGTGCGAGCGCTCAAACCGACAGGACGGCTACTCCCACGCATCCTCAACAACCTCAACCTCAGCCCACTGCTGCAGAACGGGAAAGGGATCGTCTTTCCGAGTCACCTGTGCAAGTTTCGCCAATGACCCCCAACAACCCGCCTGCACTCATGGTGGACACCTCGAGCCAGGAAGGCCACTCCACGTCGCCATCGCCGGAGCTTATCGAAGCTGAGGAGGCGGGAAGACATCGCGCGCAGGATTCGATGACGGCCAGTTCCACCTCGACAGGCGGAAGCACCACGGGCAGTAGCTGGAACGACACAAAGCTTCGGGCCTTTTTCGATTCTAGCTCCGATATCCGAGACATGCTGGTGGTGGTTTACGACAAGAGCGATGTGCCACCTGCTGGGCCGGAACACCCCGTTGCAGGCTCCCTGTTCAGGGAACAAAACGCCAAGCTGGCGGAAATTACAACGGTCAGTACAGATCTCAGAGGGAAGAAATTTCTAGCGCTGACATGCAATAGCAACTTGACAACATGCTTGGCGACTGGTTAGCACGCAAGCAAAGACTTAGAGGCACTGTATAAGGCCTCGTTTACGAGCATCATGTTTTACAAAGAGCGACTGTGTACAGTACCTTCTTGACTTTTTGTCGGCGTCCTGGTACATGGATTGAGAGGGATACGGGATTGATGGACGACATTGATACGTGGTCGCTGATATGAACCTTAGCGCCATGGATACTTTGCGCGGATTTTGCAGTTTCTTGTTCTTTTCTTGAGATGCGTGGACATACCAAGGCTTCGCGGGTGGGCATGTCAACTGCCTACCCGACGGGCGTTTCTTTTCTTTTGTTTAGAGTTACGACGTTTGTTTGTGCGTCGTCGTCGTATAGGCGTGGTCACTTTGCATAGGGGGGTTTTCGAGCCGCTGGAGTGGTGTCGAGCTTCGAGAGGCAGATGAGACGCAGCGCTGTCTAATACCACTTGGTCGTCTGTTCCTGAGACTCGAACGGTTGTTTCTGCCGCGACTGTACCCGTGATGTGATGAGATGATGAAATGAGCCGCGTTCGAGCCCGCGGCATCAACAAACATGAGAAGTGATGCATTGGGAGCTACGTATTTCTCAGTGTCTGATTGAACAAGGCACCGCCTCAGATTTCAGAAATGTCTGCATTCTAGGCTGGTCCGCGCCAACAGAACGTATGGTTTTGGACCGGGCGCTGGCATCGGAGCCGATCTGCAGCCTGCCTGCAGGCCGCCGGGATTGTGTGGGTTTAGCTTTCCCGCCAACTGCCGTTAGTCGATCGGACGATCTGGGGAAGCGCCGGGACCCCCGCTTTCCCGCCCATGCCGACTTCAGTTCCCGCTCCATCCTCAGTCCTCACACCAACATCCGTGCAAGCCATTCGTTAAGCTCAACAATCCACGTCAGCCATCCTACCTAGAGCCAATTGAGAAGATTCGCTCCCAGTAGCGTTATCAGTAAGGGCAAGGCACAATCGCAGCTGGCCCTACGTCATTGGGTGCCTCTTAATTTTCTGCCGTTAACAGATCCGGCAATGGGTGGCCTGTGGGCAAACATCTTTGCTTTTGTGACGGGTCAATGGGGCATAATTTTGCCTAACTGGAGTGGTGTTCTTCGTGACGACAATTCGTTTGTTCACGAGCCCAGCTGGTACCGCTATGTCCGGGCCAGCGAGTCTAGAACAATCCAGCCCGTTGGGGTCGTACCTGACCTCACCCGCGGCGATGTTACCAATCCTTCGGGTCTTACCACGGGAGAGGGTGGCCCTACGATACTTTTCCGTGCTGGAGAGGAGAACGAAATCCCTTCTGTCACGATCGATTTCGGTCAGAACACCGTTGGAATCTTGTCGATTTCGTTTGCCGGGTCATCGACTTCTTCTGCTTCGCCAAGTGGAGACGGGAGAATTGGCATTGACGGGGGGGAAAGTCAGGAAAGACCTGGTATACGACTCGCCTTCTCCGAGACGTTGCGGTTCTTGGGCAATGTCAGCGACTTCTCGCGCTCATACAACGGCGACACAATCACTCCGGGCAGCGACCAGATCGCAGTCCAGAAGAACCCCTACATCTGGACAGTGAAGCACGGCTGCCAGCACCGCGACGCCGCCAATGGAAAGGGGCAAGTCTGCGCAGACGGTCTGCACGGCTTCCGCTACCTTCGCATTTACCTCGACGCCCTCCCTTCCGACGCGCCGCACACTGTCCCCTATGGCCGCGTCGAAATCTCCAACCTCTCCCTTGCCCTCTCGGCGTTCCACGGCACGCCCGACACCTACCAAGGGTGGTTCGAGTGCAGTGACGAGGAGCTGACACGGTGGTGGTTTGACGGTGTGTATACTAACGACCTCTGCGTTGACACGTTCCGCGGCGCCGAGGATGCGGAGCCACGAGGGGCGGGGAGTGAGACGCTCGAGGGCCGATTTGTGATCCACGATGCGCCGAAGAGGGATCGGGATCCGTACGTCGGCGATCTAGCGGTGGCGGCAATGACGGGGTATGTTTCGCACGGGAAGGGGACGGTGAGTAAAGCGAGTCGCAATGTGCTGGCGGATTTGGCAGCGCATCAGAGGGGTGATGGGTGGATTCCACCGGCGAGCATGTGGGTTCCTTTTTTTCCCTAGCTATACTTCCTTTTATGATGATGAGTTTGAGATGTTGACATTCGATAGTATGAACTACACGCTCCCGCTGTTCGACTACCCCCTCTGGTGGGTCGTCTGCAGCCACGACTACGTCTGGTACACAGGCGACGTGGAGTACTTGTCGGCCTACTACTCCAACCTCGTCGCTGTGCTGGACCGCTGGTACCCCTCTGTCACGGACCCGGCGACGGGACTTGTGACCAAGGGGCTGAACGGGACGGCCGGGTACGGCGACTACGCATTTCTGCCACGCCAGGGGCCGGTGACGTACTACAACGCGCTGTACGTGCTCGCACTGCGTCGGGCGGCGGAGATGGCGGTTGAGTTCAAGAAAGACGGGGATGCGGAACGGTGGAGGGGGCGGGCGGACAGGGTTGCGAGGTCTTTGGGGCAGAGGAATTTCGACCAGAGGGTCGGTGCATTTTGGGACGGGACGAAGGAAGGGGAGTTTGTGGATGCGCACGCGCAGGATGGGAACAGCATTGCCATTCTTACGGACGTGGTGGACAGAGAGAAAGCGAAGGGGATATTGGGGTATTACTCACGGGCCGCGGCCAGGCCGTACGGGAACGCGTTTTACGACTCGGACGCCGTGGCGGAGGGGTTCAGCCAGAGGGTGTACGCTTTCATATCCTACTTCGAGCTCGCGGCCCGGTTCAAGTCCGGGATGGGGGAGAGCGCCGTCGAGGAGATGAAGAGGTTGTACGGCTGGATGTCACGGCAGGACCCGGGTGTGACGTTTTGGGAGGGCATCGGGCCGGAGGGGAGGCCGTATGAGGACGGGTACACGAGCATGGCGCACGGGTGGGCCACGGGGTTGGTGCCGTTGATGACTGGGTGGGTTCTGGGTGTAAAACCGACGGGGCCTGGGTTCCGGACGTGGAGCGTCGTGCCGGAGATGGCGGGGCTGAGGTGGGCCAAGGGGGTTGTGCCGACGCCGGAGGGCGAGGGCATCAGGGTTGAATGGGAGGACCACGGGTATGGGGACGTTAAAATGGAGGTGAGGGCGGCAGAGGGGTCGAGGGGGGTTGTGGGCATTCCCGTGGAGGGTAAGGGGGCGCTTGTCAAGGTTGATGGGGAAGTTGTGTATGCTGGGCAGGACGGTATGTCGGCGAGGTTTTTTGAGGATAGGGTTTGGGTTGAAGTTGAAGGCAAGGGCACGCGTTGTAATATTGTGGTTTCTGTGAAGGGCAGGCCCGATAGTCTGTAAGATGTTATTCATCAATAGGTTGCTTGAAGAAAGTGCAGGCGTTTTTTATCGTGTGGTGATAATGGGGTGGGTTCCCCCCCCACCAAGCAAACATGGTTACTGACAAAGACAAGTGCTTGAGAAAGAGGTTTAGGGGCTTAAAGAAACTGGCGTGGTTGAGCAAGAGGTGGTGGAAGAGGGTCATGGCTGCTGGTGATTGACATATATGGAGCAAAACCCAAAAACATACAACACCAGGTATTCGCTGGTCGTCACCGACCCAACTACTAATCCGGCCCTCATTGGCTTATCTATGGGAGAGCGGACGGGATCCCGAGTTTTCCAATGGGTATGGTCGTATGTGAAAGATTGCCGACGTTGAGATGTTCATATCGTATTGTTGTTGCGCAAGATGCTCATTGATGGGCAATGATACCCACCCCCTCTCTACTTTCCAGAAACAAAACATCCTTGTAGCAAAAACATCTGCTTACACTCAAACCAGTCTACCTTCTGTTATCTGTTGTGGTTTGTCGATTGTCGAAATTACGTGGCAATGTGGTGCATGTTTCGACTTGCAGGCCGTTCAACAACCTTTCCGGCTCCAAAGAGATACGACACGCCTCCAGGCGGGTGATTCCATGTTAATAAAGAAATCAAGAGACATCGCAATCTCTCGAAATAACAACTAAGGTTCGTAAGCTACTGTTGACGGATCAATTGTGTGTTGATTGTTGTTGGCATAGGTTGTTTGGCTGGGAAAGTGTGCTTCGACGCGACCCAATCCCGGCACATCTCTTACACGAGTTGCAAAGTGTTGACATACGCAGTGGAAGGTATAAATTCATGAGATCAATTGCCTAGCTTCACGTCCGAAGTCTGGTCCAATACGAATTTAGAGAAAGAACACTTGTCGCTGGCGTCTGGTTGTTCCCATGGCAATGATTACTTCGTTTCCTTATATCGACTATCTTAGTCCTTTACAGATCAACAATTGCAGCACTATCGGTTGAATGTCTCGTCCACAAAATCAAACGCCTTCTTCACCTTTCTTGTCCACCACAACTCCGAGGCCCTCGACCGTAGCTCATCGGTCATACTTGGCGGACCACGGACAACAATCCCAACAGAGCCCTTCTCACCGTCTCCGGCCAGTTCCTCGCTCGCGAAGAACGACATCCATATTGATCCGCTCACCAGCCTTCATACTGAAACTCAACTGTTTCGGGAGCTGGGCCATTTCGTGCCCCAAAGCTGTAACGAGGTTCTCGTATCAAACACCCCGTGCAAGGCACGAGCGACGAGGGCCTCGAAGGAGCGCACGATCAGCAATACGACGGTGGCACCGACACCACCGGTGATGCAAGGCAGTGAAGTACAGTGTGACGGTTTTGCTGTGGCATCTTGAGTGGTATAGTATAGATCTTCCACCAAGACAGGGAGGGATACGGAGAGACCCTCCCGTTGTGGTCAACTTGGCGTCCAGCTCTGTGGTCATCTCTACGAAATGGATTTAGAAGATCAGATATCTCAACAAGAAGAAACGGCGGGCTGTTTTCTGGGTTGTAGCAACTGGTGACGGACTCTGCCCCGCGAAAGACGTTCAGGTGGTCCATTGTCTGACTGACAACAAACCACTGCCGATGTTGCAGTCACATTAGGATGTTTGGATAAACAGGGGTTGGGCATTGTTGATTGTGATAGAGCATCTGTTTGACAAAGGGAGTCCTGTATAAGTCGGTCCAAGTGCGAATTTCGTCACACACATGGGCGATTGGTTTAGTGGTATAATGACCGCTTAGCATGCGGTAGGTCCTGGGTTCGATTCCCAGATCGTCCATTCTTTTGCGTCTTTTAGACGTTTTTGCCATCAAACATTGCGAAATTGAGGCTATGGTAACGTTTCAATCAGCGAGAGAAACGAAAGATCAAGAGACAACTCAACGAAGTGGGGCAGCCCTTGTAGGCTATTTTCTCTCCGACAAGCACTTGCTTTTGAGAAGAAAGGACAAGGGGCGGGGATTTTTGTCAGTTGCGCAACTAATGTCTATATTATTGGAAATATCTGCCAACAGCTGCTGGATGACCAAAAATATATTGTCAAACCGTTGAAACACCCTCAAGGGTTGGCATGAGAACTTGAACGTCATGGCAAAGAGTTCAGGAAGCAAAACAGATGGGTATCAGATAAGTACAATTCATATGAGCCTCTTGCAAGGAAAATCAGTGAACAATAAAAGAACGAAGAAGGTCAAATATGTATTGATGATTCACCAATTATTAGCTAACAAGGAGCATAATCCATCCGCTGTTATTGTCATAGTTTCAACATCCTCCAACGTACCATACCCTTACATCAAAATGCGAACCTGTTCGCCCAGCTGCCGTTCAACTATGCTGAGTCTTGTTCAGGCTGGTCGCTGGTCGTATCTGAAGCCATGCTAATCATCTATCCCGAGAGGTAGGCCGGGAGAAGATCGCCAATGCTTTTGAAAATCTTAAAATGTGACATCAGGGGTAAGACCAAGGACAAGGACAGGGTTAAGCTTGAACTTGATGTTGCGGACGCGGTCAGCGGTGCCATTGACGTTTTCAAGAGTGTTGGCCACAGCGTCGATGGCAGCGCTGGCCGCAGTGCCGACGGTGCTTAGGGCACCCTGAAATGCAAGGCTTGCCTGGGTATAGGCAAGGGTGTAAGCCGCCTTGCCATTAGCATCCGACACAGAGCTTCCCTGGCCTTGAAGCGCCTGGAGCTGGGAGGTGGCGGTTCTTGCCAGAGCCTGGGATTGACGAACGACCTAGGAGATCTTAATGGTTTGGTCATATGTGGTTCTGAGTAGCTGTATACTTACGTCTTGGGCGACTTGAAATACCTCAGCGGTGGGAACGGAAGCCGGGGCAGCAGATGTGCCTGATGGAGCGGGGATGCCGGAAGGAATTGCACCCAGCAGGTTACCAATGACCGTACCAACCCTGGTGCGGATGCTGTTGCTGTTGCTCGTCACTTGGCGGGTGACAGCGGTAGCTTGGTCGGTTCTCTGTTGACTAATGTTTAGTACATTGCAAATCAAGCAAGATGTTTTAAACTGGAAGGTGTTTCGTCATACATCTTTGACGGTTGTGCCACTGGCGTGAGTAAGATCGCCGACGAGAGTGGTTGTCTTGAGGATATCATTACGGAGTATGTTAAGCGCCGTAAAAGCCGGGTCGGCCAGTTCGGAGGGATTAAAGACGACTTCAGGGAGAACGATGGTGCCAGCGGTGATGGTCGCTCTAGGGAGGATTGCAGCCTTGACCGAGGTGAAGGAGAGGGTGGTAAGGACGGCGGCGAGGACCTGGATCTGCATTTTGGCGGGTTTCTCGGCGAAATTATGTTATGCTAATGATGCGAAGAGCGAACCAAAGGTCTGAAATGCCGCGATATGTTGGTATGTTGCTGATGATGATGAGGAGGGATGAGGAGAATGTGGATAACGATCCGAGGATATCGAAGCTTTTATAGAGGCGAGGTTTATTCTAGAGTTTAGGATATTATATTTGCCGTATAAAAATGCTCATGTATCTAGATGGGTATGTCATTGACCAAAGGGGAAGATTGACTGAATGACTTGCTGGACGGAGGTGCCTCCGCGCATTCGTGTTTCAGGAGCCACATCCGGATATCAGATTCAGCTGCCATGTACATCTCTTTGAAATCCTCTCCACCTGCTAAGTCGCCCAAGAATACGTTGCTAAAGCTTCTGGTGATGTCTGCATTCATGCAAGCCTTGAGTCGAGCGATGACGGAGACGAGCCAGTCGAAGTGGTCGAGTGTTACGCTTGGAGATCTTTGCCCCGGATCTGACACGGGAAAGCAAATCCAACTGGTACTACGTCGATCTGTATACCGCAGAGGCCGTTTCTATCAAGCATATTACTCTTCCCGGTCAGAAAGCACCTCTGCCAAGATGCTAATATCTTGGCATCCTAAGCGAGACAATTACCACCTAGGATGGAGAGAATGCTACCAAGGTGGCTTTGCTCAGGGTGTAAACTCTTTACTTTTCCGTTATCATTGAATTGCTCAGTTCATCCTAACTGAGGTCTCTGAGAGTGTTGGGTTCATGCCATATTCTGTTACCACCGTCGCAAAGACGTAGCTAGTATTGCGGGTGAACCAGTATGCATGCTGTAAGATATGAGCCAGTTTGGCAATCACTGTCAAATCTATAAATTATTTTGAGTTAGAAAAGCTCCCAGAATCCTTTAAGGTGTCGCTCAAGAGCGTCCGGAGTAACCTCCGGACCGGCGGCGTCTTGAAAGGATGAGGCTGCGGGCTCCGGTCGTTCCCCCGCCAGCCGCCAACTTACAATAAGGATACCTTTCTCAGCTTGGCTTGCAATCACCCACAACCTAGCTCGAATCTCGTAATACACAGAATCCCACCAGTCTCTCTTCACATAGGGTACTGAACCCAGAGAGCGGTGCCATAATCTCCCTGGCCTAGGCGCAAGAGCGGTCGTTCGTTTCGTTTTCAGTAGGTCAAGCTCAGATCCCCTCTTCCCGAGGATTGACGTTCCAATTTTTGAAGTATATGACATGACGCCATCTCTGTGGCTTGCGGAATCGATATTGGCAGCTACCGGTATTATCACTGCAGGCCCCAACTACAAGCCACGAGAAAGTCTCCATAACGGAAGATTGAACATGTCTCAAGGAACCTAAATGCATATAGGGGAAGATCAACATACCCCGCAAGCGTGTCTTGATCCAGCTCCCCATTGGCAGTCAATGCCATCCATCCCGTAAACCGTGTCTCACATTCGGTTGGGGGCGTTTTCGGCTTCGCAGTTCTGACAGTGAAGAGCTTGTTTGTGATAACTGCCTCACGTTCCGGTCCGAGGAGAACAATAATCGGCCCGGCCACCCTGGATGTTACTGTGGTCAGTGGAAACCCAATTGGGCAGGTTCGCTGTGCCGTTTGCGGCTTAAAAGAAAGTCGTTGTGGGTTGAGCCTCATATAAAGCTTGTCGCAGGGAAGCATCTGAATGCCATGACGCGTGAACCCCTCATAGGACCGCTTTCGTAGGGGATGGTCTCTTTATGGTCGTCGGAATGACGGGGTGCACTGATTAAGTTTATCCGTAACGGTGAGGCTTTATTAGGCTCGGGCGCGATGACAGAACTTTGTGTTCGACGCCTTTGAGACTTTATGGGACAGCTACATCAGATCTGCGACCCATCTGGAACGGGGACGTCAATGACTCGGCAGACGGAATCGAGCACATAACTTTGGATCAACTGAATAGATGTTATCAGGAATAAGGCAAAAGCGCGCTGCTGCGTGTTGATATGTCCGGTATCTACCCGGATAGGCCATCACCTAATGGCCCGGGCTGAGAAACAGGCAGGACTGCCATGGCCTCCCCGAGATGTTCTGCCCGTAGAAGGGAAGCAACCCCCCATTCCTCCTGGGCATATCTAGAGGTTTGCGCGGTAGGGAGAGTATATGGATCTAGTAGGCTAATAGTCTTGCAGTCTTGCCTGCCTGGCTTTAGATTCAAACAGCTCGACATCTTATCGGGCCGTCTGGTCGATAGAGGGCTGACTACTGAGGCTTCTAACAACCATGAATCCCACTCAAGCACATCAGAATTTAAGCGAACAAACCTATTCAAATGTCCCAATGTTAAATATTCCGTTACCCCTGATGTGATAGCACGGGACCGCCACTCGGAATCTGTCAACGAGAGTGCCTGGTACGATTGGAACTGCACTTGAGTAGTCCGCACCGGTTGACATTATCTTTGAGACTATGGCCAGGGCCAACACTCAGTAGACAGTATCTCTGAGATAAACAAGCCATCAGTGCAAGATGAAGGTGTATTAATCGTAGAGTCTTAGTAGTATGAGTTGGTCCAGGCTGCAAAGCGTCATCCAAAGGTTCTCCATATCCAATTCGCAGCTTTAACCACAGCTAGCCTGCAAGATTCGTTACGGAGATTTCCTTGCTTTGGCTGAACTTATGTCACGATATCCACCGAGGCTCAAAATATGAGATGGACCAACATACTATTGCATTGCATATAGGCGTGGGAAGTGATTACTACGAGAGCAACCGTAAAAAAAAGACGTGGCCATGCATGACAACCAGCCCTATAGAGAGCGCGTGGTCTCACCGCACTAGTATTGAGACAACGGCCAGCAGACCTGCTCCTTTGACCTGTAATGTGACTGTTTCCTGAACAAAGTTACTAAATTGATAGAGGCGCAAAAGTCTCCCACAACGGCCGCCGTTGCTGGAGATAGGTTGCTGAGAACCAGACGTTGCGGGCGCCGCTTGATTCACCGCCGGGCTCCAGTAGTGCCATTAAGGCCATTCAAACCATGTTCGCTCGTATGTCTCCCGCGTCAGCATTCACGTTGTAGCGATGACAGTGAGAGGAATTTCTTGTATAACATGTCGAAGGAATCGTGCTTGGTCACCGGCTGTGCAATGTTCACCTGGAGACGTGACTCCTTCATCCTCAACACGGTTCGGTGGACTAAGAATGCAATGCAGCATGCAGCATGCAGCGACAGAAGCAGTGATCGTCAGGCAGAAGCATTATGTTGAATGAAATGGGTTAGTCAAACAGCGCTCAACTCTAATACCTCCGAAGAGCAGCTAGGGAACTGTCAACCAAACTACCAGCATTCACAAAGCGCCGACATCGAATAACCTGGCGCTCAATAGTGGCCCCTCTCAAGAGAAAACTGGTGCAAGGGAAATGAGAGAAAAGGAAGAAACGACGTCAAGGAAGGAGGGGAGGTTCGACTAACCTTCCTACTAGTACTCTCGATCGGTCCCTCGCATCTCACCTCGCTGCCCATCATTTCACCTATGCCGTCGACGTCGAGAAGGCCCAGAACCCCCATAGCCACAATCAATCATCTGAACGAGGGAGTAAATCTTAATCGGGTCCTTCCACCAATCGCCGGTAGTCCCTTGCTCGCTAGCCCAAGGTGCGGGGGTCACTTGGCGCCCTTCGTCACTGGCAAAAGGGACTGCGCCCCAGCCACAACATGCAACAATCGACCACTGCTCAGCCACGGCTACGTCACCTTTCCTCTGAACGAGCTCTTGGCATACAACACCACCACCGCAGAGCGCAAGCGAGAACCTACCGGCCAAGTTTGAGACCCTGTGCTATTGGATCAAACAAGAATGGTTGGGGAAAGCAAGCGAAGGGGTGTCGGCTAGTTTGTTGCTGTTACCTTGTTCAACCAAGCCCCCGGTGGCCTCTTTCTCTCTGGGTCCCTCGTCACCGCTGCTGCAACAAGACGTGTATATAACACAACACCTTCGTCCTGTTTCTTGGCCGTTGCCCAGTCTTACAAGTCCTAACCCAAGCCACTACCAAACAACAAGCTTTACCTACCAACTGCCATACACCTTGAGGTAAGCTCTCCATCCACTCCCATTCCACATTCCAGCGTTCCGGCGCCTTGGAATCCATGAAGTATCTGTACCTCAGACTGACACTGCCGCCAGAAAACGCAAGACCCTACGCAGACCAACAAACGCAACCATGCCCTTCTTCTACTCCAAGCCCATCGGCGGCCGCAACTTCGGCACTAGCGTTCACGCAGACCGCCACGGCGTTCACCGTGGCCCCTGGCGCTTCCGCATCGGCCGTTTCCACTGCTTCAGATAGGCGCGACGCCGTTCCCACGGCGTCAAGGTGTCGGTGCGATGACGAGAGCAACATCACCTACTCCGTGCGGGTGTCAAGGGCGCCTTCCTTCCTCACCTTGACGACACCTACCACAAAACCAGACTACGACATTTTCATTTTTATTCATTAACGAGACCATGGATACCAGGAGTTTTTTTTGCGGGTCGAGGATGGGAATGCGAGCGTTTTCTGCCTATTTGTGTCTGTCCTTATTGAGGTTGTTTCTTTTCGGTTAGAAAGATGGCCGCGATGCGATAAGAGGGAAACAAGGGAACGACGAACTACCTAACTAGATAATACACCCATCACCTATGACAAACCCGACTCAGAAGTGTTTCTTGAGTAATGGTGCAGTTCATGATGCTACATGTAGGTGTGGAAGAATTTGATTGATCATGGCGACTTCAGCCGTGGTCGTGAACTCGATTTGCAAACCATGATCGACCATGGACTGTCAAAAATTGGTAGGACTGAGTATTATCTAACGGGCCCTTGGTGATGACATTTCAATGTGTATGGCTCATAGCATTTAGTTGACAAATCCGCACTCAAGCCCCTTTAAATTGTATTCATCGGCAGTGTCCTTCACTTGCACACGGAAGAGTGACGAGGAGTAAGAGGGGCCAAAGGGGTTGGTGATATTCTCGAATTGCCGAGCGTATGAAGGATTCTGTTTTTCCTGCCCCATCCAACGCCATTTTTGTGTCTTTGTCAATATCAGACGTAAGTAATGAGAACAACACGCCCTGAAAAGAACATCAAGTCGTTGAATTTTTTGGTTGTGGCTGCGGTTGTGTTTTGTTTTTGTATTTCCTAGCACAACGGTACGAGCCATGCCAAGCCGCAGCCCTGAATCATCGCCGCAGCAGAAACCGTATTCCGATGCATTCCCGTTCCCTGGATATGAGAGAGCACAACGCAAGTGACCGGCGAAAACCAATGACCCCCTTCGCCCCGAATAGCTGATTCCACGCCACCATTCCTGGCTTTGTTCGCTTAAACCTCGGTGGTGACCTTGGCCTTGGGGTTCGTGACCTTGACACCAAGCTGCTTCGCGCGGGAGATGATGTCGATACGCTTTCTCGAGGAGACGTTGTGGGCAATCCTGTGAGAGCTCGTTAGCAATTTCCCAGGTTTCTCGAGGACCCGTGGCTCAGTATCGGGTAGTGAGCACGACGAGCAAACGGACGGGGATGTACGCACTCGGCAGCGTAGGTGCGGTTGTGCATCAGCAGAAGGTTGACGTCGTTGACGTTGCTGACGAGGAAGGCCTTGTGGCCGGAGGGCATCATGTACTTGGTCTTCTTGTTGGAGCCGAAACCGATCTGTAGTGCGAGAACTTGGGTTAGCGATTGTTCATCTCAAAACCCCTCTATCCATAGTCGTCTGCCACCACAAAATTCCTCCTCTTGACGACGGTCCAGATCCAGCGGGAAGGTGTTTCACGTACCGAGGGCATAGCAGTGTTACCCCTGAAGCGACGGCGGACGCGGTTGTCGATACCCTTGGGCTTGCGCCATGATCGGTCAACGCGCATAAAGCGGTCCGACTGGTGGCGGTTGAAGAGCTTCGTGCCTGTTCAAAATCACACCCGTCAATCCTCTCGTTCACAAATCGGAAGTTTCGCTCGTCGGTAATGTGTATCATCGTCGTTGGTGTCGGGCGCGCGGGGTCGTAGAGGGGTGTTCAAGGTGCGATGGCCGTTGGGAGGGAAAAACATACGCTTCTTCACGATAGGAACGTGCTTCTTTGCGGCGACCATCTTTACGGAAATGAACGTCAGTAATCAATTGAAAAAACGACAATAGGTCGATGGTGAGGGCGGTGGTAGTTGAATCTCACCTTGACGGCTGTTCCTGGCTATTGGTTAGTCGGGGCGGGTGTTCGTCGTCAGAGTCGGAGGCGTTAAAATTTTGAGAGATGGATTTAGATGGGAAGGAAGTTGTGGGAGGGAGCCACAGGGCTTTTTGGCAGTCACGTGTGGGCCAGCCGAAGGGGAAAAAAATTGTAGGTGCACTGTGCAAGTGGGTGGTCCCCGCTGGTCCATCTGGGAGCGCTAGCGGCTTTGGTGCGCTGCAGGGCCTCTCTCAGTCTGCGGCCAATGAGACGAGGGAAAGCATTGGGCGAGAAACAGAGGAATGAATCACTGACCCGCTGGATGTTCTGCCTCACTCCTTGTGCAACAACAGTCGTTGTGTTCTCTCTTGGACTTCTATTTCTGAAGCAAAAATCCATCTGACCACTCTTTGAACAAAGGGCAAAAATCAAGTTCCCACACCGAGGTTCGAACTCGGGACTCTCCGGATCTCATCAGAGGAATGAAAGCGGAGTATACTAACCACTATACTATATGGGAGTGGTTGTTGTTGATTAGCGTCTTCTTAATTGTATATAGATTACCTACACGATGAACAGTAGCCGTCACGCAAGATCTGTGAATCACGCCCACGTCCAACCGCCTACCTTCAACGAGTCACCACTGTTCGCTGGGCTGCACTCGGATTGACGGTAGGAAAAACTTCTGTGCCATGCCTGCTGCCCTTTTGCGACATTGGATGCCGTATTGCCTGATGCAGATGTAGCCAGGTCAGGCGTAATCATTGACAGATCAAGCAGAACTTATCTCCACGTGTTAGAATTGCTTACTTTGGTTGCACAAATGCTTGAAAATTGAGCAGTGACATGGCACCCATACGTGGGCTGCCTTTCATTCATGAGGGGGATGATGCCCAGCCTAACAAGTAAAACTCCTCTTCAATCCCTATCTATGCTCACCCTACACTGTCCGGGTCGTCATGTCTGTCGTGAGATTCAGGGCGTCAAGCCCAAGACTCTGTCCTCTAAAACCTCTATCGTCCCAACGCCTCCTTACTGAGGCTGGCACTGAGGCTGGCCGTCGTCCTCATCCTCGTCCTCCCATTCGCCGCCGAAGCGCGGGTCACTCGAGTTGGCACCCATCTGTAGACATGCGTTAGCACCAGTTCTGCATTGTATAACAAGGGCATGTCAGGAGCTTACCGAGTCCAGGCTGTCCACCTCCTCGTACTCGACCTCATCAACCTCCTCGGCCTCAATCGGCGGGGGCGGGGGCGGAAGAAGCTTGTTCAGAGCGTCGTAATCCTTGTCGTCCTTCAACCAGCCATCCTCGGGGAACTCGACGTTGACAATCAGGTACAAGTCACCCTTGGCCTCGCCGCGCTTGTAAGGCATACCCTCGCCAGGGACCTTGAGAATGTCACCGGGGCGAAGGATCTGGCCGCGAGGTCTGTCAATGTGAATACCGCGGCCGTCGAGGTGCGTCAAGACGGTCCGGGAGAAGCCACCAAGAGCCTCGGCCAGGGTGACGTTCAGCTCAGCAGACAAATCGTTGCCGATGCGGGTGAAGTCGTCGTGGGGCTCCTCGGCCAGATGGAAAACAATGTCTCCAGGCGTCTGGTCGGGGAACTGGTCCGCCTCTCCCTCCAACACAATCCTCTCGCCGTTTTGGGAGCCCCTAGGGATGTAGATCTCGAGAACCTTGGTCTCGGACGTCGTGCGCTTGCCCTTGCACTTCTTGCAACGGTCCTTCTCCTTGTAGAAGTTGCCGGATCCCTCGCAACGGTCGCAAATGACCGTCTCCTTGCGCACCAGGCCCGGACCGACCTGGCGGAAGGCCTCCGCCATACCGGCGCCTCTGCACTTCTCGCACGGTTGGGGCTTGACGTTCGCCTTGGCGCCGGAGCCCTTGCAGGTGCCGCAGACAACCTGCTTGTTCGCGGAAAACTTAACGGTCTTGCCCTTGTACAACTCCTCGAGCGTGACCTTGTAGGGCTGGTCCTCGTCGGGGCCGCGACGGGGTCTTCTGGGGCCGCCGCCAGGGCCTCCGGGGCCGCCCATGCCCATGCCAAACATCTGTGACAAGATATCGTTCAGGTCGACTTCGACGCCACCGGGACCGCCGGGACCGCCGCGTGAGGGGTCGAAGGCAGCCATGCCGTGGGTGTCGTAGAGGTGGCGCTTGTCCTCATCCTTGAGGATTTCGTAGGCCTGGCTGACGGCCTTGAACTTGGCTTCCGATTCTTCTCTGCGTTCCTCAGGGACTTTGTCGGGATGGTGAAGAAGGGCAGCCTGGTTGGGAAAATGAAGAGTCAGTACGTGGTATTTTGGCGTGCGACACTGTCGCTGTTGCTGTCGCAACCGCAGGGGATATCACGAACCTTGCGGTATGCCTTCTTGATCTGATCCTGCGAGGCATCCTTATCGATCCCGAGGAGCTCTGAAAGAATGCGTCAAATGAGATCCACAGCGAAAAAAAGTACCCCTCAGGCTCCATCAGCAGAGACTTACCGTAGAGATCAATGTCTTCCTCCCCCGACATATCGGGACCGGCACTCGGTCCACCACTGGCCATTATTGAGGCTTCTCGAAGGGTACTCGGGCTAAGATTCGCTCGAGATTCGTCCTTCAAGGCGTGATTTGGAGATGTGAAAGTGGTGGGATGTGGAGTAGACTTGAAAATATTTTGTCTGGAGTACGGGCATGGGACGGTGTACCTGTTGCGGCGGCCTTTGTTTGGCGGGGTACAGGCCAGTGCCTTACGGGGCGTGCGGTCCCTACAGTCCCTGGACGGACCCCCCAGGCTCTACTCAGAGCGCGCGGCAGATATCAGGTAAGCTACCCCGTTCTGTGGCCTGCCAACCTATCCGCCTGCACCTGTTCATCAGCATCGCGGTGCCCGGCCACCGTTCAATTCTACTATGTACTTTGTTGTGCATTTCCCTGAGTGCTATAAAGGCCTTGGACAGGGTTGCGGCAGGCTTCCTTATCAGCAGCCAGACATGCTACGACCGTTGAGTAGCACGACCGTTCGGCGTTCCGTTCCGGAACCGAGGCTATGTAATTGCTGTGCCTACTTGCATTGGCAGAAGATGTTCGTTGAGCCGGAGGCTCCCGAGACGAGGCCTCCGGAGAGCTGAGCTCAAGCCATGGAAGCATTGTTGATATTGAACCTCTCTCCCCAACCCAGCTATACTGAATCGAATCTTTGAGCCGAATCTCGGATATGCGGCTCAGATACCTACCACCGGTGTCATCCGAGTTTTGTCAGTGAAACCTAACAAACCGTTCGAGGCTTCTGGTCGGACGACGTGACACTGTTTCTTGCACCGAACGCAGGATGCACAATCCAACCCGCTAGCCAATGAGTTCTTCAGGAAATCTTTCCCTCGTATCCGTGAAGCAAGAACCGAGAAAGCGCTGAAAAGGTATCTTGGTGGCGATGAGTTCGTCGGTCAGACACTGTCGCGGCATTGAACGATGTACTGCCGTGTAAGTCGGTACCTCGCTTGATACATATTGCCTACGCCACACGTGGCTGGAGCTCATCGACAAATTTCATACCCAAATCAGTCCATTCATCAATGTCAACGGCACTCTGATGACACTCTCACAGCGTCGTAACAAATGTTTATAAGATGTCGACGATAGCCCTGAGATCGCAGGGCAGGCCCGTTTTCCTGCGCTCGCTCTACGCATGCAACCAATGCAGGAATGTGGGCTCCCAAAGATGGCACTCGTCCGCAAAGGGCGGTTTCCAGGCGCTGAGGAAGAAGCTGCCGCCGTTGGCTGACAAGAGGCTCCGTGAGCTGCCCGACAAGCCGGCCAGGACGCGCTTCGCCCCCTCGCCCACGGGATACCTCCATCTCGGGTCTTTAAGGACTGCACTTTTCAACTGGCTTATCGCACGGGCTACTGGCGGGCAGTTCATCATTCGGGTCGAAGATACGGATCGGGTGAGTCGAGGCTCATCACTTGAGGTGGACACTGAAAGACTGACAGACTGGAAAAGACTCGTATCGTCGATGATGCCGTCGAGCGTCTACTTGCGGACCTCAAATGGGCGGAGCTGAACTGGGACGAAGGCCCTGACGTCGGCGGACCTTACGGACCCTACGAACAAGTAATATCCTACCCCATCAGCCCCCTTTTTATCATCAGATCACTCATCCAACCTTGCCGCAGTCAAAACGTCTGGACTACTACAAAAAGTACACCGAAAAGCTTCTCGACGAGGGTAAGGCCTACCGCTGCTTCTGCACAGCGCACGACCTTGAGCGTCACAAGCAGCAGGTCCTTGACGACGGCGGCGGCTCTGCACACTACCCAGGGACATGTCGGGGCATACCACCGTCCCAGGCTGAACGCCGCGGCGCCAACGGCGAAAAGCATGTCGTGCGCTTCCGGAGCGAGGGCCGCCCATCCTTCATCGATCGGGTCTACGGCAACTACCAGAAGAACGAGGATGAGGACGATTTCATCCTCGTCAAGAGCGACGGGTATCCGACCTACCACTTCGCTAATGTGATTGACGATCATCTCATGGAAATCACCCACGTCATCCGCGGTGCTGTTCGTCTCCTTATGCTTGCCCTCTCTTTACCACGTATTCCCAGGTCAAGCTTACATTGATACAGGAATGGCTCATCTCAACGCCCAAGCACATCGCGCTCTACGACGCCTTCAAGTGGAAACCCCCGACCTTCGCCCACGCCGGCCTCCTCTGCGCCCAGAACGGCGAGAAGCTCAGCAAGCGCAACCACGACATCGACATTTCGTCGTACCGCGACAAGGGCATCCTCCCCTCAGCGCTGAACAACTGGCTCGCGCTGTTGGGCTGGAGCATGAACGAGAAGGACCTTGCCAAGGACGGCGAGGTGTTTTACACCACCAACGAGCTTGCTGAGAAGGTATGTGTCAGCGCCTCTTCCGTCTCAAACAACCGAAGATGGAGACCCCGCGGGTAAACACCTCACTCACATCATGTTACAGTTCTCTCTCAGGTTCACAAAAGGCAACATCAAAACCAACCCAGACAAACTCGCCGTCTTCCAACGCAAACACCTCACCCACCGCCTCCGCGAGGAGAACGCGGACGAGGAACTTCTCAAACAAGCCCTGCTCCCGCCAACAACCAATCTCCTCGCCCGCATCTCGTCTCTCCTCCCCTCGTCTTCCACGGAATCCCCGCCCTCTTCTAAAGATGCCTCACCCACCAAGGCCACATCAACAACCACAACACCCGAGATCCTCACATCTTCAACCAACCCAAAGCACTTCTTCTCAACGGCAGACTTCACCTCCCTCACCCCCTCCTCTCCAACCCCTCCACATCCCCCACCCACCTCCTCGAGATCTACCGCACCCTCGCCGCCGACTCCCCCATCGACCCCTGGACCTAATCCAGGAGCACCCCTCCCTCTTCCTCCGCCCCTCGGCGCACGCGTACACCCGCTCCCTCGAGAACCTCTCCCTCCCGGACACCACGACGTCGCCCTCGGCCCTCCTCGCGGATCTGCACGCCTCCCTCCGGGACGTCCACGAGCTCGACTGGAACCCGGACAAGCTTCAGTCCGTCATCAACGACTTCTCAGCGCGCCACGCCGCCTCCGTCGACCCGGAGAAGCCCCCCCGACCGATCAACAAGGCGACGTATGCGCTGCTGCGGCTTGTGCTCACGGGCGACCACAACCGCGGTGCCAAGCCTGCCAAGTTGCAGCTCGCACTGTTGGGGCGCGCAGAGACCCTGACGAGGTTCGAGCTCTGCGCCGAGCAGTGAGAGGGAGCTTGGAACCGCTGAGCGGGAAACGGTTGTGCATCTTTCTTCCCTGCTTCCCACTTGTGCTTCATAACCTCTGTGTGGCAGGCAGGCAGGCAGGCAGACAGGCAGGCAGCGAGCATTGTCTTGTCTTGTCTTTCTGGAGGCTTAAAGCCAATCGAACCCGAGAGGGGCGGCTGTTTAGGACGCTTGTACGAGGGAACACAATGTCGGTGGTGTATGGTGTGATGTGTCGCAGAGCGATCAGTGTACGATGTTGTATGAATAGACTGTGTGTGTATGTACTTTAAAAAAAAGTTGTTTCGTCTAGAATTAATACTATCTGCCCCGGATTTAAGAGCTAGTCGTGTCAAGAGAACCTTCTCATGTTGGGACCTGTCCGTGTGAGAAGAGACTTGATACAACACAACAATTCATTTGAAAACGCCATGTGCTCTCCCTCCTTGGACCTCTTCATCACCAATCGCATTCCCTCCCAATGAACAAAGCGGCAATGCGCTGAAGCACAGATGCACAAATTTACTTTGATAGGAAGTGTCCCCCAGTCTTCAATCTGGCCTGATGATTCCATCCACGTCACATAAATCGCTGATACATCCTCAAATGCCTCCCCTGACCAGTCGGCCTTTTGCATGCCTTCATTTCGTTTTCAAGGGCTTCTCAGAAGCTCGATCTTCATACATGCACACGCGCACGCCCATAGGACGGGAGAGGACGGTATGGATGATGTGTGCATTAGGATTGTTTGGCGTTGCGGTCTTCGCAAAAATGAGCTCGCAAGTGACAGACAGATTAACAAGAAAAAACATGATGGATGGAAATAGAGATTATGACGGATCAAGAAGAGAGAGATGAGAATAGGTAAGGGAATACAAAAAACGTAATCGCCAAAGCCAATCCGCCCCTCCGAGCTTGTGTTCCGTCTTCTAAACAATGCAACGCTATGATCGTGGTCGTTCGCGGCTGTTGGGAGTGTGCCATCGAGCCAGCTCTGTTTGGCTCTTTCTTTCAGGAGCTGCCGTCCCATCCTCCTCTTATTTTCCCTCAGTCCACCTCCCAGTTTTGGACGCCCTTGTCTACAACCAATCCTTCTCAAAATGCAGCAGATGGGGACGATAATAAAAGTGTACTAGATATAGAAGGAAAGGTTGCAGGGCTCGGGGCGAGCAGGTTATTGGTCATTACGTCGTCAAAGGCTTGGTTGGGGGTATAATCGTCTACATAATTTCTTGAACCCAGATCTGCGAGACAAAGTTAGAGACATGATCAGTGGGTACAAATGAGACAAGGGTGCGGCTTACCTCCATCTTGCCAATCTCTTGCCTGGTCTTCCTTGCTTGGCTCTTCACGCTCATAATGGCCATATCCAGATCGTCTTGGTCGCCCATGGTAATCATATCACCGTTGGGCACGTCCTCATCGCGGATCTTGATCTTAAATCTCCGGCGGAGACCAAACTTCTCACGGATCCGGTCGACAAAGTCGGGGAATTCGACGGCGGCGCCGACCATGATGTATCGAACATCCTCGGCATGAACCTTGACGCGAATCTTGCGGACCTCCGGTCTCCTTGAACCACCTCGCGAAGACATGGAGTTTGTGCCCGGGCGTCTGTTGGACACCATTTCGAAGTCGCCTTCATCGAAGGAACCGTAGTCGGATCCGTCCTCTTCCTCGTCCATGTACCGTTGCGGTACACGACGGGAAGGCTGTCGGCTGGTTCTTGTGCTGCTGCCGTTACCACTCTGGTACATGTCGTACAGTTCATCAGGGTAGGCATCTTCCACATCCTCATCAGCCGACCGGCCACGCATCTGAAGGTCGCGTCTGGAGTATCCTCTGCTAGGCGTAGCTGACCGCGACTCTGATCTCATCACGGGCGGAGGTCCTCTCCGGTCGTTGGGGCTGCTCGTCTTCTGGTATCGCTCATTGGGTCTGGAACTTTCGATATTCAGTTTTGCAAGCATTGGCTTAGGCCCGTTGCGAACGGACTGTCCACGAGACATAGTGCCGCCGTTGTTGGCCTCAACCTGATCAGGCGGAGGTGTGGGAGGAAAGACACCGCGGCCATTGGGCGGCTCGGACTGTTGCCTTCTTGATGCCAAACCGGGCTTGACCAGGTTGGTAGCGGCGAAGGAGATATTGTCACTAGGCCTGTCATCCTTGACGTCGTTCTTGCCGGCCTGTAAACCAAGAAGTCTCTGATTAGCAAATAGGTTCCCGTAGAAGCTGATAGGAATGGGAACCGATCCGCCTACATTCTTGATCTCGGACCCGGCAAAGCCTGTGAATGCATTTGCGCGATCGGAGGCAGCGACTAGCCTGGCCTTTCCGAGATAGTCCTTTGTCTTGAGGTTGCGAACCTTTGCCTCGTTCGGTCGGTAGACAACGCCAACGGGGATTGAGAAGACGGTGTAACCCTAGTGCTGTTAGACTTGCTGAGAATGACGGCCACGATGTTCTTACCTCTGCTTCTTCCCGAATCGCCTCGTCGATAACGTTGTGATCCTCCACCACCTTCTCTTTGACAGCGTAGGACAGATCCTGTAAACCGGCATCTTTTTGTTGCAGGTAGATGTAGCAGAGACCTCTATTGAAGAGGACTTCGCAAGAGTAGAGCTTGAAAAGCAGACCCAATTGGGCGTAGTCGATCATTGTGTTTCCTCGAAGATAGAGAAGAGTGTCGTTGAAGTTGGCCAACGCCTCCTCAAAGTCGCCTAGGAGGAAATTTGAGACGCCTTGTTGGAAGTAGGCGACAGCCAAATACTGGTCAAGCTTGATGGCTCGTTGGTAACATTCAACCTAGTTCGCAGTCAGCGGGTAAGTTTTCAAAGTACAGCACGAGGTGTGACCTACAGCCTTCTCATGCTCTCCCAACGTGGCGTGAATGACACCCATGTTGAAGAGAATTTTGGACGTGTCGGAGATTTTCTCGAAGTCCTTGAGGGCCTCATCGAACTCGTTGTTGTCGTATCGGCCCAGAGCCGACACCCACGTTTCTATTTCCTATAACAAGAGTTGTCAGCAGGGCGTTCTCGTCAAGAGGGGTGCCCGTCGCGGCCTTTCCAATCTCTCTAGAGATTGGGCTCGCCCCGTTGCAGAGTACGTACCTGTTTCAATGACATTGTGTCACTAGAGTAGCAGAATTATCAATATAGAAGACAACCGAAATGATCGGATTCGCGGGAGAGTTGCGCAAGCAGACCGTCGCTGCTGCGATCGAAAGGAGCGGTAACTTGGTTCGCGGGAAAGAGAAAGGGTATCGTGGGGAACTGCGATGCTGTGCGGTGCGGTGCGCGGAGGAGGACGACAATGACGGCGGCGGCGGCGACTGCAAGAGAGAAAGCCAAAAAAGCGATCCGAACCAGAACAGCAACAACAAAGTGCGCCGCGAGCGGCTAAGGAGGGTCCCCAGGGCTTATTTAGGGAGATGGCTGGCGGTCTGTCGGCCAGTGCGGTGCTCGGCGCCACTGAAATGACGGTTAGAGTCCTACCCCCGCTTCCAATAGAACCAGAACCAGCAAATGGATGCACTTCGGACCTGAGCGACGAGCGGGAGATCTTGGCGCGTGGCGGGTATACCAGGGATCGATACCAGGCCCCGTCAGACGGTAGCCGAAAGCTTCTGCAAGAAACGCCGATGCGATGGCGGGGAGAAGTCTTTCGTCAAAGAGGGTTTATCCAACGGTAGGATGGTTAGAGGCTGTTACTCCTCTTTTAAGTTGACTTTTCTCTTGCGTTCCTGTCCAGCAGAAGTGAATGCCAAAAGTAGGACGGTGTTTCGGGTTTGTGTACGTTGTGCGTCGAGAAACGGGATTAAGTTGTCGGGGAAGTGGGATGGGATGGTCCTTTTTTGGGTGCGTCGTGTCCAGTGGGGAGGACGAAGGTGGGTGGATGGACAAGGCCGCGGTAATATGTAAGTTGGACAACACGCTAAAAGGGGGTCCTGAAGCCAGCCCGTCTTGTGCTGTTCACGTCTGGGCTGTCTTGTCTTAATTCAAGTGACCCAAGACCAAGAATCCGTGCTGGTATCTGTCCGCTTGTGACGACGGGGGAGAGAGAAGACTGCGCGCGCGTGTGTGCGTCTGTGGTGAGAAGTGAGCAGATACCAAGACTGCACAACTCTGCGTCGTTCGGCGCGGCCTTTCTTCTCGGATTGGAATCGTGCGTTAATTAGAGTCGAAACCTCGGACGGTCGTTCGACTATGGGGATTTTGCGGGTCAGAAAAGACAGGCTCGAGGTCGGTAACTCTATCGCTTCGTGGATTCCCAACTCGGAAATGGTCGTGGGAAGCAAGTGTAATGTGAACGGGACAAAAGTGATGGAATGGCCAGACTTGCAGCTGGGCGTTGAGGGAAAGAATGGGAATGAATGGATCGAGGACGAAAAGCCAGCGCCTACGGAAAGGAGGGTAGAGAAAATAGAGTCGAGTACGGTGCTTACAACGAGGGACCAAGGGGGACTTGACTGGTCGGGATGTGGGCCGCGAGACTGGGTGTGTATCATGCAAGGTGCTCAACAGTGATTGATATTCCAACTTGGATTGTCAGTTAGGAAACGCCTAGGATGCCTGTGCTCCGGTGCTTGTCCAGTTGCGAGTCGCAGGGGGGGAGGGAAGGATCCACGGGGGGGTGCGTTCCCGTTGCCCTCGACACTTGTCGAAGGGGGTGCCTTGGAACAAAAAGCTCGGAACAAGTGGCTTGGGCAGTGCAGTGGATGAAAGGGGGTGTGTGTCTTGTCTCTTGTTTGCAAGAGAGTCTGCTGTCTCTGGGTCGACTTTCACACGCCCTCCTCATGTTTGGAAGAGACGAAGTTGTGCAACTGGTCTTGACCATCATAGTGTCACAACCTGTGTGTCGGGTGCGAGATGGCTCGGCGCCAGAGGGAACATCTCCCGTCTGTCGACATTTCCCCAAATGCTATCTTAGCAAACTATAAGCAGCCGCGCAGATCTCTCTTTCTGGCATTCGACAAGGTATTCTGCACGGCGGAGAAACGAACTTGTCTAAATCGAGGGACACGATCAAGTGTTTTTTCTCGAAATCGGACCACTTTGCATATCTTGTCGCCAGATGCTGGGTTGTGGATGTGCTTGACATCGAACGTTGGGATTCCTCGCCCCCCCCTCTCCCCTCTGTGCCTCGCCTTGCAGGAGGCAACCCCTGGTTTGTGTGGGCGTCCCATCCGACGTCCGTTCCTGGGGTGTGTGAGAGAACGCCTGGGCACTCACAACTCCTTTCTCATTCGAGAGTGATGGGCCAGAAGGAAGTCGCAGTCCACGTCAGGGCGCCGCGGATCAGATCGCACATCTTGTAGTGGCCGAGCAGGGACAGTGACTCTTCCAGTCGTTTTGCTCCATTCTCCTGGTCCCTCCGCCATAGTGCCCTCCAGCTGGCTAAGACGCAGCAGTCCCTTAATGACAATGCACTATTGTCAGATGCCGCAGGTATCTTACAGCCACTGCGAATCAGGGCCTGCCTTCCCATGCATGAAGCGTTCCAGCGACTGCGAGGTGCGCCTGATTGGCCCCTCAGGAACACGGGTCTTGGGCCGGATCTTTCAAGCCACCGGCTCGCCTGGGCCAAGGGCGCGTACAAGACGGACTAACGCCGCTCTGATCACAGTGACTACTTTGCTCCTCCTGGTGACTGGAACCCGCAGCTTGCAGCTCGCCAGCTGTATGACGCCTCGTGGCTTGAGATATGGAGATGCTGTAAATGTGACTGTGACTGCAGGGTCATCCGATCTCGACAGTCATCGGGGGATTTCGCTTCTCTGTTACCAGGGACGAGGATGAGAAGTGGGCGAGGTGTAAGTGCTTGCAGGACCGCCATACTGAAAGCGGACCGTCAAACCAGCCAGCTGGAGTTGGAAAACGACGTTGAGCCTTCCAAGATAGCATCTCCCGAGATTGGTGCACTTGCAGAGTCAAGGTAGATCAAGTTTAAGCGCCGGCAGTGGCCTTGTGTTTAGATTGTCCCAGTGAGCTGGCAATATTGACCGCCTCGGCGCGTATCGGCATGTCATTAGTTGGGCCGACTGGACCGCGGCGACGTTCCCGGTCAAGGATTTCAGACCGCTGGCAATGTCCTTCGTTCGCCAAACCAACTCTTGGCTCTGATGGATTGGCATACGAGAAAATTGATCGGCTCAGATCGAAGGAGAGTACCATGAAGAAGAGGCGGGAAGCCATTGATCTGAGTGGGCCAGGCGGCAACGATATAAAGATGGTGGGCTGCCTTTGGCCGCGGACGGTTGGCGAGAGAAACCGAAGGCTGGTGACACAGAGACCCAGCGCCAAGTCAAGACCTCTGCAAGACTGCGGCACAGTTTCGGTACCTAGTCCATCCTGTGGCTGTCGGAGACGATGTTCCTGCATGTGTAGTTGCATTTCCACAAGGCCGGTACGCACGGGGAACCGAGGTTGAGATGGTGCTCGGTTGATTATGACATTTCATGATGCCATCATGGGGTGACGAGAGTGCGAGCGACGACGCAAATCGCGGGGTCGGCTCAAAGGAGAAGAGGAGGATGGCGCTGTGCTCGAAAGGGTCAATCAACATTTTCCGCCCAGACCCTTGGTGGCTTCAAGTCCGAGGAACTCATCCCGTCCAGTCTTGGTTAGAATTTGGACAACCTTATCTGCAGCGGGTCCAGAGGGGCCTTGGACTGGCTCACAGTGGTGGAGACATCGGAGTCGGAGTCGGCGCCTGTACTGTTTGCCGGAATGCTTAGCCTAGCTTGATTGCACAATACCTTGGTTATTACAGCAGCAGGATATAGCAGACAGATATGAAGCATCGTGAAGTTGATGGAACCGGGCCACTGGGCAAGGACTGGGGTTTGGTTTCGAGGCTCGGCTCCATTCGTCGGCGGCTGCGTAGGTAGGCAGGTTGGCAGGCAGTGGGCATCTGAGGGAAAGAAGGACGCTCAGCCACTTTGGGTATCCGTTAGTCAGCCTAGGGATGGATGAGAGGAAGAAACAAGCACAACAACCACTTCCGTTTTATTGCTGCTGCTGCAGCACCTACTGTCTGTGTTTCTTCCCAAAGTAAAAATAAGAATAATAAACATAACTACCGAAAGAAATCTTTACCTACCTTTGTGCTGGTAGGTCCACTGACGGACGCTGGGTGTCATTGATGGCAGGAGAATGCAATTGCAAGAACGATGAAATGCACCAAAAAACAAACAACCCCGATCCCCACCCTCGCTGGCTATCGAGCAAATGCCTGCAATGCTTCCTCCATCGGGAAGTCAATGATGTAAGACACTGCGGGTGCTGGCTTCCAAAAGAACGCAAAAAGAACAAACACGCTGTCTCGCTAGAATGACTTGCAGTTCTACTATAATGCTAACAAGAGGATCCCTCCCAAGACTTCCCCCATTGATCAATCCCAAATCCCGAAGCAGCATAGCTCGTCTCCTGGGTACTGGATACCTAACTGCGAGCATGCCGCCCTACTAGAAAAGAACGGCATCGCCAACTCTAATTATCCCTGGCCGTCCCAGTCTCAGAGGTTCTGCGAAACTCGCTTGTCCTCCAAGCTGTTTTGGAAGTTCCGTGCTGGCGTCTCCACCGATGTCCCATCTGCAGGGGAGCCACGCTTCATTGCTTCGTCGATGGGCTAGACAGGCGCTTTGGATCCTGGAAGGCAGCTTCCGCTGTAACGTTGGCGCAGCCTGCAACATGTCACCCTCAGCACGCCTTTACGCGCTATGGTACTTACATCTCTGCCTGGGTAGACCATCCGCCGCTCCGCTGCATGAACGAGACGTCGAACCCACGAACTTGACCGTGTTTTAGCACGCAGCATCCGGCCAAGTCGAGGAGTCGAGGAGTCACCCACGCCCATACATCGCTGCGCGCTGTCACTGCGATCCCTTCCGCTACAAGCCTCAACGGCGTCTTGGTTGAGGCAACCATAGGCCAAACGCCTCAACAATCCGTCTTGAACACACAGACGGCACGCCGCATCGCAGACAGCATCCACAACGCCTCGCTCCGAGTTGCCTGTACTACTTCGTCAGTTCCGCTGTCCCTCTCTCTCGCTCGCTCTCTCTCTCTCTCTCTCTCTCTCTCTCTCTGTGTGTGTGTGTGTGTGTGTGTGTGTATGTGTGTGCGAACGTATGTCTTCTCCCATGAACTGCCACAAGTCTGGGCATCCCTTCGAACGGATGAATCCACCGGTGACGCGGCACGATCGCCGTTATTCTCCTCCCTCAGTGCGAACTTCAACGATCCGCTGCCCGTAATGCAAATCTCGCCGGTGCCCGGGGAGAACCGGCAAGCATATCCTCTTATCACCGCCAAACGCTTCATCTCCCGACTCAGTTGTCGCTCGACCACTGTTTCCCGAATCACCCTCATCAAACACAGTTACATCACGCTCCCCAACTTAGTTTCGCGCAGTGGCTCCTCCGTGGCACGTAGGAAGCCTAATCGCCCCTTGGGTTCCTGTCAAAAACTACCTAGACATGCCATCGATGAACGGCTTGCCTACCTTACTGCCCTTATCTCGATTTGGACCGCCTTGTTCGACCTGCACGCGCAGACCACAGCCTCCCGCATCCGATATCAGGCATGCCTGGTTTCAAACTCGACTATCCTCTCCACCCCATCGACCCCTTACACACGTACTTCACACGTAGTGTACTTCGATGCGTGTCGGTCACTTCCCACAACCCTAGTAGCAGCCTCTTCCAGCAATCCCAACTGCGTACACTCCCTTACTAGTGGGCCTCCTCACGGCTAGGCGATCCCGGTGCCCCTGCGATCCATGAAAATAAGGTAGCGCCTCCGGTCCCTGTTCGACCACACACGCGTTATTCGTCTCATCTACCACCTGTCACTCGCGCTCCGCCTCCTTCCGGTCTTCGATCGGTGGGGGGAATCACCCGGAACCGTCGTCAGTGTTTCTTCTGACATGATCTGCATCAAGCCCGACGCTGGTGCCATGTCTGCGAGCCCTGCGGTGGGCCCTCTGGTGCAAGCTTCTCCGTTCTCTAGCAAGATATACTCCACTGTTCCTGGCAGCCCCGCTGTCACAACGCTTGGAGACGATCAAAAACTCGGCAGAAAAGTCTGACTGAGACGAGCCCTGAAAAGCTTGGCATACGAAGGTTAACACGACGGGCCAAAGACAACGGACGGAGCTAACAACTTTACCGAGACCCCAGAATCCAGTGCCTCGTCGTGCTGCTCCACGCCCGCCAATCTGCTAGACTGTCCGTCCAAGCCGAGGGCCCTTGAACCTTACCCTCGCACAGGACGTCAAGGCATTCCAAAGACTCAGCCTCACTGTCATGCCCACCCGCGGTATGGCGTATGGTTCCTAGGATTTCCCACACCACACACCACGGCTGCAATCACCACCACCCCTGGCATCTGGCTTGTCAAAGTCCTGGGAGCCTTGGCTATTGGCCTTGGCTGGAGGTGGTAGACGCCGCCCAAAGTCAACGTTCATCGCAAAAATCGTACGATGTTGTTTACAGTAGCTACCACCTCCACGTGCTGCCGCTGGTGATCCTCCTCGAGCCTTATATTCGGCTTTATCAACCGAGCTTCCTGGAACTAAAACACGTTGACAATCTCTCGTTGATATCGTGATTCATTTCGTATATCATTCGAGGGGTTCCCACGGTGTGCTCAAGATGAGACTCAGAGCATACCCTTCTTGATCTCATCCTTCCTCTCCTCCCACAATGTCTTGCCGGTACACGAGCAGACCGTCTTGTCATTGTCCCACACGCCAGCACTCCTAGCAATTACGCCGACTACGGTGTCCGGGTCATTCTTCAATGCCCCTGCGGACTCATCTTGTCTCGAGACGACCATGGCATGGCCAATGACTTCCCAGATCTGAAAGGGCTTATCGAGGTACACGCTGCCTCTGCCATCCTTGCCCACATCGAAGACACCCAAGAACCCCTTGGCGGCCTCACCTTTGCTGCCCCCCGACCACACAGGACCCGTCGATGATGCACCTTCTGCCAGGTTGCCATACTCACGGATAGTCGCTCTGTAGGAGCCAGGGGCCACGCCACGTAGCGTCAAGTCAATTAGAGTCGTGGTTGGGGAGACCTGCACCATTCTAGCCAGGCCTCTGACCTCTCGATCCGACTCTCCGTCCAATTTTTTAGATGCATGTAGGGCATCATCTGCACGGTAAAAGGACTCGAGGATACTGACAGCCGCGCCTAGTCGATGGTGAGTAAGCTGTTAGATAATGTCCGGTGTCTCACAGTAAGCAAGTTTGAATGACACCCAAGCTTTCGTGTGCCGACCCCAGTACCGGCATGACAAGGCGAGATGGGTGGTATCAGGAAACAAGTTAATGCTCGCCAAGTGGTTACAGGAGATGCAGACGCCGCTCGGGAAAAACAAAGGCCAAGGGGATAAGAAGAGGCTTCTGGGTAACTTACTGTTTGATCCTCCCGAGCCTCGCAGGATAGCGTCTCTGCCAGTGGCTTGGATAGCGTCAACGATGGAGGATGGTGCGGCTGTAGAACGTCGCCAAGATTGTCAGCGTCTATCACTTCTAAACGACGAGGCGCCAATCTTGAGACTGTCAATCCGTCCCATGAGAGGTGAGGCAGCAATGCAGCTTTAGCTGTGGCAGCTGCCTTGAAGAAGTGGGTAGAAACGACCAAAACCAAGCTTGAGAAAGCCTTAAAGTGTATAGTGCAGACGAACAAGGGGGAAGGGGGTGTGAAAGACAAAAGGCATAGGGTGATGAGGAATAAGAAAGAAACTTTCAGAGTTTGCAGCAGACGACGGCGTACCTGTGCCCTCGACGGATAGCAATTGGTCCTCGAGGTTGGCCTCGACCTTGGTGATGCCCCCAGTTTGTACAACGAATCTGAAACGTCCTTGACGCAACTGTCACATGTCATGGGGACGGCGAAAACGGTCTAGTCGGGTTTTCAGACGTTTCATTAGCCATCGTAGTTCTGAACGACAATCCCCTTTTTCTGCACTGCCGGTGACGACGATAGCAGCACACGCGCAAGCCTTTGTCTCCGTTCTGGCGGGACGGTACCGGTGGGAGCGTTCGGTCAGATCCCATCGATGAACCAGACAAGCGTGGGAACAGGAGGAGGCTCGCGCAAGCAAGCAGAGGGACGTGGCGGGAAGAAAAGGGAAGTGGAACGGACGAGGATAGTCGAAAATGAACACCCCAACTCACCTGAAAAGGATATGAGACGGTCATCATGAAGGGTCGTCTGCTTGGCTGCAGCGGGCTTCGTAACAGAGATCGATAGTTGTGGAGGAAGTCGTGGAGGCAGTAGAGCATGCCCGACCTTGTCTGGTTGAGATGATGATCCAAAAACAGACGCGTTGATGGTTTTCGGAAAGGAAGATGGTTGTAAGTCCTTTACAGCCGAAGTTCGGGGAGTTATTCTTGGTGAGGGCGGGTTTGCGCCCAATGGGGGAGCCTGATGCGCTTTTAATACGTTGTCTATCGTGGAGCAAGACCGTCACTGATGACTTTGGGATTGTTGCTTTGAAATCGCCTTACCACATTCGCACTCACCTGCCCCCTCCTCGCAACGGCGGGCAGCGCAATCGCATTACTTTCTGCGCTCTTCTGCCCCGCCATGAGCCGCCCGGGCCAACCGGTCCCCAGCTCATCGGTCCAAGTCGGCGCTCGGTGTCCTCAGCTGCAGACAGCTGGCCCTCAATGAACCGTCTTATCTTATCGATGAAGTCACGTGAGAGCGCTCGTGCTCTTGTGTCTCCAAATTTTTGGGAAGCTCAGGTCATCAATCGTTGAACGGATATCGATCGCCAAACGACGCCAGATCGCGTAGCCCTTCCGGACGAACGAAACTGATTCGAAGCTTTGGCCTCTGACTTTATATGCCGCCAGTCTCAACTCGACTAACGGAACGATCCGTGAACGTACAGTAAGACGGAGCATCGGCTGAGGCGGCCGGCCCAGAACAACCTTCAAGATGTCGCAAACCGTTGGCCTGGTAAGCTCCCCTTTCCCAGTTGAGCCTCCCAGACAAGACAAATTTGCTGACCACCGCCTCCCCGTGGCAGACTCGCCTCTCCTACTCCCGGGTATGGCACCACGTCTCCGCCTCCGCCCCCCACGAGACCCTCTCCACCCAACCGGGCGTCACTCCCCCATCCCTCGGCCGCCTCGCCTCGCGCATTGCCGTGTTGCTGATGGGCAAGCACAAGCCGACCTGGGACCCGTCGACGGACTGCGGTGACTACGTCGTCGTGACGGACTGCGCGGCGCTGCACGTGACGGGCCGCAAGAAGTGGCAGAAGACGTACTACCGACACAACACCCGCCCGGGCTCGCTGCAGGCCGTCACCATGGACGTGCTGATGGAGAAGCACGGCGGCGCCGAGGTGCTCCGCAAGGCGGTCAGCGGCATGCTGCCCAAGAACAGGTTGCGTGCGCCGAGGCTGGCGAGGCTGAAGGCGTTCGAGGGCGAGGCGCATCCGTATAAGAAGAATGTGATCCGGTTTGGAGATGTCCCCGTTGGACAACACGGGTGGGAGGAGCAGGTTAAGGCGATTCGCGAGGCGGATTCCGAGAGGATATGAGAGAGATTTGAAAAGGGGGGCTCAGGGGTGGTGAAGAGTGTGTGATTTGGAAGGGGAGAGGTGACTATGGGCTAGGCGAGCGAGAGCATGGAACGGCCGTCTGTTCGGCGTGTATATTCTGTATGAATACGGGCATCTCAAAATGGAAGTCTAATCCTTTTCAAAATCTGGACCTCGGCGTCTGCTGTGCATCGGATACAGCTGCGGCTACGAGTGATTTATCCGTGTGATTGTAAGGGCACATAAGGGGCACCTGGAGCCTTCGTTTGTGGTCACACAACAGCAAGACTGCTTCCATCAGGGCTCTAGTGGGTATGAGATATGGGGCTAAGTGGTTTCCAGGACATACTCCTCGATGATTGTTATTAGGAAAGTTGGTAATCCTGTAGTCACGGTCTGAGCAACCATGAAATACGAGACTGTTCACGGCGGAACATGAGTCTAAAGATGTGAACCGTTTCCTGCTATATCGAGCTGCAAACCCGTTAGTGGCACCTTTCAGAGGCGGCAATTTATTTCAGCTTACAATGCAAAACTGCCCCGATATCATGTATGGGTTTCTAGGTTGATAGTACACCATGTACTTACGAATAACTTGTTAGGGATGTTGAACTTGAGGGGCTTCGATCAGGAACTCATTCGGGGCACATGTATACTGCGATTTGCAAACTGCAGATTGAAATTTTGTTGTTGGTTCATTGCTCATTACTATAAAACAACCGGCCAGGTCTAGCCAAGGCATGGACGCCAGGATAAATGCAGATGCTGACTCCTTGAGAATACGTTCCTCTCCCTCTCTTTCTTGCCCTCTCTAACTTACGCCTCAATGCTCTTCCCAGACTGCGGAAGCACCTCACAGCTTGGCCGTCTCGGGCTTGCGCGCAACCTCGCACTTGATGAGGCCATTGGGTCCTGACTGGGGGGCGTAGACCTCGGCGTCCTTGCCGGTGTTCTTGAGTCCCTTGTGCCAGCTCAGGTCGACCTCGAAGTAGTGCTTGTTGGGCAGAGTATAGGTGACGGTCAGGGCCTCGGGGACGGCGGCAAGGATCTGCTCGCACATCTTGTACATTGTGTTCTGCACGCTGGCGCTCTCGTCCTCGGCGAAAGTCTTCATGGTGATGTTGCGGGCGGCTTGCCACGCGGGGTCGAACTTGGGGACGGCAGCCCGCACAGCGGCAAGGTCCGGGAACTTCCAGGTCCAGCCGGCGTCGACGTCCGTGGAGAGAATACGGTCCCAGGTCTCGGGAAGGGTGGTGTACTCGTCGCGGACGAAGCCGTGGAAGGCGGAGCCGGTAGACTTGAGGACGGTGAGCTTCTGGATGGCGCTGGCAAGCGAGATGCCGTCGCGGCGGGAGATGCGGGCCTCAACGTTGCGGGTCTCCTCGCCGTCGCGGAAGAAGGAGTGAGGGTGCGGCTTGCCGTCGATGGTCATGCGGGTCCAGCGGTGCTGGACGATCTTGATGTTGGCGGTGTGGATGTGGGCGTAGGTGTCAAGGAAGTGGGTACCGAGGATGGAGGCGAAGAGCTCGGGCGGGTTGACGGGGTTCTCCTTGGCCTTGATGTAGGTGGTGTTCTTGATGGAGTCGGTGGCGACGACGACGCTGTTGTCGGCGGCCGTGTACGAGGTCTCAATGTCGCCCTCGAGGAGGCAGCAGACGGTCATCTCGGTGACGGTCTGGGTGGCGCCATCGCGCTGGACCTTGTAGACACGGACGTTGTCCTTGCCGTAGCGGGCGGAAGCGAGGTACGACATTGTGGGCTGTGGTGAGAGTTTTGTTACGTGTGAGATGTAGAAAATGGGGTGCCACGAGTGAGTTTGGCGTTATCACGACTGAAGATGAGATGGGCAATGAAGGTAAGACCGCTGTGGCGACTAGGGGGGGGGGTATCGATGAAGACAAGTTTTGGTGGTTGGATGATGAGACAGAGGACAGGAGCAAGAGTCAAGAGAAGAGACGATATCGAAGAGGGGAGGCAATGTGTTTATATATCAAACGTTCCTGGGTGAGAACGGTTGAGGTTTCTCAAATCTTAGTTTCGCTTCATTGGACGTCACCCACCAACACGGGACCCGGAGATAGAGATAGCGTAGTCGCGTCTTGAGTCGGCATGTTTGGTCCCTACGGGAGTTCCATTGCCAGAGACGTGCGGCGGTCCAATGGCGCTGGCTGAACTGACCCGATTGCTTGATAGGTTCCGGCAGCCGTGGGGTAAGATGGTCTTATTGGTATCGAGTGGAGCCCCCGGAGCCCGCCGATGCCCTTTGCTGAGCTGGGCAGGCAGGCCGCCGCATGCAGCCGCTCTTGAGTGGTGCTGATGAACGGCTCTATGCGCCCCCCCGGCGGGCAACGAGCGACGCAGACTTTTTTGGATGCTGGATTGCTGGAGCATACCCCTTCAGGGCTTTGCATTTGATGGAGGCGCAGCTTGGGTGTGCTATTTCCCCCTTCAGGCCTTCAGGGTCCGCCTCGACGTAACCACCAGGAGCCCAAGACTCGGTGTTTGTTCTACATACGTCAAGAGTCGTCGAGAGCCGCACACGCTTTGTCCATGGGCTTCAATGGCCGGCTCCGAGCAGCGTACATTCCATTCCCTCCCCCTGTGTATTCGCCTCCTCAGGGAAGTACCCCAAGATGTTTGCACCGAGTCCCTGGCAGCACATCATCCAAAAGACTCATCAGCCCCCACCTCATGCAAGCCACTGCCCGCAAAACTCTGCCGCCGCTCCCCGGCCTGATGTGAGGTTGAGGTGAAGTGAGGTGAGGTCCGCGGGGAGAGAACCGGGCACCCCGCCATCTCGGGATTGTGGGCATTAGACCGAAAGGCCGAAGAGCCAAATCCCGTATGTGATCCTGACAGAAATCATTCTGTCCATTGTCAGTTGATGTATCAGCCGAATAACTGCGATCGATCCTCGGCTGCCAGTCCTATAGCGAAAACGCCTGCGTCTGGCCACAATAGACATTGTGGACGTCTCCGACGCATCGAACGACTGTGGATGGGGGAGCCGGCCGTGTTTCAGCATTGGTGGTGGAAGTCGACGCTGTGGCACGAGCAGCTTCAGACGACAAGGGAATTCCTCGGGAGCAGCAGGAGGATGGTCCATGAGTGTCGGTCCCCGTCACTCTCTCCTCTTCAGTTACTTCATGTGTAAAAGGCCCTTTTTTATTCATTGCAAGTTAGGCATACGGTCGCCCAAACTGTTAACCCCAAGAAATTCACCAGTCTACACCGCAAGCAAACGTCTTTAACAATCTCGATGGTGATGCGAAATACATGTGATCTGGATAAGATAGGTGCCGCCTTGAACTTGCTTGATCGTCGTTGAAGGGGGATTGCCTGGTGGATAGACTGCAAATGCGAAGGTCCAGTATCTGCTATCTTATCTAGATCAAGGATGTGTGCACTTCCAGCAAGCATGCCACTAAAGCAACGTGACCAACGCGACCGCTGCAGCAGATAACAGCGCCGCCATTGGTTTATCAGGAAACCTTCCCACGGCCTGGGCTAGACAATTACCACAAGGCACGGTGCCCAACCTCTGAAAATATCTCAACCACGATACACCGAAGACGAGGACATGGTCCATGCTTTCGGTGAAGTGGGCGAAGCAAGTAAGAGCGGGGCTACTGAAGCGCGGTGGGCACCTCCTGCAGTACCTACGGCACATGCAGCAAGAGCGAACAGAAGAAAGAGCACTTGCAATGGTAGCATTGGCCGTGACTTGGGAGAGATTACTCTAAGGTAGATCAAAGTGAGTGCATGCATGGACGCGGTCCGACTCCAGCAAACTTCAACATTACGACTTGGTGCTATCTTATGCGTTCAAAGTAGCCCTCCGATACCTCCTCCTCTCCCACTGACAGTCCGACACTGCCACTGGCTGTCCACCCTGAACCGGACCTCGCAACCTTGCCGCACCTCACTCAACTGTAGGCTTAGCCGATGTTCTGACACTGCACCACCTCAACAACCGACCCCCTGAACACCACCCACACCAGACATCAATACCATTGGAGCAGTACCATTGGCAGCGACTATACACGCACACACCCGCAACTGTAAGCGGCAGCAGCGACACATGTACCTCCACTCCTGACACTGGCAGCGCGGAGCAGGTACCTCAAAGCAGGCGTAGGTTTGGGCCCAACGACCGAGGACCGTGGACCGTGAGCCGTGAACTGTGGACTGGGAACGACGCCGAGCCATTACACAACGCCCGACTCGTTGACGACGACGCCAGACCTCGGCCATTCTTTACAAACAATCGAACCGCGATCCCATCCTTTGCAATCCACTTCGGCCGGCCTCCGTTGCCTCGAGACAATCCGCCGCAGCGGGCGAATGCGCAATATCTCCACGATCGACACTCTCTGTTGCGCATATTCTCAGCATTGAACCCCCATCACATCTCCACTCGGACTGACGACCTGCCCTGGTCTTGACTTGGCTCTGCAGGCGGCCGTCCGACTTCAACCACCTGCGCCTAACAGCCTGCGACCTGACTGTTCACTCGGCAATATCTGCCCGCAGTTGTCTTTCCACTGCCTCCGATTGCGCTCACATCGAACTTGCCTAACCCTCGAATTGAATCTCGGTACCCCATCGCGAAATAACCCACATTGATCGGCCACAGTCCTTTATCCCGCGCGAACGACGAGCCCGACGAGTTACCCCCATACCCAGACACCCACCACCACACATACAAAGTGACCTTGCGATAACAGTCGCCCGAATGCAACGACCTACGGAGAAGCCCCGGAAAAAGGTGGTATCATAGAGAGGTTTCACCGCCATGCTGGGCGCCTCCAGCCAGTCTCAAAAGGCACTGTCGCCTCAGCAGTCTGCATCGAGCGTCAACACTCTCAACCCACGCCCGAGTTTCGAGCGCGAAGCGAGCGCCGGTGGCCTCCAGCCGCCCTCCGCATCCGCCAATGCATCGAGAAGCTTGGGCGCCTCGGGCGTCAGCTTCGGCCCGCGAGGCTCCTCACTCAACCCCTCCATCGCGCCAGGGAGCTTCAGTTCTGAGCTGCGCAGCCAAATGATGCCATCTCGATCTGGCTCCCGGGGCGATATCTACAGCATAGATAAGGTCGATGAGGAAGATTCCGCCACGGCTGCCGAGCAGACCCTGGCAGCGCTCCGAGAACAGCTAAATCGGGAGATGAAGATCAAGGACGGGAGCGAGAACATGTTGGAAGCCTTGAATGCGAAGAAGGCGAAGCAGACGAAGGAGCAGAGGGCCAAGGTCGAAGCAGAACTCAACGCATCTAACCAGCGGATCAAAATTCTACGGCAGAAGATTGCAGACGCTTCGAGGTACAAGGCAACACCGACAACTCCAACAAGGCAGAGAACCAACGAGGCGCTGTTTCCTTCCGCCAACAATGGCTTGCGTTCTCCCCCCAGTGCCTCTCGCAGTGGCGCTGGGTCCGATAACGAGGAGTCGGCCGAACAATCGCCCACCTTTCTCCTAGCCGAGTTGCTTCAGGCTCTGGAGCAGGAGGGCATGCCCCCAGAATACTATGTCAGCCGAGGTAACAGTCTGGTCGACTTGTTTAGACGACATCCGACTCTCAAGTATGACTTGGTATGGTCTGTGTTTGGTCTGCGGATGCAGGTTATGCTCCTCAGCGAGGCCAGAGAAGTGGTTGCTGCTGGCTACCGCATGATTCGATATGCCATCTCAGATGTGTCTTCCTTGAAAAAGATCCGCACCTTGAACACTGACATCATTGTTGTAACGTGAGTATGAACCCAAATTTGGTGGGGGGTTTTGGCTGACAAGAAAAAGGTCCTTGATCAAAGATCGCAAGGCCGATCTGGAGCGTGAGCAGGCTTTGAAGTTTGTGCGAGCCTTCTTGGATGTGAAAGATGGAGTCAAAGAATTATCACGTGCAGTTGTGCGAACGGTGGCTGCTGTTGCTGAGCAAGCCGAAGACCGCCTGCGGTCCATCTGCCTGGAGACCCTTGCCGAGATCATGCTCCGTGATCCTGCCCTGGCAGTCGCATCTGGTGGCCTATCACCACTCTCTGAGGCCTTGATTGAAGGAACCTACAAGTCGCCAGAGTCACTCATGGCATCCTATATGCAGATTCTGGACAATCCACAGAAGAGGGTCTACCTACGCTCCGGTTATGATCTGGAGGTCCTCTTCACAGCATTCACAGACATTATCCTGGCCAACGAGAGTCTATTGAAGCAAAATGCCAAGGCCATCACCAAGATTCTGAAGAGTTGGCCTGGCCTGATGATACTGACAATGCACGACTCCCGCGCACTCAAGTCGCTGCTCACTAGTATGGTGCTTCCGCAGCCTACCATCCGAGAAACCGTCATCGACCTCATCTACCTACTCCTTCGGATCAAGTCCCCCTCATGGGCCTCGTCATTCCTTGCTGGCCGACGCTTGACAACATATGGACGGGTTGCTAGTCTCAAGTCTATCTCAAACCAGAATCCGTCAGGGACATCGTCCCCCATGGAAGAAGATAGCGGGGAGCAAAACTTCATGGACCACTACACTGCTCTTCTTCTAGCAACGTTTGTCAAAGCTGGTCTTTTGGAAAACCTCCTCCAGGTTGCAAGAACCAGCGAGCCGCAGCTGTCGAGGAAGACGTGTCTCCTAATTGGAGAGGTACTGAAGTTGGCGAGCAGACTACTTCCCGCTTCATGGAGTAACGACCTGCCTCTACTTCCAGAACTATTCGCTGCCGCTACCCAGTTCAAGGACGACAACAGATTCATTGCCTCCGGTATAGTTTATCAGATTAGCTCGGTAAGCAAAACTCTGTACAGGAGCTCGCCTTCTGTAGCCACGGCTGGAACCCTGCCATCCCATGACAGTATGGGCAACCTTGCCGACATGCATCGCAAGAGCAACGCCGGAATTGTGGTTCAAGAGGGCGCAATTCGACAGCTCTTGGTTGAGTCAAACGTCTTGAACAGCTCCAACTACTTGAAGTGGAACTGGGATGTCATTTCACGAATTATTGAAGGGCCGCTTCAAGACGGTAAACGGTTGGACGAGGTCAACAGGGTCTCCAAATTCATGAACAGGATCATGAGCTTCTACCGGCCTTTTAAGCACAGGTTCTCCGATCTTTCGAGCAACAAAAACACGCAAAAGTACGTCAGGGTAGGATGTGCTTTGATGCATACTTTGCTTCAATCTCACGAGGGCGTCGACTATCTGCAGGACCATAAGATGCTGCGGCAGATAGCCGAGTGCCTTGCTCAATGCGACCCAGTAAGCACTGTTCTATCCACAACGCGGGTGAAAATACTAACGTTCTTCTCAGAGCAGCGGGCTGACATCGACGGACCCCATGTTCTCTCCTGGCCGTCTGCAGAGCACGCTTTGCGCAGGTTACTTCCCCATGCTTGGCGTCCTCAGTGGTGACCCTAGGGGCCTGGAGCTGCTTCAGCGCTGGAGGATGTTCAACATGATGTATCATATTCTCGGCCACAAGCAGCGCCCTGACTTGATCAAGCTGCTGCTCTCTAACTTCGACTACAGCATCCCAGGACACCCGCGAGTGCTTATTGAACAGGCACTGACCTCTGGGACGAGAGAGATTCGCATCACGGCGACGAATGCGCTGCGGAAGTATGCGACTCGGCCTTTTGATGCATCGCAGCCTTCCCACGGCAAAGTTGATTGGAAATGGGCAATCGAAAAGCTGTGTGACCAGCTGTACGATCCTGAGGTAGAAGTCTGCCGGACCGCGGTTAAGATCCTTGAGAAGGCATGCAATAAGAAGGCATACCTGGAATACGTCGTCCAGTGTCGTCCGACAATGGACCACCTAGGAGAAATCGGTGCCCCTCTCCTCCTACGGTTCCTGTCTTCGTCCATCGGCTATCACTACCTCGACGGCGTCGATTACATCAGCAACGAAATGGATGACTGGTTCCTTGGTCGCAACGACTCGTACGTCGGAGTCATCGAAACCAGTTTGGCCAAGGCATTCCTCGAGAATCCGGAGGAGCATCAGAACCGCATGAACATGGTCGACGAGGCCCAAGCGGAGGCGGAGCCAGAAAATCACATCCCACCGCATTTCTATCGCGAGCTTGCTCGCACTCAAGAGGGCTGCAAGCTGCTCAGCGACAAGGGACATTTCGCAGAGTTTGCCAGCACCATCAAAGAGTACGGGATGCAGTCGGAAGATCCAGAGCTCATGCTAAAGGTCAAGTCGTCAATGTGGGCCGTCGGCAACGTCGGGTCGATGGAGCTCGGCGCACCCTTTATCGAGTCATGCGACGTCGTCGAGGACATTGTCAAGATCGCCGAGGAGCACGAGGTCATGAGTCTGCGCGGCACCGCTTTCTTCGTTCTCGGACTGATCTCTAGATCCGCCCACGGCCTTGAGATCCTCTCAGAGTGTGGGTGGGACGCAAATCTTTCACCAAGGGGAGAGTCTTTGGGATTCTGCATCCCCAACGATTTGTCCAAGTTCTTCTCGTTCAAGCCATGGAAGCACGCTATCGCTTCCAAGATCACGTTGCCTGACACACAGAAGACATTCCTGACTCCGCCGCCACCCACGGAAGCGCGTCCACCTTTGGAGAAGGAAGAGCTGCCGGCCTTCAACAACGAAGCCGCCACCAACCAGCGAATTCTCGATCTCGTCGTCGACCTCGGTAACATGGTGCTGTACAAGCGCGCCATGGGCGAGCTGATGCAGATCAGGCAGCACAAGGTGCCCGGTTTCAGATGCCCAAAAATGTTCAAGCGCGTCATGACGATGCTCGAATACAATCACTATCGTTTGCCTATTAGACGGATGGTAATAGAGATGTTCGACAAGAGCGTCCTCCGGCGGATCGTGTTTGGCGAAGACAGTGACAGTGGGTCTGACGAAGACGAAGACGAAGACGATGGAGACAACGCGTCGTCGTCTGGTGACGAGAATCGAACCGAGAGACAAAGGAGCATATCAGATCCTTCAGAGCTAGTGAAGGATACTCCAACGAGGACGGACAGGTCGAACAGTCAAAGCTCGTTTGACACAGATGACTAGGCGGACACGGCGTAAGGGTACGCTGGTTCGCCACATTTGCCCATTTCTTTCCACAAATTACTTGGCATGTGCAACGGAAGAGGACGGGTGGATTTTGAGACGCACCAGGCACCATGATGAGGCGTTTTGCTGTTGGCTTTTTTTGTACTATATCTCGGGACTTTGGGGATGTATAAGTCTGGCGGACCGGCCAAGGTTTGGTCAGCAAAGAGACTTTCAGAGATCACGACTTGCTACTTGAGTAAGCAATGGATATGATGGAGTCGGGTGGGCTGTCTGCGTATCGATTCCCAGGGAGTAGGGCGTCGGCAGGGTAGGCAATTCAAAAGCGGCTTGTTCCCTATATGAAGAATCTGGCGGTAAAACCCTCAGACCTGTGACAGATATGCCAAAGCAAATACCAGGTGCGACGAATTGTTTACGTGATGCAGTCACTCATTGTATGAATTGGGTCATCAGAAGGAGCTGTTGAGACGTGTGCACCTTGCACCGTAAGTAAAATCCGAGCCCCGCCCCCACCTTGGGTGACATCTACGAACAACGGGTGATCCGACGTCAACCGTCCTCCGTCCCGCCCGGTTAGAAGGATACTCTGCAGCCCAAAGTAGCAATTTGCACAACGAACAGGAGTGGCTCTTTGATTCTCTCGCAGACCGCCGCAGGACGTTCTCTGTAGCTGATTGCGATCCGCAACCGCAATCAATATGGTCCAGGGACGGGTTCTAGTCATTGCTGGCTCCGACTGCTCAGGTGGGGCGTGAGTATCCCATCACGCCATCCAAAAAAGGCGCCTGCTAGGAAACCTAAGGCTGATGAGATTAACAGCGGCCTCGAGGCGGACCAAAAGGTGATTGCAGCGCATGGTTGCTATGCCATGACGGCAACGACGGCCCTGACGGCGCAAGATACTACCGGCGTGCACGACATCCACCACGTGCCGCAGGAGTTCCTGGTTAAGCAGATCGATGCTTGCGTTAATGACATCGGCGTCGATGTTGTCAAGACTGGTAGGTTGAGCAAGTTGGTAGAAGCGAGTTTCGAGAGCTGACTGTGTTCAGGCATGCTGGCTTCCCCCGCAACAATAGGGACTGTTGTCGAGGCTCTCAAGAGGCACAAGATTCCCAAGGCGGTTGTGGACCCGGTATGCACTGCTCTCTCTGCCATCGGTATTGATTATAAGCGTCTAACAGTCGTAGGTCATGATTGCAACCAGCGGAGCGGAGCTCCTCCCCCGTGAAGCCGTCGTAGAGCTGCTGGAGGGCCTATTGAGGCTCACCACCGTCCTCACGCCCAACATACCTGAGGCGAAGCTTATTCTCGAGGACTCTGGATACAAGTCCGTCGAAGTCAAGGGCGTCAAGGACCTCGAGGAGATGGCAAAGTCCGTTCAGTCGCTCGGTCCTGAATGGGTGCTGGTTAAGGGCGGGCATGCGCCGTTCAAGGCGGACCTCACTGTAGCGGAGACAGAGGAGGAGAAGGCGGTTGTCGTTGACGTGCTTTACGGACATGGGGAGTTTCTGCATATTCAGAGCCCGTATCAGAGCTCTACAAATACGCACGGCACGGGCTGCTCGCTAGCTTGTAAGTAAAATCTCTTCTTCAGGGGCGGAAGATGCTAACATGCGATAGCTGCTATCGCGTCGAACCTGGCCAAGGGCCTCACTGTGCCCGAAGCAGCAAGGTCAGCTTGCCGGTACATTGAGGCTGCGATCAAGACGGCTCCAGGTTTCGGCAAAGGACACGGACCGTTGAACCACTTCCACTCGGTCCAGACACTTCCATTTGCGCCGTATGACCTCCAAGTTCCCGGGAAAATCACGAGCTGACTAGCAGTAGGGGACGTTTTATTGAGTACATGCTCGCCCGACCCGATGTCAAAGACGTGTGGAAGACATTCGTTTACCACCCCTTCGTCATGGCCATGGGAGACGGCACGCTGCCTATGGAGTCATTCAAGCAATACCTCATCCAAGACTACCTCTACCTTGTATGTCTCTGGCTATCCAGCCAGGGCTTTTGCTAACACTCTTCAAGGTCCATTTTGCCAGAGCTAATGCCCTGGCGTCGTACAAAGCAAAGAACATTGCGGACATTTCGGCTGTGAGTATCAGATATAACTGTCGTGGGATTTATGTTGACCATGCCAGGGTGCTAGCATTGTCAATCACATTGCTCGTGAGATGAGTCTGCACATCGACTACTGTAAGGGCTTCGGCATCACCGTGCCTGAGATCGAGGCAACTGAGGAGCATCAAGGTCAGTCATTTACTGGTAGACAAGAGAGCATGACCTAACGAAGTACAGCTTGCACGGCGTACACACGCTACGTTCTCGACGTGGGAATGAGCGAAGACTGGATTGCCCTGCAAATGGCATTGGCTCCCTGTCTCCTCGGGTACGGCGCCGTGGCCAAGCAGCTTCACGGCGATAACAAGACGAAGCGCGACAGTAATACATACTGGAAGTGGATCGAAAACTACGTCGCCGATGACTACGTTGGGGCCGTCAAGACGGGGTCAGGTTCGTGGAACTTCGATCATGGTCGACGAAGCGCATAGTTGCTGACAAAGAAAACAGAGTTGATTGAGAGACATGCCGTTTTGCAAAGCCCGTCGAGCATCGAGCGGTTGATCAAGATTTTCATCCACGGAACCAAGGCAGGCCACTCATTGTACAAGGCTCGAACATTTACTGACTATGATGCAGATGGAGATTGGCTTCTGGGAGATGTTTCCCTCCCAGTAAGGAATCCCATGAGGGCTAATGGCTTGATGGGGTATTATAGAATGCGTGAAAGGAAAAGGCTCTTGACATACATTAGACAGTGAACAAAGAACACGGAAGTAGAAACATTTGCAAAAAACCTCGCGGCCTGAGTGACTGGCTTGGAGCATGACCAATGCACCTCGTTGTCGTCATCCTGGCGTTCAAACAGCCTCATCCGCGAACCTTAGACAACTATCTACAATTCATCTACGAAAAGAACCAAAGGCAAAAGCCAAGAATCAGTACGCTGGGCAATGCAGAAGCTTCGCATGTCATCCGATGCACCTTGCCGTGCTCCATTTCTTTGACAGTTTGGGTGTAGATGCCGCTATCCCATTGCAAAGAGTTAAAAAAAAAAAAAAAAAACCTGCAAGAGGGAGGAGGGACCCTTGCTTGCGGAGGCTCATCCGAGGCCAAGCGATCTCCAATCATTCAGAGATGGTCTCCGCAATACGTATGCAAAATCTGAGAAGGGTTTTCTGAAAAGCTGGAGACCCCGTTCAAAGCAGCAGGGCGAGAGAGTGAGAGTCAAGAACCTTGTTGCAGAATTCGTCGAGGTGCCTTATCGCGAGTCATATCTACTATCTTACCCGACCGATAAGACAGAGGCACGGACACATGTAGGTGGTACGTATCTTTTTCGCCTTAGCAGGGTCCTCTGGCAGCCTCTGCCTCGAAAAGTTTTGGTAGCCAAGAAAAAAAATTCACCCTGGACCGCCTTCCCTCGCGCTCCCCAAAACCTTCCGTCCTCCTGCTCTTTTTTCCCCCTTCCCTCATCCGCATCCCTCTCTTCTCCATCTCACAACTCCCATCCTCACCCCTCAACGCAACAACAGTCTACTTTTCGGTTCACTCCAGAGAAGGACTTCAAACCCTGCGTTCTCTCCCCACGATCTTTCTTTCTGCCTTTTGATACTTCGCTCCAGCGAAGACAAACATCGACAATCAAACACTCGCACACTCTCTGCACCTAGCAAACATGTCTTACGGCGGCGGATACGGTGGCGGTGGTCGCGGCGGCGGCGGCGGCGGCTACGGAGGTGGTGGTGGTTACGGCGGTGGTCGCGATCGCAACGACAGAGGCGGTCGCGATGGCGGCTACGGCGGCGGTGGTTACAACGGGTAAGCATCTCATTGATTCCATTCCCGATCGTTGTCGGTCGGGTTCGTCAGGCTAGTGGCAATGCCTTGGCACCGAGCACCCATGGTGTGACACTGGTGTTTGATACGAACCTGGAGCGTCGCGTCTCGATACAATTGCGACGCGGACTTCCGGCACCTTTCGATGATGCAAATTTTCCCCATTCCGAGAACCAACTTACTAACAGTCCAGTGACAGCAACGGCTACGGTGGTGGCGGTGGTGGTTACGGCGGTGGCGGCGGTGACCGCATGAACAACCTCGGAGCCGGCCTTCGCACCCAAGAATGGGGTCAGTATTTCCACGTTTCATCTCCATCAAAACAATCAAACTAACCACCAAACAGATCTCAACACGATGCCCAAGTTCGAGAAGTCTTTCTACAAGGAGCACGAGGAGGTCGCCAACCGCAGCCCCGCTGAGGTCGAGTCCTTCCGTCGCAAGCACCAGATCGCCATCGCTGGCAACGATGTCCCCAAGCCCGTCGAGACCTTCGACGAGGCTGGATTCCCCAGATATGTCATGGACGAGGTCAAGGCCCAGGGTTTCCCTGCGCCCACTGCCATTCAGTCCCAGGGCTGGCCTATGGCTCTTTCCGGTCGTGACGTGGTCGGTATTGCCGAGACGGGCTCCGGAAAGACCCTTACCTACTGCCTGCCCGCTATCGTTCACATCAACGCCCAGCCTCTGCTGGCCCCCGGCGATGGTCCCATCGTCCTGATCCTCGCCCCCACCCGTGAGCTCGCGGTCCAGATCCAGCAGGAGATTTCCAAGTTCGGCAAGTCTTCCCGCATTCGCAACACCTGCGTCTACGGCGGTGTCCCCAAGGGCCCTCAGATCCGCGACCTCTCCCGCGGTGTCGAGGTTTGCATCGCGACCCCCGGACGTCTCATCGACATGCTCGAGGCTGGCAAGACCAACCTGCGTAGAGTCACTTACCTGGTTCTCGACGAGGCTGATCGCATGTTGGACATGGGTTTCGAGCCCCAAATTCGCAAGATTATCGGCCAGATTCGCCCCGACCGTCAGACTCTCATGTGGTCCGCCACTTGGCCCAAGGAGGTCCGCGCCCTTGCGTCTGACTTCCTTACCGACTTCATCCAGGTCAACATCGGCTCTATGGAGCTGGCTGCCAACCACCGCATCACCCAGGTCGTTGAGGTTGTCAACGAGAGCGAGAAGCGTGACCGCATGATCAAGCACCTCGAGAAGATGATGGACAACAAGGAGAACAAGGTTCTCATCTTCGTTGGCACCAAGCGTGTTGCCGACGAGATCACCCGCTTCCTTCGCCAGGACGGATGGCCCGCGCTTTGTATGTCTTTCTGCCCCCGTACTCCATCGATATAAGCTAACATCTCTTCAGCCATCCACGGTGACAAGCAGCAGAACGAGCGTGATTGGGTCTTGGACCAGTTCAAGACGGGCAAGAGCCCTATCATGGTCGCTACCGACGTCGCGTCGCGTGGTATTGGTGAGTATCACATCCCCCCAACCTACATGGCAACTTCCAGCAGCCTCGCGCTGTGCTTTACTCTTATGTCTAGGGGCTCTCTTGATTGCGCACTCTTGCCTGATGCATTCGTGTTTCCTTGGTTCTCTCTGCTCCTGTGTGGAGTCTTGGTCTGGTGTGTAGCCGTTGGCTCGCTATACTCGCTGTTCCACTCTTGTGCCTCCCATATGCCAATGGTACAAGCGTGGATGTGGCATATCTTGATTCGATCAAGCTGTCCCCAAGATTCCCCAAGCCCGAGGACCCGGTACACTGAACTTTCCAGGATGGCATTTGACGCAGACGGACTGCCCTGTCTTCGACGGAGTGAAAGACGGCCCGATATGATGATCAAACATACCTGGTTCCATGCTGGAACGTTGCTATACACACCGTGATGCGTTATGCTAACCCATTCATCAAGATGTTCGTAACATTACTCACGTGCTGAACTACGACTACCCCAACAACTCGGAGGACTACATCCACCGTATCGGCCGTACCGGTCGTGCTGGTGCCTTGGGTACCGCCGTTACCTTCTTCACCACTGACAGTGAGTTCCCATCCTCCCCGTCGCTTCTTGTTTCTTGACGCTAACTCCTTTACAGACTCCAAGCAGGCTCGTGACCTTGTCAACGTCCTCAGGGAAGCCAAGCAGGAGATTGATCCTCGTCTCGCTGAGATGACCCGCTACGGCGGCGGTGGTGGTGGTGGTCGCTATGGCGGCTGGGGCCGTGGCCGTGGTGGTGGCCGTGGCGGCGGTGGTGGCCGTACGTTTTCTCTCCCAAAGTCTTAGTGGTGTTTACGCTGACGGACTCCCCTTTCAGACAACGCTAACAATGCCCCTCTAGGAGGTGCCCGACGCTGGTAAGAGCCTAGCCATCTGGGTCTTTCCAATGGCGAGGTAGTTTATCATCCATGCGGCGGCAATATGCCCAATTCATCATGCAAAATCGGCGTTCACGTAGATGGGAGGGTTTAGATTCGAGGTATCCGGAACATCGTATCGGTGTACCCTTCAGTCTGGTATTTTTCCACGGCTATTTTTCTTTTTTTTTCTTTTCCTTGTGTTTCTCTATTTGCCCATATCGGACTTGGGACTGTGTGCGATATCTTCTTTCAGGCATGGCCAAACGTGGATCAGGTTGAACAAAAAGTTTAAGAGGGAACGAGGACGACACGACGAATGGTGTCGGGGACAGCATTAGAGACCTTCGTTGGGTCCAGTTACTTGCTCGACAGGCGACGACGGCATTTGATAGATGACTGTGTATACCAGGCACTGCCCTGTCGAGGGTGGCGGTCGTAATAGGTCAATCATCCTAGGACATGAATCTGTGTATTTGTGATGTCTCATGCCACGGTGTAATGATCTGATTTTGTTCGTCTGTGACTAGTTGAACATGTGACAACCTCTCGTCTTGACGCGCTCGTGGCTGCCGACTGTGCGGTTGGTTGGTTGATTGCTGCCTCTGGTCAGACATGACGCCCCCTACCTCACCAGCCAAACAAATCGGCGCCGTGTCCATGTGACACGATTAGGAGGTGTTCCTCAATGCTTAATTCGAGAGTCCTGCTGCTAGGGTTGAGTGGAACTGGCCGGCCGATGCCTCCTTCACTGCGATCTATGGATACATTTGTTGGGTTTCTCGATCATATCCAGCTCTACGAGGGAGGTTTGCTTCTTGAGACGCATTGCAAGTTAGATCCCTACTATTCCCCTTCTCTGACGTGACGTGAATGTCTCGGTCGAGAAGGAATAAGATAGGGGAGGGGACACGGAGACGGACACCTGCTCAAACATGCCTTCTCGGCTTCGTGCTGTGCAGGGGGAGTTTGCGGGCATCTCTGATGTGCTATTTGTGACAGTGGACGATGACGACGCTTTGGAGGGACCGGGGGGCATCAGACGGTGAGGGTTTCCCGACTGATGCTTTTCTCTTTCCCTGTGCTATTCTTGGTCGTCATCTCAACGCGTCTAACAAGACTTTCGGAAAGATGGATTCACATGCGGTCCGCCGGTCCCTCGTCAGCGGAATCCCTTGATGGGAAACGGATTTCTGAGGCCCCCTTGGCCCCAGGAGCCGCTGGGCTCTAAGACGCCGCGTCCGTTACTTCCGCTTGCTGATTCCATCCCCCGCGCAAGTGAAGCCACCTGTTGTCTCTGGAACTTGAGGAGAGGAAACCAGAGACAGGCCAGAGCCGGCCCCCGGGGTTCCATGAAGCTCGATTGCATATGGAGCCCCAAAGGATGGGGACACGGCGCTCTGTCCACCCCTTTCTACCTGTCCATCCCTTTTACATGTACACGTACCTACGCCTCCATGTCCGCCAACCTGCCAAGGCCCTCCGCGACTGGCCTCTCTGACTTGTGTTGCCCGGCCTTGGCGATGGTGCGTGAGGACAAAGCCGCCTTCGTTCCATGGTCGTCTACCTAATCCATACCCAAACTCACCAGAACCCTCCCCGGTCCCCTCATGTCCTCGCCCCCTGCCTATCGTCTTCGTATCCAACGTATCCAACGCATCCCAGCAGAGCCTGCGTGTTGGGTTGGTTCGTCACACCAAAATCGGCACTTTGCGCACTTGCGCGAGAATGCAACGCTACCAGAACGAAGAAGAGACTTGCCCGAGGGGTCCAACGACGATTGCACCCACCACCCCAGCTTCTAGGTTTCTGCCCCCCTAACATCACACCGCTTATGCCGTAGAGCAAGAAGGAAGAACCGGGAAGCATGCGCCTTGTATACACGCGGGAAATCCATTGATAGGTCAACACACCCCGCAGTCAGAGATGTGGTATTCCTGGAGCACGAGAGACGTGTAGATAGTAGTTGACAACCGGCAGGAGGGTGCGGCGAGCCGGACGCACAGATTGCACAGCGCTTTGGGCACTGGGAAGAAACTTGTCCGGCATTAAATCTGTGCAAGAAGAGATCCCATGGGTATGGAAGAAGATCTCGGCCGGAGGAGCGTCACTCCTCAGTTCTGTGCTACCTGAGGGACCAGAGAGCTTCCAAAAGAACCATGCTCCCCTACCGACCCAAGCACGACAGCCTTGCATCAAGGCACAAAACTGAACGAGTCCATGTACGGTGAAATGTATGATTTATTGGCAAAGTTTGCCTTCGTGCAAAGTACAACCTCCTAGTCCAGCAAAGCCATGTGCGCGTCCACCATTCCCTTTACGCGCCCGCCATACCAGAGCCATTGGGACCTGGGCTGCGCCGTCAATCCTGAACAAGAGCCAACAAAGCCAGACCGATTGATGCCCGAGAAGCCAATAAAGGACCCGAAACTCCCCGCTAAAAAACTCCTACACCGCTCCATGAACGACACTGAATGACCATGCCCCCATACCCAATGTCCGTTTGTCAAAAATCAACATGCATCAGAGTTGAGTTGCGAGACTTGGGTCGTACCATGTCTACAAACGACGTTCTTCGAGATGAGAAACGGCGCGGCCTTACTCCGATGGGCGGCAGAGGCGTCAGGAAGGGGTCACTGATGCTGCTGCTTCCAGCGCATGACTGCGAGTGTCGACGACGCTTCTCCTTTGCTTCCAACCAGCGCCTGACCCCGGAGCCCTAATCCCACGAGACAAGATCCTTCTGCTTTCCGCTCTCGTCCAGCTCGACCACCGTCGCGGCGAACTCGCCTCGCTCATCCTCGGCCTCGAGGTCATCCATCTCCAGCTCGACTTCCTCGCCGTCCTCGAGCATCTTCTTGCCCTTTCGTAGGTAGTCGCTTCTGATGTCCCATCCAAATTTCCAGACCCACGTCTCGAGTTCGGAGAATGCCTGGCCGACGGCAGCCTGCTCTGGAGTGGCGAGTGAGTTGAGTGCCAGAAGCACTTCGTTGAGGCGTCGCTTGTAGACAATGAGAGCCATACGGAGGTCGCGGGAGTATGACGGGCCATAGTCGAGGACGGAGCCGTCAAGGTAGCGTTCGTTGTAGACGAGCTGAGCCGTGATTGTCTGCAGGAGGGCGCGAGCCAGCTCGGGGCGCTTGAGGGGCAGGGTGTAGGCCTTCAGGACGACCGAGACCAGCATGTGCCACCACTGCTGGACGCAGGCTTCGTTGCCGAGGTGCATTCCGACGATGAAGGCGAACTGCAGCTCGCCAACAATGTCGTCGTCACTGATAGCCGTGGACAGCAAGTAAGCCGTAGCATCGACGGCCTGCTCGGTGCGTGCGGGGCCGACAGTGTCCGCATCGTACGTTTTTGCGCCCTGGCTGAAGGTAAAGTTCAACTCTGTGCTCGCGACTACGCTGGGCATCCTCTTCTCGAGCTCGACCTCGGCGGGGAGCATCAGAGCGCCCCTTACGCGGTCCGAGGTGTGCACAGCCCAATTTCCGGCCTGACGGGCGGTAATTCTGCTCAGCAGAGGGGCCGAGATGGCGTTGGTAAGCTGCTGCCAGATGTTGGTGTTCCTTGCGAACTCAGGTTCCGGGCTGGACGAGCCGGCGGCTACCGACTTGACGTTTGCGTTGAGGGCGCGGAACTGGTAAGGGGCCAGCTTGGGGTAGATGTCCTGGATGTTATCCTTCTGAAAGCGGGCCTCGACCTGGCTGGCGGGCTCGCCGACAACCTCGTTGAACTTGTCCCACTGCATGACGTGAATCTTCTCCGTGGCCGAGCTGATGACCCAGAAGCCGCAGCGTGTGGTGCTGGCCTCCGTTTCCGAGACCCAGAAAAAGTGCGGGCCGGGGGGGATGTCTCTGACGCCGACGAACTCGCGGGCGGTGAAGGAGACGGAATCGTAGCCAACGGTAAAGTGAGCGGGAAGGTCCATGATCAGCACGATGTCGCCGCCGCCGAGGGTGTGCTCATGCTCGGGCGGCGGGCGCTGTGTGGCGACGGCACCTTGAGGCTCGATGGGGCCCAGAGGCGGGGGCTCATCGTCGTCGGGGAGGGTGTTTGGGTTCATGGCGGCTTCTTGCGACCGAGACGAGTCGACGGGCTGGTGAACGTGCAGGGAGCCGAGAGGATGGGCGCCGGTGACGCGGATGGATTTGCAGGATGGAGCCGTAGTGGAGACGGAGGAGTCGGACTTTGGCAGGCCCGAGTTTTTGAAGAGGGCGGGCCGGATGGGGACGTCGATGGAGGCGCCGGAGGTCATGTTTATTGGAGATAATGGGAGGAGGCCCCACTACCGTCCGAAGTCGAGAATCGACAAGAATGTAGAAGAGGCGAAGAGAAGATGCAGACTAAGTCTGATGTGGTATCAATCGAGTCGGAACAGACTACCGGTATGGTTGTGAAGCAGCTTTGTGGCGAGGATAGTAGAAGAAGAAAAACCTAGTAGGTAAGGCAGGGAAGACAAGGTGGCGAGGCAAGGCCCTTTGACGTCTTGTCGTTGCTGCAGAGGGTTGCGTATAGAAGAAATAAGGGAAAGAACGAGCGACGCGTGATGATAAACAAGGCCGGTGCTGCCTGCAGGTTTTGAGGCGACTTGGACCTCAGGCAGGTTGTTTTCTGTGGGGAGATTTATAGCTGGATGTGAAAATAAGGTATGGGAGAAAAAAGCCAAGTAGGAAAGGTGGTTGAAACCAGAGAGACGTAACGGGGCACGAGATGCGAACAATGGATGAGCTCCAGAGCGAGTACTGACGCGACCGACCACAGTGAATGGGAGAAGGAGGGCCAATAACAACGGAAGGAGAGAGAAGGATCGTGGAATGCGAGCCTGCAGAGGACCTCGATTTATTATGGTCTGGCTGGCTCAGTCACCATCACCGTCACTCCTTCCTTCCTTCTCGTCCCTCCATCTCTTTCCGCCCCCCTCCTGCCAGACGGAGGGTTCCTTCCTCCAAACAGCAATTTCCCACCCTCAGGCGCAGTGTCCTCCGCCCCAGACCCTTCTCTTCCCCTCTTTATCTTAGGGCCGTTTCCGTTCGAAACAATGCGGCGGCGGCGGCAGCAGCAGCAAGAAGAAAGAAAGAAAGCAACATGCACTTCTCGGCTGCCGTGACCCGATCATGTTCCAGGTTTGAAAACTGCAGACTACGTCATAGGTATCCTGTGGTGAGATTAGGTGTGGTGTGGGAAGGAGGGGGGGATGCGGCACGGGCAGCCGAATGGATTGTGTAGTGGAATGAAGAGGCAGTCGCCAGAGAGACACGGGCGCCTGGGGCGCTGAAGCAGTGCCTTTTCCAGGGGACTTGCAACCAGTGACACCAGTGCGCGATGGCGATAGCGATAAGCGAGCCTGTGCATCGCCACATTCCACTGCACCGTCCGTCCCAGACGGCCAGGACCCAACCAGGTAAGACACGCAGACAGGCACGCCGCCCGACGCTGCTGTCCCGAGGAAAGACGAAATGTTTGGTGACCACTCCACTGAACAAGAATCCAGCTAGCTTCAACGTTGCGTCTTCACGTCCCGCCCACGACGCTCAAGCTCACGCTAGACAGACCTGCCATCTCAAGAATACCGTCCTCCATCCAAACTTACGCATCAGGAATGCCCACCGTCCGTCCGTCCGACGCATCCGTTCCGTCTGTCTGTCTCGAACCAAACCATGCCGCCCCGCTCCGAGCGACACTCGCAGGCCACCCCGCTCTTCCGTTACGGAACTCGGGACCAAACACTACCCAACTCCACCCCATTCAGATAGCTCCTCGGCGTCTCGCCAACGGAGGGCAAGGGAAAAAAAGAAGGCCTCCGCCCGTGCCCCATCCCAGCCGACCGATTCCTCTTTCTGCCTTTTAGTCCTTGACGTTACAATTGGGGGCCGAAAACCAAAGTGCATCCGTACAAATGTAGCTTAAACGCAATAAACTAACATGAGCGCTAGTATCATCGACACCAAGGATTAAGGTCAGGAAACAAACCATTCCACGTTTCCTGTCCTCCCACCCCCCAGGACTGCAACCCCAGTTCCTTCGCCCCCGCCGGTCCCGTCCTCTTGGGATGGGATCTATCATCTCGACCTCCACATCAAATGGAGGATCAAGGGGCCGGCTTAAAATTCGGCGCTACGGGGGCTGTTGATTCCCCCCCCTCCTTTTTTTCCTTTTTTTTTTTCTTCCTCTGTCGGCCGCTTGTTCGGGTCCGCCCCCAATCGCCAGGGATGCCGAAAAAGATTTAAGAAACAAATAAAGTCGACACTTTACAAAGCAAAAATCTTGATTCCCGCCTTTCCCGTCCTATTTAAAACTAGCAAGGTAGCAGGAGCCTCCCAGAAGAACCCGGCTGTCTGGTTCCCCTAATGTAGTCTAAACTAGAAAACCAAAGTCTTCAACTGCTGCGGCACGGCACACGGAAATAAACAAACATTACACACACCACTTTTTGCGCACGCGTGGTTCCGACAACCAGTGTTCGGAACCCAAAAGCACAAACCATGATTTGACCTCGTTTGTTTTTCTTCTTCCCGTTCCGCGGTGCAGTAGCAAACTTTGACGACTAGGAAAGGCATTGCACTTGCACGAGAACCTGCCACGGGTACCACCGTAGGACTCGCCCCCTTAAGGTTGTGCCGCTCGACGTCACCGCTCATCTTCCGCACTTGAATTCGTGTGCCGCGGGCCTCGCACTGGCTCACCTGCCGCTCACCGACTTCTTCTGCTGCTCGACTCTGTGTACCCGTACCCGAACCCGAACCCGAACGCAACGTCCCCAACTCACCGCGAGAAACTCAATTGCAGACAACATCCGCGCACGCGGCCCCGGGGCACCCGCCCAAACACCCTCCCACTCGGCCTTGGTCATACGCGGCACAAGAAGTGTGCAGACACGCAAAACCTTGGCTGTTCAATGTTATACCTCCCTCCGACACCACCACCAACACCACCACCAGCAGCTCAACTCAACCTTCTTCTTCCTCAATCAAACTCTACGAATGAACGACAGGGAATACGATAAAATAAATTCGTCCTGCATTGATAGTCGCTCAGGCATCAGATTGGAAGGACAATTGGTTCATCAATCCAAGCATGCCACGCTGCCCACCTGCAGCCATCCGCAAGCAGGGTATCACAACAAAGTAAAACAAAACCCGCCCATCCATCACCCCCCCTTGTCCGCCCTTCCCCGTTCCGCCTGCACCGTCTCGCCAACAACTAGAAAATATGCGTTTCCAGTTCCGTCTCCCTTTGTGATCTTGTTGGACATGCAAATTAAAACCGGAATTTTGACTTTGAAAAAGAAAGCCATAGAGACACGCATGATCCGGCAGCAACCAACACGCACCTACCAGAAAACCCCTATGAGGAAAGAGGGAAAAAAACCATTTCAGTAGCCCTGTCTCTCATCCATGTTCGTCAGCCCGCCTTATGCAAGTAAGAAACCACCACCACCACCTCCGCACACACATGGGCCAGAGACTCAGGGCTAAACTCGCAATGGCATGGTGTCACCACCACCGCCGCCGCTACCACCACTACCGCATCCTCGCTGCCCCATGGTTTTGCCATCTGCGTCAGTTCACCAACACTAACATCGACAACCCCGGTTTGCCATGCTATTTCTTCAGCAGCCAGTCACCTTGGCTGTTTGATTTATTTTATTTAATTTTCTATCAAGCCTCCGCTTCTCCACACACGGTGTTCGTCCAAAACCCGACGATTTGGCTCCCGGGCTCAGGGTTTGTTCTCCTTAGTCTGCGCCTGACCCGAAACGGGAGAAATCCTCTAATGGAGTTTTGCCTCGCGACATCGTTTTTCTCGTCATTTCACAAGTCAAATTGATGCTCGAGGCATGCCATGTGTTGCTGAAATCTTTTGCATTTCCTTTTCCGCAACTACCAAGAAAGCAATCTCAACTATCAAACGCAATTTGTCGACGCCCTCAACGTCCGTGTATGTGTAGGTATCTCGGCCACCCCAAAGGTCCGCCCTTGCCAATCCTGTGCTTTCGCCCTCTACCGAGAAAAAGTCCCCGTTTTCCGAAAAATCCTTATCGCCATCCGAGAAGAGCACGATCTCCCTCGAGGGACACTAGTCTGAATGGGAAAAAGGTATCGTCTGCAAAGGATGGAGTCATGGCCCGAAAGCGTTCCCGACTCCTAGAGATGCTGTTCCTCCCCCTCCCCAGCGTCGTCCGCCTCGACAGCGTCGCGAGGCTCTCGATGTGGCTGTTTCGCGAATCGAGATGCGCTGCTTTGCGTGTCGAATGCGTGGCGTCGGTGAGTCGAGGTCAGCTCGTCGAGATAGACGTGCCTCAAACGCGTCCCCAAAATAAGACCTCAGTGGGCCAACCAAAGCGAGCCTCCACCCATTTCGTCAAATCATGACCGCCCTCAACCGTCCTCGTAAATGCAGAAACCACACCGGTCCTAGGAAAAGCCATTGCCCAATGCATCGTCTTATGAGGAAAGAAACCCGAATAATAGGGACATCGCGTCGTAACGCGATGCCAATGAACAAGTCTCAGACTGGTGCGTCTGAGACGTCAATGAAAATGGTCAAGTGCCGCATCGAAACCATGCTGTGCGTGTACTCGATCGAAACGTGGGAATCCGGAAGCCATGATAAGGTGGATCGCTTCGTAAACCAGAATTTTGCCGCGCGTCTAATAACCGAAGGAGACGAAGTTCAAAGTTCGTAGTATGGACATGCGGATGAGCGGCTGTCGTCGTGCGGAAGGAAACCCGATAATGTACAAGTCCTTTCCCCCTTCCATCGATTACGGTAGGGTCCTTCCCGATCGTGGGTCAGCCTGCCTCAGTGGCTAGACGTCTGAGCGCCGTTATCTGCCTGTACAGTTAGCTCGCCGAGCTCGGCATTATCTTGGGATCCCCAACTCACGTGAGCTGTACATGCTCTGATTCGGCTGGCCATACGGCGACTGGGGTTGGTAGTTGGCCGAGTACATGTGAGAGCCGTTGTACTCAGGAAGAGGTTGCTGTGCCACACCTCCAGCAGACGGCGGCGCAGGGTACTGCGAAGGCTGGTAGCCAATTGGCGGCAACTGAACCTGGCGACCGCTAGCATACGCAGATGCCGACGATGTGCCATCAGCTCCGGACTGGGGGTCTCCTGAGCCATTCTGAGCGGCGGCGGCGGCGGCGGCGGCAGCCTGGCGCTGACGTTCATCTTCGGCCTTTCGCTGCGCTTCCTCTTCCTTCTTGCGCTGCTTCCACTCCTTACGAATCTCCTTGAATTCTGCAGCCCAAA